CATTTTTTCTACTGTGAGGTCAGTTCTGGTTGGATTCTAATGAACCAGAACTCAATAAAAACAGAATTGTCTGGAATAAGCCTATATTTGTTTTCTGGTGATATCGGATTTCTGTTCGGAAATTTGACGCATATACTGATTTCAGCCAACTCAAATTGTGAAAAAAAATATCGTGCATGTTCACATCAGGAGAAAATAAAAACAACTGAAGACAAAATTATGACCAAACGTATTCAAGACAATTCTGCTTCTATTGAAGTCAATTTTATTAAAATCCAATCAATAATGCCTCCAAAATATTCTTTTTGAAAACACGTGGTTTCATATGAAATATTTGTAGACATTTGCTTCGTGCATTACCACAGAAACGTGTCTTAATATTAAATAAGGTACATATGTATTTTTGTCGGGGACTAGTCTAGTGCCTGCACTGTGAGTGCCTGTTAGCAGAGACATATATACACATATGTGTATATAATATGTCTCTGCTGTTAGTTATCTGTGGTGTAACAAACCGGATTTTCACGATTAGCCGTAACCAATGTTCTTGTTAGAAAATAGATTTCCGGTCCCTGATACCGCTCTCTTACCACCTGCGTCTCGTATGTAATACAGTAATATTGCAAAAGTCTGTGGCAAATAATATAGCACTTATACTTCAAATACATATTTAGGGGCGGAGGCATGGCGGGCGTGCGCCCCCCTAAAATTTGCAAAGCATGGGTTGCCCTCAGCTTAATAAAGAATCTTTCGATAATTTTACCTCAAAAAAGATTTAAGTTTGCGCGCCCACACCCTTCCTATCCTAAAATCCTGGATCCGCCCCTGATCTTTTTGTTGAAAAGACATATAATTTGGGAAATAGCCTACGTTTACGCCGATTGACCTCAGGTTCTTTCGTAAAAAACAACTCGAGATTGGTGTATAAATCGGCTTCTGAAGGCAGTGGCAGATCCAGGGGGTGGAGGTATTCCGGGGGATGGAACCTCCCTTTTTTTTTATGATCAATGCTTTTGAATGGGGATATATTGTTGGAACCCCCCTTTATCCTAGGGTTGGAACCCCCCACCCCCTTTTAAAAATGGCTGGATCCGCCCCTGGAAGGCATTTCTCAATTCGCCTTTTCAGAATCTAAAGGACTATGGGTATTATCTCATTGTTCGTTCCCCAAAATGAAAATAACATTACGTTATTGGTTAAATTTCCATTGTTAAGGACATTTATTACAAATCACTGTTTTGGTGAAGGTTTTTGAAAATATTACCCAGAATGCATTAGATTCTGAAACTGCAAATTAGTGAAGTCACAGCAAAAAATTAAAATAGCCTTTCAAGACGGTATTATTATTTGGACTATAGCTTGGTAGAAGCTTATTCACCCTGAGTGGCATTTTTTTTTTAAATATTTAAAAACCACAAAAAAAAACCAAACAAATAAACTGCAGAAACTAATTGAATTTTCCCATGTTGCGTTTTTACATTTATGTGTGTTTTCCAATTGACGTAATCTAAAGATTCGCATTTTGCTATGGAAAGTATTTATAGACGAGTACACATCTCTGTGTCATCAGTTTATTTGAAGTAGCAAGAAAGGGTCAGTGTGAGCTTTCACCACTGTCTGTTGTATATTGTCCATCTTTGTATTCAACTCATAACTTTTGCATTAATATTTCCTCTGAAACAACTGGGTCAATTGGAACCAAACTTGGGCACACTCATCCTTTAGGTATGTTTTAAAAATGTGTCTGATGATCCTGCCTGCCAACCAACATGGCAACCAAGGATCATCAGACTTGGGAGTAAAATGCTTATATTTTTGAATTATCTTGAAAAATATTACAGATTGATAAAATTTGGCAGGACAGAAATGTTCTGAATGTCAACAAGAATCGACATAATCAGATCTTCAAATATGTCAACAAGACCAAAACTATCAATGGACTCCTTATAGGTGTTGCCTTTGAGTGACGATAATTCTTTTTTTGTGAAACGTACAGTAAAAAGAGAAAGACTGTAAATAGCTTAAAATGATCAATTAGAATAGGACCTACATACAAGTCAACATGATTGTAATTATCAGTCAAATGGTTGCATTTGAATAACAATTTGTACCCATTTTTACAGAAACTGTAGTAGTAAATAACATAAATAATGAACAAAATAAGATACTGTGAATTAAGAAATTATTGCATGCATTTAGTATTGCGATTTTTGAAGAATGGACATCAATGCGAGATGCATACAGATATATGCATCAAATATCAGAATGCAAGTTCTTATTATTGCAATAGTCAACCAGTAGCATTTTTCACATTAATGAAAACCTAATAATTTCTGAATTATACAATTAATTTTAGAAGGCTGAAAATCTCATATGTTACTTCTTTTAGACAATTTAAAAAAAAGTCTTGTTCTTTTTTGCTGTAACTAAAGTAGATACAGTCTACAGAGAAACTGTAAATAACAAAAATCATGAGCAAAATATGATCCTCAAGTATAAAGTCAACCTCCATGGCATATTTGAATTTATTGGCCTTCACTGACAAATTTTACTTATTTTTGTGTTTGAAGGTACTTATTATAATAGAAGATAGAGAGAAAGTGTTAATAACTTATCACTGCTTTTGAATAGCATAATGAATTGCTGTACTATCTTGTCTTTCATTCTTTTTCTGGTTTAATTGCCAAAACCTGAACTTTTTGCTGATAAGTGATAAGTAACACTTCTAAAAGTTACATGCAAATTTGTAAACTTATACTTACATGCTAAATAATGTTCTCACATGCTAATTAAAATGCTCGCACGCTAATTAGTGTACTTACATGCTAATTAGTGTACTAACATGCTAATTAGTGTACTTACATGCTAATTAGTATACTTATACTTGACTGCTAATTAGCATACTTACTGTTACATAGCTGCAGTGTACTTCCATGTTCATTAAAGTGTACTTACATGCATGAAGGATTAATATTTAGATGAGAGTACCAAAAGTCATGCATTATAATAAAAGTGATTGCAATTCCGCTTTTGTATCCACATTTGGAGTTAAAACTATAAGAATTTTATATTCCATCATATATATGAAAACATAATGTGTATCATATCATGACAGTCATCATAAGCCTATTTAGCTGGCTGAAAATCACTTGTATATTTAATATAATTGTTTATTATAATTCAGGTTGCACTTTAATTTAAAATATTTATTCATTCATTATGAAAATAAGGAGATGTGGTATGATTGCCAATGAGTTAACTATCCACCAAAGTTCAAATGAAGTGGATGTAGGCAATAATAAGCAACTGTACTTACAACAATAAGAAAAACCCATACCTTATAGTCAGCTATAAAATGCCCTGACATGAAAAATATGAAACCATTCAAATGAGAAAACTAACTGCCTAATTTATAACAAAACAATTTCCAAAAACAAATATGACAGACATGAACCAAAGACAACCACTGAACCACAGGTTCCTGACTTGGGACAGGCACATAAATAATGTGATGGGGTTAAACATGTTTGTGAGTGCTCAACCCTCCCCTAACCTGGGACAGTTGTGTTACAGCACAACATAAGAACAAACTATAATAATCAGTCGCAATAGTCTTAACTCATCAGATTGATAGAAAGCAGAAAAACAACTTACAAAAAAATCACAGAACAGACGTTGCAGGGTATTTATAACCTTGTTCTTTTAACAATTTTACATCAGAAGTGGATTTTGGGGGCAGGGTGCCCCCTCCCTTATTTAGCTTCATTGATGGTTAATGCAGACTTTTTACCAGTTCCACTCTATACTTTGCCTAGTTAGTATTTTGTTCACAAGCATAATCTGCTCAACAGTTACCAATTTAAGGCCGTGTGTTCAAATATACCTTTTGAACATGATATTGCACCACATGAGCATAAAGTAATTGTTACCTGAAAGCAGTTGTTCATATTTTTGTGATTTTTTCCCAAGATGAAAAATATTCATTTGCATTTAATGATCCATTTTATGACATGCATACAAAATGAGATACACTGAAATCCAGAGGATAAGTTTGTGTAAGAGTTTGCATGTTTTCATGAATACAAAATAATATAGTTAGAAATAGATTCAGAGCTTCTACCATTCTCTTTTCAAACTAAGAGGAGTAAAACTATGTGATGGTTCAAGAGATCTGAAATTATTGGCATAGCATAACTAAGGATTTCCTGATGGTCTTTCTCATAAAATGGGTTCATTAATATTTGTTTGATTCCAATTTTCCAAGGCAGTGTGAAACCACAAAAATAAGTTATTCTTGAAAAATATATTTAGTTATATTGGTAAGAGCAAATTATTAAATCACGAAATTAGGTACCCTCAAAATAGCAAATATGTCTTCAACCAAGAAAATGGATGCTAACAAAAATAGAAATTAACAACATAAGTAAAGGAAGTACATCAGCTATTTGATATTTTGGGATACTTATTCCGTCAGTTTTGTTCTTGTCATCACAACTAGTCGTGTTCATATCGACAGGAAAATTTTGATTAAATTTATTTCCTAAAAGGTATGCCCCTTTTGAACTTAGAATTTGTTCATGATATACTACTGCAACATTTTGTAAGGCCAGCTTCTCTGAAACCACACAACAGAATTTCATGAAACTTTATAGATAATATAATCCGAATAATTCAGTCCCTCCCTGTAATTGATTTCTCCTACTTTCTAGGGCCTGAATTCCTAACTAGCTAAATCTCTTCATGAATCCTGGATTTTAATTGGTGCCCTGTAGGAGAGGTGACCAATCAGCAGTCAGCTCAATTTTATCAGATAGGTATATCTCGAGCTAATTCTGAATGATTGATTGACGATTTTTCATTGTCTATGCATTCAGGCATTAATGTGGTGATATTTTGTTTGCCCAGTGACAATATAGGGGCCTGGGGTATGTGAGCGTGCTCACAAAGGTTCTTTCAATATTTTTAAGCTGTACAAAACAAATTTTGTCTTTTGTTTCCAGGTGCAACAGATTTATTAAAGGTAGCTAATATAGAAACAAAAATATCAGGAACCCAAGATGGCATGTGTCCAGGTAGAGATGTGGCTTATGCCCTTACAGGCAGTGAAGAGCTCAACTTTCAGTTACAAGATGCATTTCCAGGTATTACAAAGTATTGTATAGATTGATTAATAATTAAATAGGTTTTTGTTTCTTTTTATTGATTCATTTTTTATCCCTTTCATCATCATGAATAAAGCTTAAATTATGAATAAACAGATTTGCTTTTGTTGTTATAATGTTTTTATTTCAGCATGTACTGTACTGATTATGGGAAAGACCATAATCAGTAAATTGGCATCAACTGACAGTCTTGAACCATTATAGATTTCATATGAAAAGTCATTCACCTTATCAAAAAGAATAAATCTTATCTTCTCCTGTTATAAATTTATATATTGCAGAAGGTAGATCTTTCTAAAACTGATGAACCATAAAGAAGAAAACCAGATGCCCTATATTGTAGTACTTAACATGATTGTTTGATGAAACTTAAGAGTGCAGTGGTTTTAAATCTGTTTTTTATCAGGTTTAGATTAATGTAATGATCCTTTTACTTGTAGTGGAAAGAATTTCATTGAAATGGACTAGTCATTACAAATTTTCAGTTAAATCTATATTATAATTACAGAGGGTATTTCAGAAACATTCACAATCATCACCACATTTAAACAGGGAAAAGTTGATCTTGCTGATGGGAAGAAAAAATTGAAAATTCCCTTGTTGACCATCTATAATCAGGAGGAGGTTAGAGAAATCATTGGTCTGTATGTTGGTTCACGGACAATGTTCCTCTATAGTGACAACACAATCAAAAATGACAAGCCAGCTAGATTCAACTTTAACACTAATGATGATAGGTAAGAAATTGTTTTTAGGGTCATAGTCTTCAATCTATCCATCTCTCACCAATTTAAACATCACAGTGTATCAAGGATGAATTGACATAGCTATGAGACATATTATACATATTCTTTTATTGTCATATGTTGAATTTCTCAATATGTGTCTAAATTCACACTCCGGTCCAGTGTTTGAAGTTCATCAAATGATCTTTTTTTTTGACACAGATGTCAAGGGTGTACCACATTTACAAAGCTACACTTTCATAATATATAAATAAGAAAATGTGGTATAATTGCCAATGAGACAACTCTTAACCATAGACCAAATGGCATAGAAGTAAGTAACTTGAGGTCACAATCAGAAAAACTTAACCGCATAGCAAGCTATAAAAGGCTATGCAATGACAAATATAAAACAATTCTAACAAGAAAACTAACAGCCTGATTTATGAACAAAACAATAAATGGAAAAAAATGTGATATACAGCAACAAAAGACAACCACTGAATTACAAGCTCCTGACTTGTTTATATTAGTCTGAATAAAAATAACAGTAATTGATTGTTATGTAAGGTTTCCTAATTGTTCAAATCGAAGTGGTTTGACATTAGACATTTTTATTAAACCAATACATTTGTATGTATAGTTTATATGAAACCATCTTTTGAAAGATGATGCATTACTTCATACTTAATTTGACTAACTGACTCTGCAGTTGATAATTGTTATGTCCTGGCCCAACAAAGTGATGAAAGACAACCCTAGAATTAAGTCATTTTGACCTTCATTATCAATTTTAAAGGTTAATTTTATGTACTTTTCTCCAAAGGTTATATATAAAGCACAAAATATGAAGTTTTACATCTCAGATTATGAAAGCTTTTCCTTTCTGTAATATTAATAGACATTAGAGAACTTCATCTTCTTTAATCATTATTAAAACAAATGTGTAGATGTTAAATTTTATAAGACAATACTTGTATAATTTTTTATTTTTCTAAAGCATAAATAATCATATTTGATCCCCCAAAAAATGATGAAAAACCAGGTTATATATTTTGTGAAATACACTCTCTCGAAATTTTCAGACCAGACATTTCAAGTTTTAAAAAAATCAGCACACACCTTGATGGTGTGCCCTTTATATTATGAAGTGTTCAACTAATTTATTTTCACCTTATATACATTGGAACTGATCATTTAAGTGAAATTTTCAAGTGCTTATCTATTCTATCATGTTAATACAAATCTATAGCAATATTGATGATTTCCACATTTTTTTACAATATAATAGTTTTTGACCATCTTCTATTGTAAGAAAATCATTCTGCTCTACCTAACCATTTAAGTATTTAAGAATTTTACTTGTTTTTGTTTTGTTTCGGTTGCAACAAAGTTGTGAAACAAAACGTAGGTCTGCTGTTTCTAGCAGCAACAACAATTGTGACTAAATATTTAAGTTTGTGATTAGATAAATTGTAAGAAGAAACACTAATAGTAAGTCAGTGAAATTTGGTATGCAGTTGTACTAGCATTGGCACAACTCATTTTCATTGGGTTTTCGTCCTACCTCCTCAGTCATGGTTGATTGACTTGAAAACATTTACTGAGTTTACATGTTAAAGTTTTTGATAAAGGCCAGTATAAGTTTTAAAGTGATTGATTAGGTAAGTTTGTATACAAATATATCAAGGGTAATAATGAGGACTGGTCATAACTTATTTAGAATTAAAATTATAAAGAGAGTATGTTAGTATGTTTATTGTTTGCTTTCATTTGTATGCCTCAGCTGTAGCGGATGGGTATTAAGGTTTACCCTTGTCCGTCGTACCGTTTTTTTCCTTGTTAGTTATCCATTTATTTTGTTTATTCCAGTTGGCATCGAGTTGCTATAGTAGTGCAAGGTCAGGAGATTACAGCTTGGTTAGATTGTGATGCTCAAGAGCCAAAGAAATTGAAACGAGACATTCCAACACAATTTAGCAGAGAAGGACTTGTCCTTATTGGCAGGGATTTTGCAGAATCACCCTTATTTAATGTGAGTATGAAAGATTTGTTATATCTCTCCAATATTATATAAGACCAAACAAGGGTCCTCTCCATCAGTTGGTCAGTAATGAAATCACACTATACATATAGATGAATCTAACCCTAACAGAAAGACCTCATACCACTTGTAACTGTGCATTTTTTTTAAATCATGTTAATATAGGTTTTTCATAGTAAAATAAGGATGTTGCCATTTTTATACGACCTCAAAAAAATTTTGTGGTCGTATATTGGTATGACGTTGGCGTCATTGTCGTCCGGCGTCGTCGTCGTCCGAAGACACATTGGTTTTCGCACTCTAACTTTAGTTTAAGTGAATGGATCTCTATGAAATTTTACCATAAGGTTCAATACCACAAAAGGAAGGTGGGGATTGATTTCGGGGGTTATGGTATCAACAGTTAATGAATAAGGGGCCAAAAAGGGGCCAAAAATAAGCATTTTTGTAACTTCCAGACATAACTTGTGTGTTAGTGTATGGATCTCTCTGACATTGTACCACAAGGTTCCATATCACAAAGGGAATGCTGGGATTGATATCGGGGGTAATTGCCTCCACATTTTAGGAATTAGGGGCCAAAAAGGGGCAAAAAACAAGCATTTTTCTAGTTTCATGACAATAACTTGTGTGTAAGTGTATGGATCTCTCTGACATTGTACCACAAGGTTCCATATCACAAAGGGAATGCTGGGATTGATGTTGGGGGTAATTGCCTCCAAATTTTAGGAATTAGGGGCCAAAAAGGGGCAAAAAACAAGCATTTTTCTAGTTTCATGACAATAACTTGTGTGTAAGTGTATGGATTTTTATGAAATTGTACTACAAGGTTCCATATCACAAAGGAAAAGCTGGGATTGAGATTGGGGGTGATTGCCCAAAACGTTTAGGAAAAAGGGGCCAAAAATAAGCAATTTTCTAGTTTCCAAACAATAACTTGTGTTCAAGTGTATGGATCTCTCTGAAGTGGTACTTCAAGGTACCATACCACAAAGGGAAGGCTGGGATTGATTTTGGGGGTAATTCCCTCAAAATTTTAGGAATTAAGGGCCATAAAGGGGTAAAAAAAACAGCATTTTTCTAGTTTCAGGACAATAACTTGTGTGTAAGTGTATGGATCTTTATGAAATTAAACTGCAAGGTTCCATATCACAAAGGAAAAGCTGGGTTTGAGTTTGGGGGTAATTGCCCAAAACGTTTAGGAATTTGGGGCCAAAAAGGGGCCAAAAAACAAGCATTTTTCTAGTTTCCAGACAATAACTTGTTAAGTTCTTAGACCACATTCATTCTGTTTCAGAAACCTATGCTGTGTCAAATATTTAATTACAATCCAAATTCAGTGCTGTATCAAGCTTGAATGTTGTGTCCATACTTGCCCCAACTGTTCAGGGTTCGACCTCTGCGGTCGTATCAAGCTGCGCCCCAGCGGAGCATTTTATTACATATGGTGAGGTTTGTCAACGCACTTACAGTTTACATTGGAAAGAAATGAAACTAAACCCACTTTCTTCATATTAATTGTAGTTTTGTACATTTAGTTAGATTTAAATTCTTTTATCAGAACTATGTTTCTCCTTTGACGAAAATAGTTTATTTTTTTAGGTCATTTTTTTTCAAGAACAACTTTTTTAGTCCTTTACAGATGGTAAATGGGTTCACCACCTAAAAATGATGTGTTGGTACCATGGAAGATGACATTTGACCTTGACCTCTGATCTCTAGGTCAAATATTTGATTTAAGTAACTTTTTCAAAACTATACTGGCTTGGTTTCCTTTACAAGACCTTTTCAGTGCACCTAAGGGATTGGTCAAAGAGGGGCTCATGCTCCAACCCTCATAAAAATTGTTTAATATCTTAAAAATGTTTCAGATCTCCACCTTTTTAACATTATATATTCTAAATTGCCTTGATGAGACCTTTCTAGTCAATCATTGGTTTTGTCCCTGGGAGACATGTCCTGCCCCTTTCATATCATTAATTGTTTAATATCGTGAAAACTGTTCAGATCCCCACATCTGAACCATTTATGTTCATTGTCATTTCAAAAGACCTTCACAGTACACAATACCAGTAGGTTTTGTCCTTGAGAATTGTGCCCCACCTAGAAATGGTAAATTGTTTAAATATATTATCACAATCTGTTTAGATCCTATCCACTTGACCATTTGTATTCTGAGATCTTTTAAGTAGACTGTAGATTTAGTGCTGTATGGGCACTAGAGGTCATGCCCTACTCCACATATCATCAATTGTTAAATATATTTAAAACAGTTTATATTCAAACTAATTAACCCTCTATATTTTTATTTGCCACGGCAATACTGTTTCAGAAATGACATGTGTATGTTGGGGCCTTTTCTTTACTTGAAGTGTTTTCCAAAACCTGTAAACATGTACTAAAACTAAAAAAAGTGTTAAAAAAATCAATAAAATTCTACAAAATACTGTAAATGTCTTTAAGGATATTATTATATTATTTTTTTGTGAATTTTTTTTTTGCAAATTATGGTTGACTAACCCAATCACCATCAAACATCATTGCTACTGTTAATAGAGGAAGAAAATTCTATAAAAATAAATAGATAAATGAAATACTAAAAACTAAGTCCTCTGATAATAGCAAGATATATAAAAAATAATACCAAAAGCGAGAACATTCAGTTTCTCTAGCTGATGTAAGTTATAAGAAGCTAAAAATAAAAGGGGATAACAAATTTACATTTTTAAATAGACTCAACTGAGTTAGTTGAATAAACCAATCCATTTAAAAAATTGTAGCAAATTTTTCTCAAACCAGAAAATTTGATCAGGTTTATGTCTAGATCCTAGATATTTATCAAAATTCCTCTGTTAATTATCCTTAGAAATCATCACAAATCATTATACATTTTATCTAACTATTGATTTATAGGGATTAATCCAAGATCTAGCAGTGCTACCAGGAGACCATGGTATGAAACATTGTATAGAGTTCTGTCCAGAATGTATGAAGGGTCCAGGTAATGGCGTTAAGTCTGAACAGCCACCACTTCCTGTCTTCACTGAAGATGGAGGTATGTATGTTATGGGCGGTGACAAAGTTGGAGGTGGAATGCCTTTACTTGGTAAAGATGGAGCTGGACTTCAAATGGTTGATAAAAATGGAGCTGGACTTCAAATGGTTGATAAAAATGGACAAGGACTTCCTTTAACAGAGAATGAAACTTTCGTGCCATATTCTCCAATGCCAGGGGGAGATAAAAATGGAGGCATGTTTGTGGATGGTGGATTAGGAATACCAGTTGTGGGTGGTGACAAAAAGACTGGAGGGCAATTTGTTGTTGGAGATAAGGTTTACGATAAAGAAGGATATATAGTTGGAAAAGATGGCAGCCTGGTAACTTTGTTATCTATACATTCTACATTTAGATTACTTAAGGAATGACTGTAATATTTTTTCTGTCTATGAATAAATAACATCAAAAATATGGTGCACACTGAATAACAGTGTGCACCACATTTTTGAGGTTATTTTGAATAGACAGAAAATTTTTTACAGTCATTCCTTATAATTTAATTCTAAATTCCATTTTTAAGGAGTAAATCATGAAAAAAAACCGTTGATGATGTCACGGTCAAATGATAAAATTATTTTAATGAGCTGATAGACAAAAAACTTTCAGCCAATCAGAAGACGTGTTACATCTAAAATTAAATAATATTCAAATTAAAATAAAAAATAAAATTAATTATCCATGAACAAGTGATTGAAGCAAGTTTATTGATTGTGAGGAATGCAACCTTATAAACCAAAAGGTATATCAGCAGGAATTTAAAAAGTTATTTTGGATGTATTATATGCCTGAATATCATACTTATGATTACTAGGCTTTAACTTCTTTTGGAGTTTTGACCTTAACTTATCCTTTTCACCAAATATATTTTTTGTACACATTTACCCTAATGTTATTTAATAATAGATAGTTATAATATTTACTTTTGATGAATTAGATTTATATGCTTTATCTTATATTTTCAGCTAGTAGAATATGATGCAGCAGCTGGAGTGTCCTATGCTTACAGATATGTAAGTACACTTTTAAACATATATGCTTTATCAGAATAAAAATTCCTATTACCATTTGTTTTGAAAAATGCTATAGTTGAGCCCAGTTGCCACTATCAAAGTATTTTTTTACCAATAATTTTTTTTTGCAATGACAGTAATCAGAAAAAAAATTGACAAACTTTGAAAACAACAGTGACAACCAAGCTGTATAGAGCCAAACATGACAATTAACACTTAAATATAAGTTTCCAGGGTAACAGCTTTCAAATTTCATTATTTTGTTTACTGTAGACTGACTTATGGAACTTAATTCAATGACTATTTTGTAGTTAGTTTGATGATTTAATGTTAAATTTTCTAACAGTATTTAATTTTATTCTGTTAATCAGAAAAATATTAGGAATTCTATATCACAAATTTTATCACAATAATGCTTACTGGCATATATTAGTTAATATTTTCCCTTTTTTCTTTATTTCATGGAATGTTGATTCAAATTCGCTCCCAAATATATTATATTTCAGGGCCCACCTGGACCACCAGGCCCAAGAGGACCAGCTGGACCACAAGGTCCAAAAGGAGATTCAGTAAGTTCAATACTATGATACTAAGGAGATGTGGTATGATTGCCAATGAGACAACTATCCACCACAGTTCAAATGAAGTGGATGTAAGCAATTAAAGGCAACCGTATGGCCTTTCAACAATGAGAAAAACCCATACCATGTAGTTGGCTATGAAAGGCCCCCACATGAAAAATATGAAACAGTTCAATTGAGAAAACTAACTGCCTAATTTATAACAAAACAATTATGGAAAACAAATATGACAGACATGAACCAGTGACAACCACTGGACTACAGGCTCCTGACTTTGGAAAGGCACATATAGAATGTGGCAGGTTTAAACATGTTAAGGTGCCAACCCTCCAATAACCTGTGATAGTGGTGTAACAGAACACTGTATTACAGAAACACCAATTTTTTCACTTAAAAAGCAAGCATGACCAGCTGTACAACTTTAGGTCATATATGATTAGTCCTTTCAGGGCAAGCATAAAAGACAAATACATAGGCTTGCTTGAGGAAATTTTTTTAAGATGGAAAAAACTGATAAAGAAAATTCAGGGGTGCATATCAAGCAGACTGTTATTATGAACACTTCAACACTATCGGATTGAAAGTAAACATTTAAGATTTTTGTTTTGTTGATAATGTACTTTCATTTTGTAGGGATATTCCGGCAGGGACGGAGTTCCAGGATCATCTGGTCTACCAGGAGCTCCAGGCCATGTTTTTGTTATTCCTGTAAGTCAGTTATTGTTGTCATTTATCTATATTATTTACTTTTTCAAACTGTCAAAAGCCTACTAGAAGTCAAGATATAAACAAACTTGGATTGACAGTTTCCTTTATTTGAAATTTCTTAAAGTTTTGGAACATGCAACGCTTTAAAATTGAAATGGGTTTAATGACTTAAACCTACATTTTCTGGGAATCAAACAAACTGAAATATGAAATAAAAACCAAAAATTTCAAGTTGATCATAAATCACAATGATTCTGGATTCATCTAAGGGGTATGTTCTGCTTATCAAATGGCAAGAAATGGTCTTATTTTATTTTTTTTTGCTGTAAAATATGTTTGAATTTGACTTAAAATAATTTTACTCATTTGATTGGGCATGCAATATTTGCATTTTATGAATGGGGACACTTGCCTGCAAGCATATTACAAAGTTAATGAAGTTTGACGTGAAAAATTTCTTTTTTCTACTGATTGATTCCAATATACTATTTGTGTCATTGGCCTCTTGACTGGCAAATATAACTGTATGGTCTGTCAGTACTCAAATCTCCTAATTTGGACAATATTGAATTGCTCATTTTTAGTCTAAATAAATTTCAATGAACTTATAAGCTACAATATCTTAAAGATGTGTTAATAAAGAATAAACCAACTTGTTATGTACATGAATGTTTTATTTTATTTCATTGCTTACCTTAATTTTTAAGTCTGATGCAATTAAAATAAGATAAATTTAGTTTGCCGTTCATAATGTATCATGAAAATACCATAAAACTGTTGCTTGTTTGGTTTACAGATGAATTGGGACCAAAAGAGGGCTCCACAAGCTGAGGCATTCAGACAAATGTTATCACAGCATATGGTAAGTATAAACACATTGAAAGTATACTGACAGAACATTGTGATGGTACATAACTATGATCCAACTATAAGCACAATCCAAATGCAATTATCTTAACAAAACAACTTCATCAAATGTGCTTTTGAGCCAAGGCTCTGTGTTGAAGACCGTACATTGACCTATAATGGTTACTTTTATAAATTTTGACTTGAATGGAGAGTTGTCTCATTGGCACTCATACCACATCTTCTTATATCTATTTTGTGGTCTTTATATATTAGAAAAGCAAACAATTTAAAACTTTAAATGTAGATGTAAGGAAATATTGTATTCATGACCTTTAAATGCATGATCAATTAGTTGATGTTAATGCATCATAATTGTTTCAGCAATTAAAAGTGCAGGTTGTTAAATAAGAGTGTTTATGAAGAAAGTGGTTAAAGGAACTGACTTCTTAAGATTCCATCATTTATTATATAACTTATTTTTTAAAATTATATATTCTTATTACAGATGTCTATGCATGGAGCAAATGGACCTCAGGGTATGACTGGAAATTCAGGACCTGTGGTACGTTAATTTTAGAACATTTAATGGCTTTTGCAATAAATGTAAAGGAATAAGTGATGTCTGAAATAAAAGAAATGATATCCAGTATTTAGTATTTATAAACAATATCCTGAAATAATTGAATCCCTAATGAATTGTCTCCTCTAGATATCTTAGTTGAGCGAAATAATGATTATGGTTTTACATTTTGTTTTTAAAGTGATTATAAAAGATTTATGGGTTAAAAAACAAAAGATTTATTCTTTAATCAGTCTGATAGTATCCAATTGGGTCATTCTCCTTGGTAAACCTCCAAACTGCAGAATGAATTCTTAAATTTTACAATCAGTTCTCAGTTCTTTCTAGAATATAATTGAACACAGGGGTTAATTTTTATGATGTGATTTGTAAACAAGTATATGTTTTGATTGTAGTTTTTTAAGCTAGCTTATGCATATAAAATAAAGATTTATTCATTTCAATTTACAGTTTCAACAAAGTTGAAATAGATGTTTGTTTTGACTCACTTTGAAAATATATTGGGAAGAAAAAAATACTGTTGTTTTATAATATATTATTTTTACAAATTTTTCAAACAAAAATTAATTACAGGGACCTCCAGGAGAATCAGGATTAAAGGGAGATATTGGACACCCAGGAGAACAGGTATTCTTTTCTAATGATCTCAACTTTTAATAATTGTTGCTTGATGGTCTAGATACTTTTTTCCATCAATCTTGAAAATCAAAAGAGCATTGTCTCTACATTATTTGGTTAAAGTTGGGAACATATCAATGACAAAAAAAGTCGGAAGCACTCAGAGTTGCTTCTTCTGATTGAAATTTTTTGTAATGTTTATTTATATTGTACAAGATGTATTTTCTTTTTATAGTAAAATATTGTTTACAATTAAATGCCAATCTGCCTAAGAATCAGGCAGTGGTGAAAACATGACAAACAAAAACCTGTTCAAGTTTACATTAATTTATGTTCAAAATGTTTAATGGTGCACGAAAATAACTTTCGTTTCCTTTTCCTGTTCTGGTATTTCAAGATATAATTTGGTTGAAATGCACTATAAATTAACAATTAAGGGGAGCTAACTCCGTAATTTGCTATCATTGTAATCAAAATGTATCTAGAGATTTCTCGAATTACCAGACACGCAGAAACAAAAGACCTACCATTTCTAACTCACGATGAGGGTAACTTCAAAATAGGATAGTTAGGTCAGTAGGTGTTTTTCGGCCATGTTTTGAAATTTTTCTAAATTGCCTGATTCTTACAAAGACTTGCACTTAAATGAGGACAGAGTTATTCAGCTACTTGTCAACTTTACCTTAGTCTCTCTAGCTATAAAATTTATGAGAATTTTGAACTATCATATAAAATTTATCAAAGCATATGTTGGTTTATTTATTTATTTATTTTAATGAAAATGGGTATTCTTGTACTTTTATATGTTTTTCAACTGCAATTCAATGTCAATTTGCACTGATATCCTTCCATGAGAATATGACCCATATCTCATCTTGGAACTTTTAATTTTAGGGACCTCAAGGAGGCCGTGGTGCACCAGGACCACAGGGTAATCCAGGAAAACGAGTAAGTTTTTGCAAATATCAATGACCGGTAGGCAGTAAAAAGCAATTTGTTAGATAATTGGATTATGATCATTTAGTCATACCACTCTGTCCATCAATCCTTCTGTCCATCAATCCTTCTGTCCATCAATCCTTCTGTCTGCCAATTCATTTTTTCCTCACTTTTTTTGTTATGACTGATTCCATTGATTGGATATTTGTTTACAGTCATATAATAAGAAGTGAGAGATTTTGAATTTCATTCTGCTTGAGTGATTTTTGCAGAATTTGTTCCCCTTTGGCATAGATAATTGCTTAAAATTGTGTGTTTCATCTTCTTTCCAGTAGGGGATATTGCATTGCATATATGCAATACCTTCAGAATGGTTTTCTGTGATGAAACGAAACATCCGGAACATCAATCAACTAATATTTATAAAGCTTTTTGTCTTAGTTGAAATAGATTATTTTTGAAGAAATAAATCATGTTAGTTTAATTCTATAATTTTTTAAAAGTTAATTAAGAATGAATGTGTTACAAAAATTTCATATTTATAACTTTTCTTGTTTCTTTTAAAGTTTTATCTATCATGTTATGTCAAAAAATTAGCAATTTTTGTCTCGCCTTGACGGAGTCAAAAAGCGAGACATAGGTATGCTGTTTCCGACGTCAGCGTCAACAATGTATTAGTTTGTGATTAGGTCTAGTTCATGGTGAACCACTAGTGGTAGGTCAATGATATTTGGTATGCAGTTGTATTAGCATTGGCACATTTCATTACCTTGGAGATTATTTGGCCCCGCCCCCTCAGTCAAGGTCTATTGACTTTGAAACTTTTCATAGTTTACATGTATTAGTTTGTGATTAGGTCAATTTATGGGGAACCACTAGTGGTAGGTCAATAATATTTGGTATGCAGTTGTATAAGCATTGGCATATCTCATTTCCATGGAGATTATTTGGCTCCGCCCTCTTAGTCATGGTCTATAGACTTTGAAAATTTTTCTAAGTTAACATGTTTTAGTTTGTGATTAGGTCAGTTCTAGGGGAACCATTAGTGGTAGGCCAATGTTAATTGGTATTCAGTTGTATAAGCATTAGCAGATCTCATTTCCATGGAGAATATTTGGCCCCGCCCCCTCAGTCATGGTCTATTTACTTTGAAACTTTTGCTTAGTTTACATGTATTAGTTTGTGATTAGATCAGTTTAAGATGAACTGCTAATGTTACCGTATAAACTCGCTTAATAGTCGATCCTACTATAAGTCGGGGGCCCTTTTCAGCTCCAAATTCTAAGGATTTAGTCTTGACCCTCGTATAAGTCGGACAAAATTTGGGCATTTTTTTTTCAGCTGACAGTAACTGAACGCCGGTAAAACCAATGCAAATCCAGGAATAATATTCATTTCTGCATTAATGTTTGTTTGGTTTGAATTTAGTTGATGCTCATCATGATAATTTATATTGCTGTTAATAATAAAGATGTATTCATTTCTCTTGTTTTGTTCACTGTTCAAATGTTAGATTAGCCATGTGTTGTTTACGTAATGCATCAATGATTTTGTAGGGTATGACTAACAACCTATTGTTTGAGAAAAGCGAATATAAACCAATATGAACCTGAAAAATTTAAAGTCAATCAACACTTGATGAAAATATTTTTCACAGCATACATAACTCGGTGTTAAATGAGCATGTACACTTCATAATTCTTATTATATTGTGATGATTAAAGGATTAAAAAAATTAAGTGAAGCTAATCAATATATTAAAATAACTAACTCCAACTCATTAGTGTCATCTGTTTACCTATCACTGATAGTTTTCACACCTTTAGTAAATACAACTCTTTGTCTCTTAATTGGGGTTATCAATGGATTATATTGGCTTGTCAATCAATTTTGTAATTTTTGTTTGCCTGAGACACTTTAATGAATAATATTTTGATTTTGGGAATGAATCTTAAAATTATTTTTTGATTATTATATGATTTATAAGCATTGAATTGATATCATGATATCACAATAATGACACAATAACTCCGCTGAAAACATCCTTTCACATATTTGGTACATTGTTATCTCCTTTTCAATTTTGGTTCTTGGCTCTTCTTTTGGGTTTATAGGAAAACCATGTGACCATGAAAATCAATACACAAACCGGAAACAGTAGAATTTCAACACGAATTTGCAGAAAATGTTTACCAAAGAACAAATAAAACACAAAGACAGTATTGTAGTCATTTATTTTCAACAAAAACTTTTTATTTATTGATTTATGGAAGTTTGGCAATCAAAAACGTAGTTTTGAACAGGAAATTCACTCCTGACCACTTTTCTCAAGCTTGGATTTTTCCTCGGGTCGCTAGATCTCGTCTATTAGTCGGTCCCCCTCTCTGGATTATGAATTTTACTCCCAATTTTCCGACTAATAAGCGAGTAGGAACGGTAAGTCAATGATATTTGGTATGCAAATTTATTGGCATTTGCAAGTATCGTTTCCATGGAGATTATATAGCCCCACCCCTGATCATGGTTCATCGACTTTTAAACTTTTACATAGTTTACAAGTTAATGTTTGTGTTTAGGTTTGTTTAAAGGGAACGACTTATAATAAGTCAATGGTATTTGGTATGCAGTTGTATTAGCATTGGCACATCTCATTCCATGGAGATTGTTTAGCCATGTACCTTCAGTCATGGTTCATCGACTTTGAATATTTGCATTACTTACATTGTTAAAGTATTGCTATTTTAATTTCAACATTTGCATTATCAAAATTACAAAAAGGCGAGACATATCTCTGCGATAACAGTTTATGTTTTTATTTTACTGGATCTCGAATTATACAATGGCAAAAAAAGTAGTGAATTTCATTTTATTGATTATTTTATGGTAATAATGATCCAAGAAATGTAGTAGAATGGTAAGCATACAAAAATTTCACAGTAAGTGAATGAGTTTGATATTTATTACAGGGAAGAGTTGGAAGAGACGGTGAAAGAGGAGCTATGGGATCACAAGGAGACAAGGTACAATATACATACTACAGATGACAAAATGGCCAGAGCTAGTTATACCCCATGCTACAAGGTAGCCTGGCTGTCAGTCATCTTGGCATATGGATAACAAATCAAACACTTCATACAGAATTGCAAATTTCCTCTGATATATGGTCACCATAATAAGGCTTTTATCTCTATTGATTTTTGAAGCCACTTCCTTTAAGGTCATGGTCATAGTTACTGACCAAAATAAGTGCAGGAATTATTAAAAGGTATTATTAGTTTCCTGATTATAACTCTATAAGAATATGTGGGATAGGAATATAGCTTAATGAGTGGAATACTTTATTCATTTTGATATCAATGTATCCAAGGTCAAGGTCAAAGCTAAAATAAGTCTGATAAATTTCTACTCCACTGCCATGGCAAAGGAGGCATTAAGTTTTACCCTTGTTCATCTGTAAGTCCATCCATATGTCTGTCCATAGATCCATAAGTCCCAAAATTAGTTTCTGTTCTCCAACTTTATTTTCTGCAGCCAAATGTTATGAAACTGGTACACAATGCTTATTACCACCAAACACAGATTAAATTCGAATATAATATAGGTGATGTTATCACCGTTCTCAAGTTGGCAAATTTGTTGTTTCCGCATTCTTACTTTAGTTTTTTTGAACCAAATGTTGTGAACCTTATACACAAATGCTTATTACCACCAAACACAGATCAATTTTGAATTTGGATGGTGATACTTTCACTGTTCTCGAGTTATGTCCCTTTATAAATAGAAAATTAATGAATTTGCCATATATTTTCAAGGAGGGCATCTGTGTCGCATAGACACATTCTTCTTTTATTTTTTTCTGGGGATTCATAGAAAGTCTGTCCCTGCATTCGTCCTTGTTAGCGATGTCATGTGTACAATTCTTGATAAATAGATCAATTATTTCTAAAAGAGTTATGCCCCATGGAAATATTAATTATATGGAAAATCGCATTGTTAGCACTCTCTAATGTACAAATTTTACCAAATTTTAATAAATTTGTATCAAAGGTTTATATCAGCAATGTCTCGGACAAGTTCCAAAATCTGTGCTGATCAAACTATTTTTAAAAGAGTTATGTCCCTTGGATATATTAATTATCAAGAAAATTGCATTGTAAGTGCTCTAAAGCCTACATTTCTTCAAAGATTTTTTTGAAATTTATATCTAAGGTTTAGATCAGCAATTTCTGATCCTAATTCAAAAAGAAGTGTCGATCAGTTATTTTCAAAAGAGTTATTCCCCTTGAAAATATTAATTCTATGGAAAACTGTATTGTAAGCATTCTAACATTCACCACTCTTGCCAGATATTTATGAAATTTATATCAAAGGTATATATAAAAATTGTCTTGGACAAGTTCGAAAATCAGTGCAGATCAACTATTTTTAAAAGAGTTATGCCCCTTGGAAGTATTAATTATATGAAAAAAGCTTACATTTCTCTGTTATTATAAAAATTTGAAGAATAAAAAAAATTTTTTTTAGTTATTGTCCTTGGACAGATTAAAGATGTGCAAAACGGGGATACTGGAACTATGTTCTTTTAATTTTTCAAAGGGTTTAATGAAGTTTCATTCAACATATCTCCTGGATTACTACCGGTAAACAAAATGATTTCATATTTGGTCAGCAGTCATAAATAACGAAGAGATTTTTGGGAGGTAATCATTTAATTGATTGGTTTGGATTGGTTTTTGTTTTATTGCAGGGGCAACTTTTTCCTGATTATTCAGAATAGCCATTTAATTGTGCTGATCTCTTAAAAGAGGCCCACACTGTTTGATTCTATTTTGTTAAGCAGAACATCTGTAACTTTAAGATTAAAGTAATTTTCAATTATAAAGGCAAAGGATTTTTTCCTTTGTTATCTTTGTATTTTATTTTGAAAGTGATATTTTGATCATTTCAGGGAGATTTAGGTTACAATGGAATGCCAGGAATGAATGGACATAAAGGAGATAGGGTATGTGGAAACAAGTCATTCCCAAGACATGTTTGTTGTGTGTTTTCAGATTAATAATGATTAATCAAAATTTGTGAAAGAAATTGTGGAAATTTAAATCAACACAATGTAGTCTGAATGCAATAAGTGTTAAACTATATAGCAAGGAACCAGTCTGTAGTATTTCTTAATGTATTAAGATATGGATGACCAGTTAATTGAAGGTTTGATTAAGTTGTGATTGAGCGATGAAAAATTACTTTTAGAATTACAATTCATATGTTGTTCAAATACAATATTTATGCTGTTGATGGTCATATTTAGAATTTTAGTATGCAGTTATATGTTATCTTTTTCAATATCTTACTTTATTTCAGGGTCATCTTGGAGCCTCAGGAACACCTGGACCAGTTGGACCAGAAGGTCCACAGGTAAACACAACAATGTCAAAGAGCATTTTTGCAACAACTTAATATGAAAGAGCAAATGAAGATTTCATATATATTTTCTACAGAAAGCCTTGTATTCTACACATTTATGAATTGCTGACATCCCATTGAATTGCTTTGAAAATGTGGGAAATCATTTTCCCATCTTTTGCTGAAACTTGGTTTAGTTACAACTTGTTTATGGTCTTGAGCAAATATTTCATCAATCAAATTATATCCTGAATATTAAATATTAAGTTGTTAAGAAATATTTTATAAATGATTTAAAGCTACTTCATAAGTTTTAACCAACAATGATTAATCTGTAATAAAAAAAAAAAAAAAAGGTTGGGCCTTTATTAGCCTAAATTGTATATATGATGGAATAAGATCAAAACAAATGCAGATATTGGGCGTTTATTAGCCATAGTTGTATATATGATCATGGAAGTATTATATTGACAGGAACTACAACGATTTATTAGCACTTATTTATAACCCGGGGAGCGCTTTAGAAAAGATATGGAAACTGTCTAATTAATACGCTATCGTTAATTTCCTTTTGTGACTATCTGCGATGCCTCGGTCATAAATTGACCAGAGATACTTCTTATCAATCACATGGTTTTTATCGAGACACGTTAACACCAATACCTGTTGGAAAACACCTTTGCTTATTTCAATTGCGTCTTTTGACCTTTAATCATAAACAACTTATTTAAACAAATCGACTGATGCATAAAAAATTTATACTATAATCTTTTAAAGTAGTAAGTGACATTATTTTATTTCTTCAGGGGTTAAGTTAAAACCGTGATAATGGTGTGTTCCAGTTACTGTCGAGTCACGAAAATGTTCCTGATATAAATATACACCTGCGACGAATCGATTAATATATATAGTAAAGAGCCTAGATTATAAGCCTGGAAAGTAGAAATTTTCAGTTTTATATGCGAAAATTAATCCATCAAGGGCTGAATAACATAGAAATTATATATAACAAATATAGTAAAAAAGACGCACCTCGTTATTATACCCCAGGCAAATTTTTCTATTTCTATTTGTGCATTTATGAATATGCCGATCATGACTTGTGATTTGATCCGTATTTATCAATTTGAGAAAAAACGAAGACATATAAAATGTTATGGAATGGCTAAACTATCTCTATCCCATAAAATATTTTATCACTTTCTGTCCAAATGATACTAGTAAATATTACCATATATAATTCAACACACCGGGGCTCAACTGAAACATTCTTATACCAACCAATGATCTTACCCAGGATGTAAAGCGAAGCCTTATAATTCTAACATATTTAAAATCTCTATGATTTTTTTTTTATTTTAATCAGAACAATCAGTTTACAATTGTCCTAAATATGCATGAAATGTATGCCACTGGACGTTAAACAAACAGTAATTAATCACAACTTGCCATATTCTACAGAAAAATAAATCAATAAACATGGTGTATTTATTCAATTAATATGGTACAAATTTCCATCGTCAATGTGTTTTTTTTTCAAGAATTTTTAATAATGTCTCGCACAAATCAATCAGCATATATAGGCAAATGTAGGGTAATGGAATCTGCCAAGGTTTGCCGATTGCTGTTTCCTTAGAATTTATGACAATTTTTACTTCGTTTATTTCCGTAATCTCAAAAGCAACCGAGAATGAGAATAATGTAGGGTCCCACACGCTGATGTGTAAATAACGTACCATGTTTCAAGTTAATTAACATGTCATTAAATTGCGCGTGGCATCGCAGATAAAACGTTTGAAGTCGGGTTGTAGTAGTTCCTGTCAATATAATACTTCCATGATATGATGGAGTAAGACCAAAACAAATGCAGAGGTTGGGCCTTTGTTAGTCTAAGTTGTATACATGATGGACTAACATCAAAACAAATGTAGAGGTTGAGCCTTTATGAGCCTAAGTTGTATATATGATGGAATAAGACCAAAACAATTGCAGAGGTTGGGCCTTCATTAGCATATGTTGCATATATCATGGAATAAGACCAAAATAAATGCATAGGTTGGGCCTCTATTAGCCTAAGTTGTATATATGATGGAATAAGATCAAAACAAAGACAGAGGTTGGGCCTTTATTAGCTTTAGTTGTATATATATATGATGGAATAAGATCAAAACAAAGGCAGAGGTTGGGTCTTTATTAGCTTTAATAGTATATATGATGGAATAAGATAGAGGTTGGGCCTTTATTAGCCTTCGTTGTATATATGATGGAGAAAGACCAAAACAAATGAATTCAATGGTTGGCATCAACTTAATTGTTTCAAATGGTAGAGAGTAGTAGGTGAACAAATTAAAACCAAAATATAGATAAGATTCATTTCTTATGTTTCCTTATTTAACTGTAAAAATTATATTAACATACAAAACCTCTTAATACTAAGTGTGTGTCAAACATAGAACTGATTATTTAACCAAAATTTAGTATGAAAATCACAGTATTTTACATGTCATTATTTATTTTAGTAAAACAGTGTCTTGCTGATAGTTTATCTTAATATTTTTGTTTTGTTTGTTTTCTTTTCTTTTTGGAGTTGAAATTAATTTTAAAGATGTTTGTCAATCATGTGACCTTATTTCAGAAACCATTCAATTGAGTATCTTTTATACTGCAGTTCTCATACCTTGGAAATTGTACTTTGAGGATTAGAGAAAATATTAAATAAAATATTCAAAATAGATATGAATAGAAAATGTGAATTATCATTTCAGGGAGACATTGGCGAGCCAGGACCTGTGGGGCCACCAGGGGAATTGGTAAGTCGGATGTTGGTTATTGCTCTGAAGTATATATGGCTCTAACATGAAATGTGTGGTCATCATGCAAAAAGAAAATAGCTCCACATAAGAAAAATAAGTACAAAATTCATCTACACAAATAAAATTAATTTTTATTAGCGAATTCTATATTATGTGTGCATATTTGATAGCTCTGCTTTTATGTCATATAATGCAAAAACTTCAAAACTTAAATTCCTTATAAACTTAAGTCTTGATTGTATCTTATGAATGTTATTAAGAAAATTATGTCGTGCATACAGAACTTGGTATCAAAGATTTATATGGTATAAATGTCTCCAGCTTGGTTCTATTGGTAGTAGATTGACAGTTTATGTGGGTTCCATCTACCAAAAACCATTGCTTTTGGTGTTAGCATGTTTGAATTATAGCCTTTGACTGTAAATTTTCAGTTGATAAATGTGTAGTGATGCTAAAACTTAGAACTTGATCAGACAAAGATGACAATATATGGTGTTTGATGTTCTGTTTATGGCCATTTGTTTGATGCCATGAAACATTTAATTTTAATACTTTGCTCCCAAACTAGAGGGATTGATGAAAGTTATACTATAGTTATGATCATGCAAACCAGATAGAAAGGATCTGATTATTCTAGATGATCAAGCTTTTCTGCACTTTAATATGGTAAGATATCAGCTGCAAGTTACAATGTGAACCATATTGGAGAGTGAGACAGCTAGTGGAACAACAAGCATCAAATTGTGTTAAGCCTTGTAATCTATTTATTGTACTAATTCTAATAGTTTATATTTTACCTTGCTTAGTCTGTCCTCAATATTATGATTTGTTTGATATGAGATAAGTTCTCTTCTCACATTGTAAAGTTGCTGATAAGTTCTTCTTGGTTCTTCTCTGACATCACAAAGCCATCAAATGAGATAAGTTCTCTTCTCACATTGTGAAGTTGCTGATAACTTCTGCTTGGTTCTTCTCTAACATCACAAAGCCATCAAATGAGATAAGTTCTCTTCTCACATTGTAAAGTTGCTGATAAGTTCTGCTTGATTCTTCTCTAACGTCACAAAGCCATCAAATGAGATAAGTTCTCTTCTCACATTGTAAAGTTGCTGATAAGTTCTGCTTGTTTCCTTCCAACATCACAAAGCCATGATTTGAGATAAGTAGCAACTGAGTAGGGTAATATAGACATTTGAAGTACGCTAAATCAATTGTCTGTTTTTTCTTTTTCCCTGACTTACCAGAAAGTTTTTACATTCGTATCAATAGGATAATTTATTTGACCACATTCTAAAAGTTGGGACTATATATTGCATTCACTTTATAAAATAAGGAGACGTGGTATGATTGCTAATGAGACAACTATCCAACACAGTCAAAATGACATGTATTTAAGAAATTTTAAGTCACACTACGGCCTTCAACAATGAGCGAAACCAATACAGTATATTCAACTATTAAATGCCCAGACATGACAAAACTTGTAACAATTCAAACGAAAAACTAACTGCCTGGTTAATGACAAACTATGAATGAAAAACAGATATAACTAGATAACAATCAACAACAACCACTAAAATACAGGCCCCTGACTTGGGATAGGCACAAACAAAATGTGCCATGGTTAAACATGTTCTTTAGTGCTCAACCCTCCCTTAACCTGGGACAATGGTGTAACAGCACAACAAAAGAAAAAATTGTAAAAATCAGTTGAAAATGACTTGACTCCTCAGATTGGCACAAAGCACAAAAAACAAAAGACACAAAGTACCAGTTTAAGAGTTCAAAGCCAATAACAACTAATAAATAATTCATGTTCTCCTAGACTAAAGTATCAACCTTATCCGGCAGTCTGTATATAGACTAAATTATCAACCTTATCCATTTGTTCATCCAACACATATTTCAATCACTATTTTCTCAGGAACTACTGTACAGAAGGATTTCAAATTTGATCAGCAACTTGACAGTGATGAGTTGTTTGAACAGTTTTGAGATCTGTCAGGCACCTACGTACTTCTTGTTTTCCAATACTTTGAATTATGAGTAGCGGTATGCTAAGCATTACAATGCATGCATTCTTGTTTTGTTTCTTGTCAATCAAGGCAGTTCTTTTTATCCTGTACTGCAGTGTCAATTTATGAATACTCCATGTTACTTGTCAATTTTTTTTTATTCAGGGTCCAAGAGGTTTTATGGGAACAAGAGGAAGAGGTGGACCAATGGGAAGTCCTGTAAGTATAATAGCTGTAAAGCATCCCTCAGTGTGAACTTATTGAAGATTTGATTCATTTATAGTTTAATGTATAGATAGTTTAAAAGGCAAAATATGAACATAAAAATAGTTCATTCTTTTCCAGAAATAAGAAAATAATATGAAAGTGAAGTAGTGTTTATTATATTACATTAAAAAAATATAATTTGTGAAGATTGTTGTTTATTTCACAATAATAATTCTTTAAATTTTAGAATTTACATGCATAAAAGTCAAATACGAGCAACTAGATTATTTTATACATACTGTACATTGAATTTCAGGGTGTACCAGGAACTGAGGGACCACCTGGGCCAAAAGGCAATGAGGTAAGACTATCTAAAACATTGTCAGAAAAAAATAGTAATTGGCATAAACAATATAATAATGTTGTATTCCATCAATATATCATGTTTTTTTTTCATCATTTTAATTTGTTACCGGTACATTTTAATTGTGTCAACTCATAATACAAAATTTGTACCTAAACATTGTCTTTTCACTGTCTTAGAACATTAATAAAAGCTTAATGAGTCATTTGATATTCAAAATTATCCCAGTTCTTCAAAGTCTTGGTGACATTGTTAAATAATGACATAACAAATTTATACATGAACTATTTTTTACAGGGAACAGTAGGAGCACCAGGTGCCCCTGGTAATGGTGGAGCACCAGGGCCAACTGTAAGTATTCCATGTGTCATGTCTCAAAAATCCCAAAGCAGTCTTACTTCAAAATTTCTTTTCTTTTGTAAATTTCAGTACAGATCTTTTAATCTGTTGTTTAGTGATTTTTTGTTCTTTCTAACGTGCTAATTAAGCAGATGAAATGTTTTGATTTCCACTTTAAATGTCCCAAACATTTTTTATAGTTTGACCATTTGATCCTGTAGTAAATGTATGGTCAGGAGACATTGTCTGTATGTTGATTTTCATGCAGTCAAAGTGTCCAAACCATACCTTACTTTATGATGTAATCACATGAGTGGTTTCTGTAAAGTGATATAGGATACTGAAAAACAGACCATCTTAGAATTACTATATTAAATATTTTATATGTACTGTACCTGCTACAAAGATTATTTAAAACTTTAAAAGACCTCTCTCACTTGAATTGGAATAAATAATAATTTTCTCAAATGTAGATTTAATATAGATATGAATGTGTTAGACATAGAATATATTAGTGAATGTGTGGTTTCAAGAAAATATCTCTGACAATATAAAAAGTCTTAAAAATTTGCATATATACACATTTCTGGACAAGGTACAAGTGTATGTGAAACTGCAAGTAACATTTTTTGGCAGCAGATATTTAGAATACTAGTTTTCTTTTTTAGGGTCCACCAGGACCACCTGGACCAATGGGACCACCAGGCATTTCTGGTCCTGCAGGAAAACCTGGACTTCCTGGTTTGCCTGGACCACTTGGACCAGCTGTAAGTAAATTACATTAACATTTTTGTTTCTTTTTTTTATAGAATTTATTCAATTAGCTAGATTTAATAATCTTGGCAACAAGATTTCCCTCTTTTTATAGTATACAAGAGCTCACCACACTAGATGATTTTAGGATCCATGTTTTGGCTGTAAAATATCTTTTCTTATTAAATTTATTTATTGTTATTTAGCACAAATATGAGCAAATCTTAATAGACTTTTGTTTGGATTAGGTTTGCGATTCTGTAAAATTCAAATGCTTTATTTCAACTCTTTTAGACAACAAGGAATTTAAATAAAATCTGAACATTTGTTGTGAGAAAGACCCCTTAAAGCAAGAAGAAGGTGTCATGTTGGCAAAGTTATCACATTAAAAGCATTATATGTTCCCCAAGTTCACCATGTTGGGTCTTCACTTCTCTCTGTTTGGCTACCAGGGAGAACTCAGTTCTCCATAAAATTCTGAAGTATGACCCCTGGTATACATGTATATTGATGAACATTTTTGGGGTAAATCAGCACCTTATAAAAGGACTTCTAGTTTAACTCTTTAAGCACTATGACCCGGTTTACCAGGAAATCAATTTTACTTCCGTACACACTATAGCCCGCTATACCGGGCTGCGCATGCTACTTTTTTTAATCCGAGATTTCCATTGGTCAGTCGTTGGGATAACCCCTCTAAAGTAACATACTAGAGTCATATACATTCATTTGAGTTTCTCTGGCTTTTTATGTACTTTTAACGGAAAATAAAGTAAATATTGGTCTATTATTAGCGTCGAAAATTTTTGGAAGTTTTGTACACAAAATGGCAGATAGCGATAGTGAAAACGACCTGTCAGTAGACGAAATTATTGATTATGTCGGCCAATTTGACTTAATAAATGTTAATCAAGCTTACAGAAATGAATTAGAAAGGCAATGGAGAAATATAGTGGGGGACAGTGATGATGAGGATGACTTTGAGGGGTTTGAAGCCGCGGACATGTTGACAAAAATTTTGACACATGGAGAAAGACAGAAACTCGAAGAAACATTCGTGAATTTAGGGAACGTGTGGGCCCAGTTAGAAATTTTGACACTTCAGCATCTGCCCTGAACTATTTTCAATGTTTTTATACTGAAGAAGTCTTCACTTCTATCGTCAATTTAACTGATTTGAACGCAATCCGAAAATCATACATGAAAGTTTACAAATTTACCTGTGCTAACGAAGTACAAATACTTTGTCAATTGAGACAATATCACTTTTTTTTTTTTTAATAATCATAAACTATTAAATCAATATAAATTCAAACAAAATAAAAGTGATGTCATAGTTAAAACACCAGTTTATCAAAATTACCTGATTTACCTGTATTTTTACCTGTATTTTTACCTGTATCTCACCTGTATGTCACCATAAGTCACAATAAGACAAACAGGTACAGCAAGTACAAAGTATGCTGATTATTTTGATACCTCATATGATGGAATTGGACGACTGAGTACAAATATACATCAGTTTTAAAGTACCTTCCCTAAATAAATGAAAATTCTCAAAGTTACTTAGTGTTGAAGGGTATGATACATTGAAAGTTATGCAGTGTTGAAAGAGTTAACATGTTTAACATTTATTTCAATAAAAATATTGAGTTTTCATCGAAAGTGAATAGAATTGTTCCATAAAGATTTGAATGAAAATATATGAATGTTTTAGATAATAAATCAGAGAAAGAGGAAACATGATTTTTGTGAAAAATAAACCTATGATATCAGATTGTAATAAATACTTTAATTATTTCTTGACAGGGATTACCTGGCAGAGAGGGCGAACCTGGGCTTAAAGGAGATCAGGTAAGTAAAATTTAAGCAATTACTCCCTAGTTTATGTCAAAACAGTATTCCAATGGACCCAGCATTTAAAATTTTATTACTGAATGGGTCTATTAAAGGTCCTGAATTAGTGTCCAGAAACGGTATTTCCAATGGACCCAGCATTTAAAATTTTATTACTGAAAGGGTCTGTTAAAGGTCCTGAATCAGATTTCAGAAGCATTATTCATACCTGCCAAATTTTAAAAATCTCCATGGGGGATTTTAAGCACAAGAGGACCTATTGTTTTTAATCTACTGTTAAATTGTTTGAATGAATATGTATGTGCTTAAATATCCTTTTAACTCATTTGAATGCCTATTTGGAGGTGTTCAGTTTATTTAATAAAGAATTTAAAAATTCAGGTCAACACCTCTCCTGGGGGAAACCCCCTTAAATCGTGGAGGTTGGCAGGTCTGAGTATTTCCACTAACCAAGCATTTTATTACTGAATGGGTCTGTTAAAGGTCCTGAATTGGTTTCCAGAAACAGTGTTTCCAATGGATCCAGCATTTAACATTTTATTACTGAATGGGTCTGTTAAAGGTCCTGAATTGGGTTCCAGAAACAGTATTCCAATGGATCCAGCATTTAACATTTTATTACTGAATGGGTCTGTTAAAGGTCCTAAATTGGGTTCCAGAAACAGTATTCCAATGGATCCAGCATTTAACATTTTATTACTGAATGGGACTGCTAAAGGTCCTGAATTGGGTTCCAGAAACAGTATTCCAATGGATCCAGCATTTAACATTTTATTACTGAATGGGTCTGTTAAAGGTCCTGAATTGGTTTCCAGAAACAGTATTTCCAATGGACCTAGTATTTAATATTTTATTACTGAATGGGACTGCTAAAGGTCCTGAATTGGGTTCCAGAAACAGTATTCCAATGGATCCAGCATTTAACATTTTATTACTGAATGGGACTGCTAAAGGTCCTGAATTGGGTTCCAGAAACAGTATTCCAATGGATCCAGCATTTAACATTTTATTACTGAATGGGTCTGTTAAAGGTCCTGAATTGGTTTCCAGAAACAGTATTTCCAATGGACCTAGTATTTAATATTTTATTACTGAATGGGACTGCTAAAGGTCCTGAATTGGGTTCCAGAAACAGTATTCCAATGGATCCAGCATTTAACATTTTATTACTGAATGGGTCTGTTAAAGGTCCTGAATTGGTTTCCAGAAACAGTATTTCCAATGGACCTAGTATTTAATATTTTATTACTGAATGGGTCTGTTAAAGGTCCTGAATTGGGTTCCAGAAACAGTATTCCAATGGATCCAGCATTTAACATTTTATTACTGAATGGGACTGCTAAAGGTCCTGAATTGGGTTCCAGAAACAGTATTCCAATAGATCCAGCATTTAACATTTTATTACTGAATGGGTCTGTTAAAGGTCCTGAATTGGTTTCCAGAAACAGTATTTCCAATGGACCTAGTATTTAATATTTTATTACTGAATGGGTCTGTTAAAGGTCCTGAATTGGGTTCCAGAAACAGTATTCCAATGGATCCAGCATTTAACATTTTATTACTGAATGGGACTGCTAAAGGTCCTGAATTGGGTTCCAGAAACAGTATTCCAATGGATCCAGCATTTAACATTTTATTACTGAATGGGTCTGTTAAAGGTCCTGAATTGGTTTCCAGAAACAGTATTTCCAATGGACCTAGTATTTAATATTTTATTACTGAATGGGTCTGTTAAAGGTCCTGAATTGGGTTCCAGAAACAGTATTCCAATGGATCCAGCATTTAACATTTTATTACTGAATGGGACTGCTAAAGGTCCTGAATTGGGTTCCAGAAACAGTATTCCAATGGATCCAGCATTTAACATTTTATTACTGAATGGGTCTGTTAAAGGTCCTGAATTGGTTTCCAGAAACAGTATTTCCAATGGACCTAGTATTTAATATTTTATTACTGAATGGGTCTGTTAAAGGTCCTGAATTGGGTTCCAGAAACAGTATTCCAATGGATCCAGCATTTAACATTTTATTACTGAATGGGACTGCTAAAGGTCCTGAATTGGGTTCCAGAAACAGTATTTCCAATGGACCTAGTATTTAATATTTTATTACTGAATGGGACTGCTAAAGGTCCTGAATTGGTTTCCAGAAACAGTATTCCAATGGATCCAGCATTTAACATTTTATTTCTGAATGGGACTGCTAAAGGTCCTGAATTGGGTTCCAGAAACAGTATTCCAATGGATCCAGCATTTAACATTTTATTACTGAATGGGTCTGTTAAAGGTCCTGAATTGGTTTCCAGAAACAGTATTTCCAATGGACCTAGTATTTAATATTTTATTACTGAATGGGTCTGTTAAAGGTCCTGAATTGGGTTCCAGAAACAGTATTCCAATGGATCCAGCATTTAACATTTTATTACTGAATGGGACTGCTAAAGGTCCTGAATTGGGTTCCAGAAACAGTATTTCCAATGGACCTAGTATTTAATATTTTATTACTGAATGGGACTGCTAAAGGTCCTGAATTGGGTTCCAGAAACAGTATTCCAATGGATCCAGCATTTAACATTTTATTACTGAATGGGACTGCTAAAGGTCCTGAATTGGGTTCCAGAAACAGTATTTCCAATGGACCTAGTATTTAATATTTTATTACTGAATGGGACTGCTAAAGGTCCTGAATCAGTTTTCAGGGATAGGTTTCATTTTCCTCTATAATAAGATACATGCAAAGGAAATATTTTGTTCAAATCCATTGAATTTCAGAGTAAGGAAGTAAACAAAAGAGTACAAATTTATAATTTTGAAGGGTAGATATTATTTCTTCTACAAAGAACAGTGTAAGAATATATTTCTGGACAGCAAAAGGACCAGAGATATTTATAGTTTAATTAGGGCCATGCCTATTAATTAGTTGAAGGCCTACACAGTAATCATCTTGTCCCTCTGTATGTTTGCCAAATTAATACACCATTTTGACTCTCTAAATTTAAAACCAATAGGAGTTCAGTGCCGAAACTTGGCATGATTATTCACCACTTCTAAAAGATATGTTGTGTACATGGAAGAAAACGTACATTGAAGATCATGATTAAAAAGATAACTGAACCTAGACAAACTTGTGCATAAAAAATAGAATAACCCTTATTGCATCACACATTTATTTACTGTGATGTCTCCTATAACTATCGTCAAGTTCAACCCAAATAATCATAATAATTTTTATGCGCCCATCAAAGACGAACGCATTATGGTATACCAACGTTCATCTGTCCGTCAACACTTCATACAATAAATCAACTTCGCTGTATCCAATTTTCATTTAACTTTAACACAACATTGTTTTATTTTTTACTTTGTCAATCCAGAGTTACAGAACTTTGGCCCTTAGATTTAAGATAATTTTTCACTAATTGCGCACTAACTCCAGTATTTATTTATTAATTTCCTCCAAACTTTTTTTGAATATTTTGGTGTGTCGGAACTTTAACTTTTACATTTAAGGCAATTTTTCACAAATCTCGCTCTTACTCCTGTATTCCTCGATTGATTTCCTCTAAACTTTACATTATTGTGGTGACTGAAATAAGGAAGCTCCTGTATGTATTTTTTAAATTTTCTGGTCTGTAATTCCAGAGTTATGGGACTTTAATTGTCAGATTTTAGTAAATTTATCAAATATTGTACCATAGGATTGATTTAGTGGAAACTTTACTTGACTGTTGGAATTGGTGAACATAACAAAATGTGTGGTTTAAATGGTATCCTCAGGCATGTTTTTCTACAGATCCATTTTTATTAAAGAATCAAGTTTAAGGCAAAGCATACATTGTAACAAACAAATAATTTATGTGGAAAATAGCGGCCACAGTTCACATCGAATGATGAGATCTGACATGATAGCAGAATGCCAACTTACGGTAATTGATTTAATTGACAAGTCTGTGCACCATTGGTGACAATGGATGCTCGAGTTCCTCCAGGTTAAATACTAAAGAGAACAAGGGCCATGATCCCCAGATACGTCAGGTCATATTCGAATCACCCCCTGGTTTCACTTCAGGGGAGTGAAGATTAACAATTTCTAGATCATAAAACAGTTAAGCTCGAACTGGTACCAATTCAGAACCGGCCACTCATGGTAGCTATATATACATGAGATGGTCTCAACAGAACTTCCTGCGGTACCGCAGGAAAGTAAAAACCTAATATGATCCGACATACAATACAGGAGAGGATCAAAACCCCTTAATCTTGCCAGATCCCGACATACGTTTTTGACTGTGACTAATCATTTTATTACAATATAATGAACAAATTAATTTCAAGATAAATGCTGATCTTTAACAAAGGAAAATTAAAAGTTTAATGCATTCCTGGCAGACAAACTAATAACGCATATTGATGGTTCCATTTTCACTCTGCTGGTATCTGAATATCCTGGTAAAAGTACAAGCCACTCACTAAAATTAACATTAGCCTATAGTTCTCGAAAGTATGATTCAGCAAGCAAATCCATCGGCTTTGTTTGTCCTCTCTATTTAGTCCAATAACATTATGGATCAGGCTTTTTCTGGTCATCCTGAAAAATTAATAAAACAGCAGCAGACAAAGAAATTGTTATTAGATGGTAGATTGCAAGGGGAGGTGGTGGGTTTTTGAAACATTCATATATCTACAACAGTGGCTAGTTCAATGTAAGGCTGAAGAGTCACGTGAAGTTAATTAGCGGGAAACGAGATACGGATCCGAATGATGCATTAATCAAATCTCTTTCATTTAATTGGTTTATCTTATAAATGAGATAAACCGTACTATTTGCTTATGATTAAATGCCTTCGAAACATCCGATTTTATTCTTGTAACAATTTCAATATGCATAATAAAGGTTTATCATGCGCTCTTAGAGAAGCTGTTTATTTATCATTGTAAATATTTTATGAAAAAAACAACCTTTTTTTTTTTTTTAATAATTAGCCATTTGACTTAAAAGAATTCATTGTCTGTATTGCATTCTTAAATTGTTCCGATTTTTTTTAATTTCAGGGATCACAAGGAATGCAGGGCATTATTGGTTACCCAGGACCAAGAGGAATTAAGGTACTGTGATTTTTTAAGGTACACTTTTAATGTATAGATACAGACATTCGGACTTAGAAATAAATATTGCAAACCAGCCATTTAAGACTTTTACCTGTTTTTGTTCAATGTACTGTGTAGTTTGTAAAAATACTGTAAGTATTTGAATAATTGGAAAACATGATGTTCATATATGATTAATTTTCCAGTAAAAACATAATCTGAAACATTTATTGAATTGTTTAAAAATGATATATCTGTAAATATATTGAATGTATTGATATTTGTAGGGAGATACAGGTAACACAGGACCAATTGGGATCAAAGGTGACATGGTAAGTAATACAAGTAACATAATGTCATAAGTTCTCAAATCTCCTTCTTTTCATATTTTAATGGATTCTGAAGAACAAACTGTTATTGTTAAGAGAAGAAATGTTTGCAGAGAAAACATGAGTTCTTGAGGTACTCTCAATCGAAAACTTAAACATATATATTTGCTTTCATTTTTCATGGTTTCATTATATCATAAATGCATGGAAATAAGAAGTGCTGTTTTTATGGTCTTTAAGCTGTCAATGTGTATTTTTTTTCTAATTAAAAAAAACAGTGCATAAAATAGATCTTACAATCTCTTTTTCTTTAGTTTTGAAGTGGTCTTAAGTTTTCTTAAATTGTGTTTACTGTCAAGATATGGTATAACAGAAATTTTGATATTATTTGAGCTTGGGAGTGCAATTTTTATTCTACAAGAGATAATATTCACCAATACTCATGAAAGTACCCTTCTGTTGTATAGCAAAGCTTGAAAAACATAATTTTGTCACTGATAATGTTGATAATTTGAAGCTTCATTTGCAATGATGCAATATCATAGAATATTGCATACTTACTTTTAGTTATGTTCTTTAGGCAATGTTATGTTGCTATACAATAATATATTTTACCTATACCTATTGTTTTAGGGTGGCCTAGGTATGGATGGCATGAAAGGAGACTATGGATATAAAGGTGATAAAGGACTTAAAGGAACTCCTGGACCACTTGGATATGAAGGAATTGAAGGAACAAAGGTAATCAACATGGAAATGAACATTTCCCTCCATTCAAAATCCATTTCATATTTTACACAATTAGGTTTTAGACGATATAATTCTTGTTAAGCTGTACTTATTAAAAAATGGTAGCCAGAAATGAAAGATGGTATTTTAGATTTAGCTATGTTATTTTACCTAAAAAAAAGTACTAAAGTTTGTTTAAAAAGTATAAACAGACTTTTATGCAGGTGACAAAACTCTTCATAACCTAAGGAATATACACTAAGATATTTATTTTAGGAATTGTGCAAACTTAATTAAATCTTCATAGACAAAAATAAAACCAATTTCTGACTAATGAAACAGGAATCATTGGTTGAAATTTAACAAAAAATTGATGGAAATTTTAACAACTGTGTCATGAAATTTTAGGAAGTAGGAAAACCAGAAGATCTTGCACAAAAAAACAAATAATTTGTCAAATGAAAATAATATGAATGTTCACCTCAAACACTCGAACATGCAGCCACACAATGACCAGACAAACTCTTGTTGTATATATCAGTTAAGTCTGTACGAATTAAATCTGATAAAAAGATAATTTAAACATTTGTTTTTTTTAAAGGGAGATCCAGGACAAAGAGGAGAAGTTGGAGAACAGGGTAGTCAAGGAGAAAAGGTGAGAATCATTGAGGCAGGATAAAATAGTGTAATCATAGTTCCTTTTGAATGGAAATAAATAAATAAAAAAACAGACTTACTTAAAAAATCCTAAGATTAAGCGCCCCTGTTATTGCATCACCTCTCACATACATATTTAACAGAATGATAGATACTGGTATATATCCTTCTTTACTGAAGAATGCTAAGGTAACACCAGTTTTCAAGGATGGTGACAAGCTTTTAGCAACAAATTACAGACCTATATCTGTTCTTCCAACTTTATCAAAATTAATAGAAAGGCATGTTTCTAATAACATGTACAAATACTTATCTAAACTTAAACTTTTACACCCTACACAATCTGGTTTCAGGCCGCAGCATTCTTGTCAAACTGCACTTATTAATATCATTGACAAATGGTTGCAAGAAATGAATGATGGTAATTTAAACCTAGCAATTTTATTAGATTTTAAAAAAGCTTTTGATTTGGTAGATCATGACATTCTTTGTTTAAAGCTTGAAATTTATGGATTTAGTGAGGCTACTGTTAGTTTTTTCAAGTCATACCTGAATAACAGAAAACAGCAGGTAAACATTTGTAATGTTTACTCTGAACAACAACATGTAAAATTTGGTGTCCCCCAAGGTTCTATACTTGGTCCTCTATTGTTTGTGCTATTTATAAACGACCTTCCCTTATGCATTGAAAATTGTGAAACAGACCTATATGCTGATGACACCACTCTTCATAAATCAGGGAAAAACATAGAAAATATACATGATGATGTTCAAGAAGATTTATACAGGGTTGAAGAGTGGTGCAAAATGAATAACATGTTCATTAATGCAAATAAAACAAAATGTTTGGTTACTGGAACAAAGCAGAAACTATCAATTCAGACTTATCAACCAAACTTAATAATAGATTCAAAAGTATTACAAAATTCTTCATGTGAAAAATTATTAGGTGTTAAAATTGACAGCACACTTAACTGGAGAAATCAAATTGACCAAGTTTGTGCTAATATATCATCCAGAATATACCTCCTTTCTAAAATAAAGAAATTTTTAGATATAAATGCAAGGAAAACATATTACAATGGGTATATTCTGCCCCTGATTGACTACTGCTGTATTATTTGGGGTGAATGTAAAAATGAAGGGATAGCAAGAATTTTAAAACTCCAAAAAAGGGCAGCAAGATTAATTCTAGATGCAGTTCCTTTATCCCCCTCAGCCCCCTTATTTAAAGAACTTGGGTGGATGACAGTTGACAATAGAATAAAATACCACAAATATTTACTTCTATATAAATGTATGCATATGGAAGCACCAATGTACCTAGTTCAAAAGTTTAAACTGAAATCAGATAATAATCCTTACTCCCTGAGAGGCGTCACTCAAGGTAATCTGATAGTTCCTAAGCCAAAAGCTGAGCTATTTAAGAAATCTTTTGTTTATTCTGGATCAGTGTTATGGAATGGACTACCAAACAAAATGCGTAAAGCTCAAAACACTTATACTTTTAAACAAAGTATCAAGAAGTACTTAACACAGTCCTGATAAGATTATGTTTCTACAATGTATTTGTATATTCTTTTATTTATATTTGTATTTGATTTTTTGACTACATGTACATCTTGAACAGCCTTATATCTTATCATGTTAGTAATATTACATTGAACTAATTGACTGTAAATTAACTATGTGTAAATATCTGTTTTTTGATTGTATTGTAATTTGTATGTGAGGGCCTCAGGGAAGATTAGTTTATTGTAACTAACTGAGTTTACCCTCTTTAAATAAAGAATTTATTATTATTATTATTATTATAATACAGTTAACTACTGTGGAGTCATTATTATTCTTTCATCGGTTTTGTGGATATTGGTGTATAGTGGTACCACGAATTTAAATGTATCTTCGAAATGCAAATTTTATACAGGCTTGTATGCAGACTGGTGGCTAAACCACAAATCAAATATCCACGAACCTACATTTTTTCCTCAATCCACGAAAATTGGTACCCACGAAAAATAAATGAATCCACAGTATATTGTTTGTTTGAAAGAAGGAAATAATAAAATTTGAAAAAAAATGTAGAGGTAAAGATCTTGAAAATATCATTATGGCATAAAATAGTTCAGTTAAACTAAAAGGTTTTAACATAATGATATACCCTACCTTCTATAGATTTCAGAGAATTCAATTGAATGTGCGAAGTCACATGCTGACTGTGTACTGGTATATTTATTACACAGATTGCCCATTATAAGAAAGCATCTGTAAGATACTCATTTTGTATTGCAAGAATCAGATAGTCAGTAGGATATAAATATTACACAGTTCATCATTGGTATATACAAGGTCTGTAAATTTTGTAAGGGGACTCTAGCTATGCTCTCATCTCATATAAAATTTACTGAATGTGTATATACCCTATTAGGTCATGGACTACCTGTGTAGTAAATATTATTTAGATTATTTTACAATGTCTTATGAATGTACACACTAATTTAGTCAAATATAATTTCAGGGACGACAAGGCATGCCAGGTATAACAGGATACCCTGGACCGACAGGACCAAAGGTAATTGAACTATTAAAAAAACAAGATTCTTTCCAAATTAGATATTGAACTTTTGCTCCATGTAGTGAACTAAATCTATGAACTTAAAGTTTTTAGAAGCCGTTATGAATAGGTAAAATCTGACAAAAGCAAAAATGTTCAGAATGTTGAGCTCTACCAATTGTCCATATGCGTCAAAACTGTCAGATGACTTCTTATAGGAGTTATTGCCTTTAAATGACAAGTTTTACCATTGTTTTCAATTTTGCCTATTATCTTGAAAAATATAGTAGATAGAAAGAAACTGCAAACTGCAAAAATGATCCGCACTACAAGTTCTACAAATAAGTCCACATTGTCGAAATCGTCAGTCGACTCCTTATTAGAGTTATTGCCCTTTGATGACAACTTTTTACCAATTTTTGCATTTTTGCCTTATATTTTAAAAATTATAATAAATAGATAGAAACTTAAATAAGCAAAAATGATCAGCAAGACAAGACCTACAATTAAGACAATATTGTCTGACGACTCCTTATTGGATTTATTGTCCTGTAATGAAGAGTTTTACCATTTTTTTTTGCATTATGCCTTATATGATAAAAGTTATAATACAGATAAATAGACACTTTAAATCATAAAAATGATCAGCAAGGCAAGATCTACTAACAAGTCAAATTTTGCCGATATAGTTGGTAGACTGTCACTCTTTATAGGAGTGATTGACCTTAAATGAGGATTTTTTTTACCCTCTGTTATGTTTTGAGCAAGAACTAAAGAAGATAAAGAGAAACTAAACAGAATAAATGATCAGCAATACAAGATCAACAAAACAGAGATTTTTTGTCATGAGAGCCTCTAGTTTTGTCATACATGATGACAGATTAATTGTCCTACAACAGATAGAGTACTGGGTTCCATAAGTCTCTTCAATGGTTTACAGGTGTTAAATGGTTTTGAAATTAAGACAATTTTCTTTGTAAGCACCCTTTTAGTGTTGTATGAAATTATATTGAAGCCTTGCTACTTACATATTATCCTGAATAAGAATGTTAAATTTTTAGGTAGATATTAATCTGACAATTGGGAGGGTGACTTGGAAAAATATTGGGGTATTCCCATATCAATTCTTGTCACCACAACAACAACTTCATTTCTCATGAGATACTCTACATGTTTATGAAGGTTTCCACTTGACTTATGAAAACCTTGATGAGTTGAATAATCAGAAAAATCTGAAAATGGGAACTTTCTTTGGGGAGAGGGACTGGTCAAAGTATTCCATTTTAATTCTCATCGCCAGAATAGCACTTTCATTTATTATCAGATTGGCTTTAAATTTTGATGAAGGATTCAATCTTCTCTTCAAAATCTGAAATGAATGTAATAATCGGAAATATCTGATAGGGGGAACTGAAAAAACATCCCATATTACTTCTTGTCGCCAGGATAGCACATTCATTTCTTATCAGATTTTCTTCAAGTTTCTATGATGGATTCCATTCATCAAAACCTCGGATGAGTTCAATAATGAAAAAAAGTCTGAAATGAGGAACAATTTTTTTTGGAAAGGGGGACTCCTGATAATTTCCCATTTGAAATATGTAGAGTGTATGTATGTGAACTTGTTCACTAAAGGTTTTTCTTTTTTATATGCCAGTTTACGGGAATTATAATGGTATACCATTGTCCGTCTCTCTGTCCGTCCGTCCGTCCGTCCGTCAGTTCGTCAGTCCTATTTCTTGTAATCGCAACTCCTCTCAAACCACACAACAGAATTTCACGAAACCTTTTTAGATAATAAGGACATACTATGTAGTTGTGCATATCGACAGGAAATTACGATTCAATTTTTTTTCTAGGAGTTACGCCCCTTTGAACTTATTTACTTTAATGTACTACTGCAACCTTTTGTCATCGCAACTCCTCTCAAACCACACAACAGAATTTCATGAAAAATTTTCAGATAATAAGGACATACAATGTAGATGTGCATATCGACAGGAAATTACGATTCAATTTTTTTTTTCCAGGAGTTACGCCCCTTTGAACTTATTTGCCAAATATACTACTGCAACTTTTTGTCATCGCAACTCCTCTCAAACCACACAACAGAATTTCTTGAAACCTTTTCAAATAATAAGGACATACTAAGTAGATGTGCATATCGACAGGAAATTACGATTCAATTTTTTTTCCAGGAGTTACGCCCCTTTGAACTTATTTGCCCAATATACTACTGCAATCTTTTGTCATCGCAACTCCTCTCAAACCACACAACAGAATTTCTTGAAACCTTTTCAAATAATAAGGACATACTAAGTAGATGTGCATATCGACAGGAAATTACGATTCAATTTTTTTTCCAGGAGTTACGCCCCTTTGAACTTATTTGCCCAATATACTACTGCAATCTTTTGTCATCGCAACTCCTCTCAAACCACACAACAGAATTTCATGAAACTGTGCAGATAATAAGGACATACTATGTAGATGTGCATATTGACAGGAAATTATGATTCAATTTTTATACGACCGCAAAAAAATTTTTGTGGTCGTATATTGGTATGACGTTGGCGTCGTCGTCGTCCGTCGTCGTCGTCGTCTGGCGTCGTCCGGCGTCGTCCGAAGACACATTGGTTTTCGCACTCTAACTTTAGTTTAAGTGAATGGATCTCTATGAAATTTTACCACAAGGTTCAATACCACAAAAGGAAGGTTGGGATTGTTTTTGGGGGTTATGGTACCAACAGTAAAGGAATTAGGGGCCAAAAAGGGGCCAAAAATAAGCATTTTTGTAACTTCCAGACATAACTTGTGTGTTAGTGTATGGATCTCTCTGACATTGTACCACAAGGTTCCATATCACAAAAGGAATGCTGGGATTGATTTTGGGGGTAATTGCCTCAAAATTTTAGGAATTAGGGGCCAAAAAAGGGGCAAAAAACAAGCATTTTTCTAGTTTCATAACAATAACTTGTGTGTAAGTGTATGGATCTTTCTGAAATTGTACTACAAGGTTCCATATCACAAAGGGAAAGCTGGAATTGAGTTTGGGGGGTAATTGCCGAAACATTTAGGAATTGGGGGCCAAAAAGGGGCCAAAAATAAGCATTTTTCTAGTTTCCAGACAATAACTTGTGTTCAAGTGTATGGATCTCTCTGAAATTGTACTGCGAGGTACCATACCACAAAGGGAAGGCTGGGATTGATGATGGGGGTAATTGCCTCAATATTTTAGGAATTAGGGGCCAAAAAGGGGCAAAAAACAAGCATTTTTCTAGTTTCAGGACAATAACTTGTGTGTAAGTGTATGGATCTTTCTGAAATTGTACTACAAGGTTCCATATCACAAAGGGAAAGCTGGGTTTGAGTTTGGGGGTAATTGCCCTAAACGTTTAGGAATTTGGGGCCAAAAAGGGGCCAAAAAACACATTTTTCTAGTTTCCAGACAATAACTTGTGTTCAAGTGTATGGATCTCTCTGAAATTGTACTGCAAGGTACCATTCCACAAAGGGAAGGCTGGGATTGAGTTTGGGGGTGATGAATCATAAGGGGGTTCAAAATATTTGTGGGGGGGGGATTTTTTTTTTTTTCATTTTTTTTTTCTTTTAAAATTTTCCATTTTAAGTTGGTTATTTCTGATTTATATTTAAAAGCAAATAATAATGATATGGTAGGAGATACACACCAAACAGGATGTGTAAATTATTATATAATAAGTATTGTGCAATAGCAAGAAATTTTCAATTGCGCAGTATTGCACAATAGCAAGAAATCTTCAATTGCACAGTATTGCGCAATAGCAAGAAATCTTCAATTGCACAGTATTGCGCAATAGCAAGAAATATCCAATAGCACAATATTGCGCAATAGCAAGAAATTGTCAATTGTACAGTATTGCGCAATAGCAAGAAATATTTAATTGCACAGTATTGTGCAAAAGAAGATACTTCGTATAAATTGCTTATTTCTTGACCAATTTCAATGGGGTTTTATTCTTGAATTCTTGGGTTTCTTTAATATGCTGAATCTAACCGTGTATTTAGTTTTTGGATTTTGGGCCCTGTTTTTTTAATTGGTCCAAATTGAGGTCCAAAGGGTCCAAAATTAAACTTTGTTTGATTTCATCAAAAATTGAATTTTTGGGGTTCTTTGATATGCCGAATCTTACCATGTATTTAGATTCTTAATTTTTGGTTCCGTTTTCAAATTGGTCTACATTAAGGTCCAAAGGGTCCAAAATTAAACTTAGTTTGATTTTAACAAAAATTGAATTCTTAGGGTTCTTTGATATGCTGAATCTAAACATGTATTTAGATTTTTGATTATGGGCCCAGTTTTCAAGTTGGTCCAAATCGGGGTCCAAAATTAAACTTTGTTTGATTTCATCAAAAATTGAATTTTTGGGGTTCTTTGATATGCCGAATCTTACCATGTATTTAGATTCTTAATTTTTGGTTCCGTTTTCAAATTGGTCTACATTAAGGTCCAAAGGGTCCAAAATTAAACTTAGTTTGATTTTAACAAAAATTGAATTCTTAGGGTTCTTTGATATGCTGAATCTAAACATGTATTTAGATTTTTGATTATGGGCCCAGTTTTCAAGTTGGTCCAAATCGGGGTCCAAAATTAAACTTTGTTTGATTTCAACAAAAATTGAATATATGGGGTTCTTTGATATGCTGAATCTAACCATGTATTTAGATTTTTGATTTTTGGGCCGCGTTTTCAACTTTGTCCACATTGAGGTCAAAAGGGTCCAAAATTAAACTTTGTTTGATTTCATCAAAAATTGAATTCTTGGGGTTCTTTGATATGCTGAATCTAACCATGTATTTAGATTTTGGATATTGGACCATAATAGGTGAATGTCCAATTTAAAATTTTTAAGTTCTTAGACCACATTCATTCTGTGTCAGAAACCTATGCTGTGTCAAATATTTAATCACAATCCAAATGCAAAGCTGTATCAAGCTTGAATGTTGTGTCCATACTTGCCCCAACTGTTCAGGGTTCGACCTCTGCGGTCGTATCAAGCTGCGCCCTGCGGAGCATTTTATTTTTTCTGATACAATTTATTTTTCTTACACTTATATTATTTCTCCAATGACAATGTGGGGACGTGGGGTATGTGAGCGCGCTCACTAAGGTTCTTTAATTTAATCTACTTTAATCATAGTGTTTGATACTTACAGGGACCAACTGGTCGTCATGGACGCCGTGGAAGAAGAGGCACAAGAGGAAAATCTGTAAGTTCTTAATTCTTCTTTTACATTAATTAAGCTGAGCCAATTAACAAAAATGAAAAATTTTTCATTTAGTTTTATATGTCTTAGAAGGATCAAATGTTGGGTAAAAAAAAATTGTACTTAAATGATGAAGTCTCCCAACAGCTTAATCTTTACTACAAATAGACAATCATAGAAAATCATCAAGATGATATGATATAATAATAATATTGACAAATTTTTTTTTTTTTTCAATATTCAAAATCATCAAGTGAAAATGACAATATTTTTTATTTGCAATGATACAAATATTGCAGAACTTCCAAATTAATGAATACATCTTGTTTACCTTACAATAACATGAATTTCAAGATTTAAATAGGCTGCAATATTCCATAGTAGTTGTTCTATTTTTGTCTTGCCTGCGACTTTCCAGTATGCGAGACATAGGTATTACTATCCGGCAGCGGCGGCTTAAACTATTTGTATAAAGCTTTTTATTTCAGAAGGTAGAAGACCTGGATGCTTCATACCTTGTATGCAGATACCTTATGTTACGAATTTTCCGTCTGTCATATGCCCATTGTCCTTGACCTGAATTTCATGGTTCAGTGACTTCTTGAAAAAAATTACAGTTTTTTTGTCATGTGAATTTCTCACTTATTATGAGTAATAGGATAACTATATTAACTATATTTGGTATATGGGTTCCTTGCAACGTCTACATTTTCCATCAGACAGGGTTAACCTGACCTCGACCTCAATTCATGGATCAGTGATCAAGGTTAAAGTTACGTGATTAGGTCTGTTTCTCAGATACTACAAGCAGCAGGTCAACTATATGTGGTGTATGGAATGATTGTAAGGGGTACATGTCAGACTGGCAGGTTTCATCTGACCTTGACCTCATTTTCATGGTTTATTGGTCATTGTAAATTTTTTGTGTTTTGGTCTGTTTTTCAAGTACTAATAGAAATAGGTCAACTTTATGTGGTGTATGGAATGATTGTAAGGGGTACATGTCAGACTTGCAGGTTTCATCTGACCTTGACCTCATTTTCATGGTTCATTGGTCATTGTTAATATTTTTGTTTTGGTCTGTTTTTCAAGTTCTGTAAGCAATAGGTCAACTATAATTGTTGTATGGAATGATTGTAAGGTGTCCATGTCTGTCTTGCCAGTATCATCTGACCTTGACGTCATTTCCATGGTTCATTAGTTAACATTAAGTTTTTGTCTCGCCTTGACAGTGTCAAAAAGCGAAACATAGGTATGCTGTTTCCAGCGGTGGCAGGCAGCGTCAACAAGGTATTAGTTTGTGATTAGGTCTAGTTTATGGTGAACTACAAGTGGTAGGTCAATGATATTTGGTATGCAGTTGTATTAGCATTGCAACATCTCATTTCCATGGAGATTATTTGGCCCTGCCCCCTCAGTCATGGTCTATTGACTTTGAAACTTTTGTTTAGTTTACATGTATTAGTTTGTGATTAGGTCAGTTTATGGGGAATCACTAGTGGTAGGTCAATGATATTTGGTATGCAGTTGTATAAGCATTGGCATATCTCATTTCCATGGAGATTATTTGACTCCGCCCCCTTAGTCATGGTCTATTGACTTTGAAAATTTTACTTAGTTAACATGTATTAGTTTGTGATTAGATCAGTTTAAGATGAACTACTAATGTTAAGTCAATGATAATTGGTATGCAAATTTATTGGCATGTGAAAGTATCGTTTCCATGGAGATTATATAGCCTCACCCCCTCATCATGGTTCATTGACTTTGAAACTTTTACATAGTTTACAAGTTAATGTTTGTGTTTAGGTTTGTTTAAAGGGAACGACTTATAATAAGTCAATGGTATTTTGTATGCAGTTGCATTAGCATTGGCACATCTCATTTCCATGGAGATTGTTTAGCCATGTACATTCAGTCATGGTTCATTGACTTTGAATATTTGCATAACTTACATGTTAAAGTATTGCTATTCAATTTCAACATTTGAACAATCAAAATTACAAAAAGGCGAGACATATCTCTGTGACAACAGTTTATTGTGTTTTGGTCTGTTTTTCGATTACCATAAGCAATGGGTCAACTATATTTGGTGTATGGAATGATTGTAAGGTGTACATGTCTGTGTGACAGTTTTTATCTGACCTTGACCTCATGGTCATGGATATTTACGAATGTTAAGTTTATGTGATACTTGTAGTAAAACCTTTATCTTTAAGACTTTCAACATAAAATCAATGGTCAGTAAAACAGGCGAGACATTTCAGCGTGTGCACTCTTGTTTTAGTTATACACTATAAAAAATGTCATTTTGTTCTACAAGGAAACATATATTACTCAAAGAAACATTCATCACATTTTGAAGATTGATAGCATAATAATAATAAAAAAACATATCTTGACCCAAGCCAAGCATAAACTGAAAACATAGAGAATAGTTACAATGTTACAATCAAAAGGAATAGGGATACTTTCTAATGTAAGATAGACTGCAAATTTGATAACTTCAACATTGTTGAATCAGTATGTTCAATGAAAAAATGTCTAGTACAAAATGAGTTGTATTTAGATAAAAGATTTATCAGTACTTTTCATTCACATAACTTTTTTTTCAGGGAAAACCTGGACCAGTCGGAGACCGTGGAGAGCCTGGACCACAGGTAAATAGCTGACATTTATAATGATAGATCAGTGTTTTCCATTCGGCATTTAAGCCAGGTGTGCCGACCACTTTCTTTTGAAAACCGACCACCTTTCCATTTTAGGAAAAATTTAAATACTAATCGCGCCTCACATTTGTTTTCATTGACAAAAATGGCGGATCGTCAAATTTCAATGTTTTCTTTTTATTAATCGGGGGAAGAGAAAGGCAGGTGACGATGGTGATAAGGAAAATTCTATGCTAAATAAGTCAACTAAAACGGATAGTTGTATTGAAATTGTTGAAATTGAAAAAAAAGTATCAAACAACAGAAAAGGCATGCAAGGGATCGCGAAGATGAACAGGTTGGGAACAGTCCCCCAAATGAGGGATATCCCTTAAATGAGGGACTGTCTCTCTGGCAAAAGGTCATGTCAATACTGTTGAAGAAAAGAAAAGAGAAAAACTTAGATTTTTTAACTTAAAAGGGGGAAAATCGTTATATTTGGATCAACTTTTTTAAAAGAGGGTCCAATTATTTTTAATGATAAAGCAGATATAAGTCCAGGAATATTACAAATTTCTTGGACATGTTTTATAATACAATACCAAATAGATGTATAGTTCTTTGGGAAAAGTTTCTGTAAATAAAATAAATATGAGTTCATTTGTATCTCAGAAATATACCCCTCATAAAAGGGGTAGTCATTACATTGAGAGTTTACCCCTCATTTGAGGGGTTGTTCCCAAGCTGATGAATATGAATAGGACTTTAAATGGCTAATCGGCACAGAAAGAGGATATTTCTGTTCTGTGTGCCAAAAATACAACACTAAAGCGAGGAACAGGACAGAAACTTGGATCGATAAGCAATGCATATGCAGGAGAAGGGAGTCCTGCAAACACCATATCTGCTATCCGAGATGCTAACAACTAATTTGTCAAATAAAAGGCTAGCAGTGATAGCAAAGAACAGTTCAATTTTATTAAATGTGAATACAATACTAATCCTTCTTTTTGTGTCCCAAAAAACAGTAAAGTTAAACCCGGTTGGAAATGCTAAAACAAAAAAAAAACCAATCGGTTGCAAGTGATTTTTTCAAAACACCCACCTTACCTTAGTGAAAAATGGAGAACACTGTAGATTGAGTTATGCTACATAACTATTTTGTTTAGCGGCATTTTATAAAGAAATTAAATCATTTGCAATAAGATTATTGATTACAGAATTGATTGTCACTCTCTATTATATAGTTTTTGTTGACAATAGTCAGAAGTTCTGAAAGAAATATGTGAAAGCTCATTCAGATTCTTAATATTCTCATAGTCAAAAACGGCTAGAAGGGCTGTTTTAATTCTGGCTATGAAGTAAAAGAGACCTGACAACTAATATACTGATGACAGTTGATGTAAATAATAAGTTAGCCTGTACATATATACATTTCAAAGGAAGAAACTTTAAAGTTTTGGTGTGATTTCATAATTCTCTTGTTAAATTCATTATCTTATGCAATATATATATATACACTTATTACGATTTGTGCTTGTAAATAAAAAACTTGCATGCATGAAATTGTTGATCATTTACAATAAATTGATAGATCTATGAAAATAAGTGATGGTGTTTGATGTATTTTGTAGGGACCAAATGGTGAAAGAGGAAAGCAAGGAACACCAGGTCCCTTGGGACCAAAGGGAGATTCAGGTGTACCTGGTCCACCAGGTTTTCAGGGAGAACAGGGAATTCAAGGGCCTCCTGGACCACCAGGTTTGATGGGGCCTTTTGGTCCACCGGTAAGTAACAATTATTACTTGTTTGTCTTCTAGTACTTGTTTTTAGAACTGATTTCTTCTTGAAATTTCTTGATTTGTTTAATCATTTTAGATATTGTTATTTCTTTCAAGATAAAACAGTAGAACATATATATGATACCAGTTTGTACTGGTACAGAACTGAACCTTTTAAGCCATTAATGAGATTAACATGTAGAATTTCATCATTGTAGGGATTGCCAGGAAAAGAGGGAATGTTTGGACCCCCTGGAGAAAGAGGTGAATCAGTAAGTATAAGTAGTAATGTATACCCCACAAAGGCTCGATGAATGCTACAGGAACTAATTAATGACCTCATGTCCCCACATTGTTTCAGAGCAGATGAAAATGCAATTCTAAAAGTTTTTTTTTTTCAGATTGAAAATACTGATATTGAGAAGTAATTAATGGGCAAGTGTAACTCAAGAATATTATTTGTATATTTTTAGCCTATCTGGCCCCATTATTGGCCAAGTGAGCTATTGCTATCATTTGGCATCTATTTTTGTGCTCCATTGTTAACTTTATAAATATGTTCTAAAACCATCAGACAATTTCAACCAAATTGGTCTAATTGATCCTTGGATTCTTATGCCGCCATTGCATTTTCATTTTGTATGAATAGAATATAAGGAGATTTAGTATGATTGGAAACTAGACAACTATCCACCAAATGTAAATACTAACAGGTCAGTGTACTGCCTTCAAAAATGAGCAAAACTCATATTGTTTAGTATGTATATAATATAAGTAAAGTCTGTGGTTTTTTGCCTGCAAACCAACCAACATGGCCACTATGACTTAAAATAGAAAATACATGTAAAATGCAAAAACATTACTTATGTAAGACTTAAGTTTTTAAAAAAAAAAAAATCTCAGAGCAAAAAGGTTACGTAAGAAAATTTTTATGACATGATTAGATATAGGTTTTTGACAGGTAATTTATATATATTATTCTACTTGACAGGGTTTGCCAGGACAGCCAGGATTGCCAGGACAAGCTGGTGTTATGGGTGCATCAGTAAGTTATTAATTAGATTACAATGATTATTTTTACGAATATTTTATTCTCATAAACATAATGTTACAGAGAAATTAGTATACAATTATAATACAATAATAGTGCATGCGTAAACAAATATGAAACAAAGACAGTACACTATAGTTCAGAAATCTCTCTTTATTTCATTTTAAACAGTCTAATACATTTAAGTTATGCAATGTAAATTTTGATCTAAATTAGCACAATGTTAAAATATCTTGTTTCAAGTTTATTGCAAATTTTAACTTGACTTTCTGTTTCATATGAAGATAAAAAAAAATTAAACAACTAAATCAGGCACATATGTATATAAAAAAGCTTTGACCAATCTGAAACTTGTATTATAATGGTTTTTGTCTGGCCTTGACGGAGTCAAAAAGCGAGACATAGGTATGCTGTTTACGGCGTCAACAATGTATTAGTTTGTGATTAGGTCTAGTTCATGGTGATCCACTAGTGGTAGGTCAATGATATTTGGTATGCAGTTGTATTAGCATTGGCACATCTCATTACCATGGAGATTATTTGGCCCTGCCCCCTCAGTCAAGGTCTATTGACTTTGAAACTTTTCATAGTTTACATGTATTAGTTTGTGATTAGGTCAATTTATGGGGAACCACTAGTGGTAGGTCAATGGTATTTGGTATGCAGTTGTATTAGCATTGGCACATCTCATTACCATGGAGATTATTTGGTCCCGCCCCCTCAGTCAAGGTCTATTGACTTTGAAACTTTTCATAGTTAACATGTATTAGTTTGTGATAAGGTCAGTTTATGGGGAACCACTAGTGGTAGGTCAATGATATTTGGTATGCAGTTGTATAAACATTGGCATATCTCATTACCATGGAGATTATTTGGCTCCGCCCCCTTAGTCATGGTCTATAGACTTTGAAAATTTTGCTAAGTTAACATGTATTAGTTTGTGATTAGGTCAGTTCAAGGGGAACCATTAGTGGTAGGCCAATGTTAGTTTGTGTTCAGTTGTATAAGCATTAGCACATATCATTTCCATGGAGAATATTTGGCCACGCCCTGTCAGTCATGGTCTATTGACTTCGAAACTTTTGCTTAGTTTACATGTATTAGTTTGTGATTAGATCAGTTTAAGATGAACTGCTTATGTTAAGTCAATGATATTTGGTATGCAAATGTATTGGCATTTGCAAATATCGTTTCCATGGAGATTATATAGCCCCACCCCTGATCTTGATTCATTGACTTTGAAACTTTTACATAGTTTACAAGTTAATGTTTGTGTTTAGGTTTGTTTAAAGGGAACAACTTATAATAAGTCAGTGGTATTTGGTATGCAGTTGTATTAGCATTGGCACATCTCATTCCATGTACCTTCAGTCATGGTTCATTGACTTTGAATATTTGCATAACTTACATGTTAAAGTATTGCTATTTTTTTAATTTCAACGTTTGCATTATCAAAATTACAAAAAGGCGAGACATATCTCTGTGATAACAGTTTATTAATAATTAGTTGGTTCTAAAAAACAACAAAAAGTTTTCTACTGAAATTTGAAACCATTGTATTTTGTTATACTAAGATTACAGTATCTTTTTCAGAAATGATGTTATTTTTTACAATTTTTAAAAAATTGAGGTGAAAAGACTGTGTTTGTATTATTATATCTATTTAAAAAATAACGCTGACATGAAAAATATAAATATTTTAGGGAGCTTCAGGAGAACCAGGTGCTCCAGGAGATAGAGGCTCCCCAGGGAACCCTGTAAGTACTGGATTGATTATATTTGCTTTAAACTATAGAGGACAGCCATAAAGGCCAATTGAATTGCTTACATGCTAATTATTTGTAATTTAAGCACTAATTTTATTTCAATTTCTTGTGATATTTTGTTTTTGTCCTAGCCATGCTGGATGTATGTAATCACTACAGATTTTAAGATTAGGCAGAATTCTGAGTTGAAGACATATCATGAAACTAATGATGTGTTTTATAACTTGCAGAAAGTTTATATGTTACAGTGAATTTGTAAAATCCCTGGAATAATTAGTGATTTTGTAAAATCACTAATAGTTTCAGGAATTTTGTAAAATCAATGAAAATATTGCTAGGGATTTTGTTAAATCCCTGATTACAAATTTAAACTTGATATTAGAAATGTCAAGTTTAAATTTGTAATCAATGATTTTACAAAATCCCTAGCAATATTTTCTTAATACAAATAAACCAATGATTTTGAAATATATTTTTACATAATTAATACTAGTTAAAATCATTGTTCAGTGATTATGAATAATAGGCATATGAACTGATAATAAGACTACAATTTACTTATTTTTGCATGATAAGTTTGGGTGACATCTGTTACGCAATTGCCCTGCTTTTCAACAGGCACACATATTTTGTTCACATCTATTCTTTTCGGAACATCCACATTTTAAAAAACCTTGTCCATCACAAATGGAAGACAGTTTAACTGCTTGTCGAAAAGGTATGAAATTATCAATAGATACAGCTGACAGACTCAAAAACAAGGAATCAGTGGGTTCAAGCTGGTTTCTTGTGTATGACCCTTACAAAATGCCATGTTTGGTAACAAGACTATGTTGTACATGTCTTCAAGACATACATAATATTTGATATCTTCATCTGATGAATACCGTTTTTTTTTTACGATTTTGTTTACATCTCCACATTGAAGAACTTCATACATACATTAAACAAATATTTACTTTTAATTTGATTTGGATCTAAAGAGTGGAGAAAGTATAGAAATATAGATTCTACCACTGCATCGAGTGTGATACGATATTTATCCACTCGAGACAGTTAAATTATCAAATTTAAAACGCGAGGCTCGCCAAGCGTTTTAAATATTTAAAATTTAACTGTCGAGAGTGGATAAATATCGTATTACACGAGATTTGGTGGTGGAATCTGTTTCTCTAATGATTTTCAAACAATATGCAAGCAAACTTATTCCTTCTTTTTGAATGATCTGCAAAAAGATGTGTTCTTTCTATGTGACGTCATCAGGCATGGTCACCTTTTTTCATGCCGTCACAATAGGAAATTCAGAGGAAAGCAAGAAAATTCGACGTCATAATGGGATTGTAACCAATGAAGAACTGAGATCAAACGAACCACACGTTGATTAAATTTTTTTTATACAATGGGTGCAGAAAGGGATAAATTGACGAAGAATTAGAGAAACTTATTTAAAGTTTTATCACTTTGTGATAGAATACATGTATAAGACAGTATCTGAGATTTGACCAAAGTAAGAACAAAGTATTTTTATACGACTGCAAAAAATTTTTGTGGTCGTATATTGGTATGACGTTGGCGTCGTCGTCGTCGTCGTTGTCGTTGTCGTCGTCATCCGAAGACACATTGGTTTTCGCACTCTAACTTTAGTTTAAGTGAATGGATCTCTATGAAATTTTACCACAAGGTTCAATACCACAAAAGGAAGGTTGGGATTGATTTTGGGGGTTATGGTACCAACAGTAAAGGAATTAGGGGCCAAAAATAAGCATTTTTGTAACTTCCAGACATAACTTGTGTGTTAGTGTATGGATCTCTCTGACATTGTACCACAAGGTTCCATATCACAAAAGGAATGCTGGGATTGATTTTGGGGGTAATTGCCTCAAAATTTTAGGAATTAGGGGCCAAAAAAGGGGCAAAAAACAAGCATTTTTCTAGTTTCATGACAATAACTTGTGTGTAAGTGTATGGATCTTTCTGAAATTGTACTACAAGGTTCCATATCACAGAGGGAAAGCTGGAATTGAGTTTGGGGGTAATTGCCCTAAACGTTTAGGAATTTGGGGCGAAAAAGGGGTCAAAAAACACATTTTTCTAGTTTTCAGACAATAACTTGTGTTCAAGTGTATGTATCTCTCTGAAATTGTACTGCAAGGTACCATACCACAAAGGGAAGGCTGGGATTGAGTTTGGGGTGATGAATCATAAGGGGGTTCAAAAAATTTTGGGGGGGGGGATTTTTTTTCTTCATTTTTTTTCTTTTTTTCCTTTTTTTTTTTCTTTTAAAATTTTCCATTTTAAGTTGGTTATTTCTGATTTATATTTAAAAGCAAATAATAATGATATGGTAGGAGATACACACCAAACAGGATGTGTAAATTATTATATAATAAGTATTGTGCAATAGCAAGAAATTTTCAATTGCACTGTATTGCACAATAGCAAGAAATCTTCAATTGCACAGTATTGCGCAATATCAAGAAATCTTCAATTGCACAGTATTGCGCAATAGCAAGAAATATCCAATAGCACAATATTGCGCAATAGCAAGAAATTGTCAATTGTACAGTATTCGCAATAGCAAGAAATATTTAATTGCACAGTATTGTGCAAAAGAAGATACTTCGTATAAATTGCTTATTTCTTGACCAATTTCAATGGGGTTTTATTCTTGAATTCTTGGGGTTCTTTAATATGCTGAATCTAACTGTGTATTTATTTTTTGGATTTTGGGCCCAGTTTTTAAATTGGTCCACATTGAGGTCCAAAGGGTCCAAAATTAAACTTTGTTTGATTTCATCAAAAATTGAATTATTGGGGTTCTTTGATATGCCGAATCTAACCGTGTATTTAGATTCTTAATTTTTGGTTCCGTTTTCAAATTGGTCTACCTTAAGGTCCAAAGGGTCCAAAATTAAACTTAGTTTGATTTTAACAAAAATTGAATTCTAAGGGTTCTTTGATATGCTGAATCTAAACATGTATTTAGATTTTTGATTATGGGCCCAGTTTTCAAGTTGGTCCAAATCGGGGTCCAAAATTAAACTTTGTTTGATTTCAACAAAAATTGAATATATGGGGTTCTTTGATATGCTGAATCTAACCATGTATTTAGATTTTTGATTTTTGGGCCCCGTTTTTAAATTGGTCCACATTGAGGTCCAAAGGGTCCAAAATTAAACTTTGTTTGATTTCATCAAAAATTGAATTCTTGGGGTTCTTTGATATGCTGAATCTAACCATGTATTTAGATTTTAGATATTGGACCATAATAGGTGAATGTCCAATTTAAAATTTTTAAGTTCTTAGACCACATTCATTCTGTGTCAGAAACCTATGATGTGTCATGTCAAATATTTAATCATAATCTAGATGCAAAGCTGTATCAAGCTTGAATGGTGTGTCCATACTTGCCCCAACTGTTCAGGGTTCGACCTCTGCGGTCGTATCAAGCTGCGCCCTGCGGAGCATTTTATTACCTACATATATCTGTTGTCTTTTTATTTACTATTATTATTTTGTGAATATAAATGTCTTTTATAGGCTGCAAATTAATAATACAACACTAATTTGCACTTTTATTTATCAATTTTCATGTCACAATAAGATACTCTCTTCCTGATATTCATGTAATATTTGCCACTGGATCCCATAGCCTAAACCAATCAATTTCTTACTCTTTCCATGTGTGTTTTCTCCTCTCATAACTGCAATCACTCCAATTATATTTGATTTTAAAATTCGATACAATTCGTTTATACTTTTCAGTAATTACAGAAGCACTATATAATAAACTTTAACTTACTTTCGCAAAGAAATTATAAGAGATTATTATACCCCCCGCTTTAAAAAAGTGGGGGTATGCTGTTTTACCTCTGTCTGTCCATCAGTCCATCCGTCCGTCCCATGAATATTTTTGTCCCATCTTTCTCAGGAACTACATTACAAGGATTTCTGAAATTTGATTTCAGGGTTTATATAAATCAGTTATACCGTGTGATGCGTTTTCAGATTCATCACTCATCAACTTCCTGTTTACCGAACACTTGTATCATTTTACACATGATAGCCAAGTTGAAAATGTTCGTCACACTTTTCTCAGGAACTACAATACAAGGATTTTTGAAATTTGGTTTCAGGGTTTATATAAGTCAGCTATACTGTGTGATGCATTTTCAGATTCATCACTCAACAACTTCCTGTTTACCGAAATATTTTGGCTGGGGTATCATTAGTTAGCAGTAGCTCGCAGTTTCACTTGTTTTGTTTTCTTTCTGTGGCTTTTTAGCAATAAGTTTTGAAATTTCTTCATATTTTTCCCAGTTCCATAAGTTACATTTAAATTTTTTCCCTCAATCATTTGTGTGCAAGTTTGCTCTTGATTTAAAGACATATGTGCCTGAGCCATTTTCTCCAGTATGTCAGTTGTTTGATGAAAATTGCTCACCTAGTATTAATATAAAAGGCTAAATTAATCTCTAACTTGTTGAGTGTAACTGCTGTTGACTTTTTTTTAAAGAATTCTTTAATCAAAAACAACTATTTTGTTTTACAAATTCACTGAATTTAATCAGGGAATCTGTAAAAAAGATCTTAATTATTTCAGTGATTTTGTAAAATCCCTAGTCAAAATCAGGGATTTCATAAAATCCCTAATTTTACAAATTCACCATTTTAATAATCTACTGCCAGTTTTTGACATGTCATTTACCCTTTAATTAAGAAAAGAGAATTTCTAACAGCTGCTAGATTTTGGATATACAATTGTAAATAGTTCCTTTGTTAATAAAAATTTATAAAATATTACTTCTTATGAATTAGTTAGAAAAGGTAATATATCAAATTTAAGCAGCTGATATGAATTATTAAAGTATTTTATCAGTATTGTATGCTTGTGTAAGTAATTGAATACAATTTGGTAAAAGCTGTGTATTGATATCAATGTCAATTCCCACACTTTTTTCATATACATTTGTACTTTTATTCCTATTATTACTTTTTATCTACACTACATACAATTATTCTGTAAAATATGTGTCAATGATAAATAATGAAGGATTACTGAATCTGGCGTCATAGTGCAAATTTCCTTGCAATTATAACAAAAATTGCAAATTGGACATTTGAAACCCACTATTAAATTTTTCTGTTGTAAGCTATGTGGAAGTGAGATATTTCATTTCAGATTTTATTCCCAGAGTAATTTTAACAAAAGTTAAGTTTTACAAACCTTAAATTCTGATTTTAATTCACAGAAAAGTATTGATTTCTTAAAAAATTTGCCATAAGCTTCAGTTCTACAGATGACACAAAGGAGTGATAGCAAGCAAAATCTTTTTATCATTTTACCTTGAGACAATTTTCAATGAAACAAATCAAGATGCAATGCACCTTTTATGTTTGAAAAATTTTTGTCAATTTAGCAGTATATTTAAAATTGAACTTCATTAGATATAAGATCTTACAATATTTTCAGGGAATCAGTTAAACTAGTCTATACAGGAAATAAGTAAAATTTCCATTGTCTCCTTCGTTCGAAATTGATGGCAGTGAATCAAAACCACTTGAATAATTTTTTATCGTCCTAAATATATATTTTGCAGCACTCAATTGAGTTTTTGTTGACAAAACACATTTTGTCCCATACATCATTATACAGGGATGGGGTCGATTACTTTAAAAAGTAACTGATTAAATTACAATTACTTTGCTAATTTAATGTACCCCGTACAATTACACCTAAATTCAAATGTAATTGATTACATTAGATTACTTTTCTTTAACGTAATCATAATTTCTTTAGATTACTTATGATTACATTGTATACTGTGGTATTGAAAAAAACTTTTTTAACATTTGATCCTCACATGCATGGGGGTCTTGATGGAGTTTACAGAATAGAGAATAATAGCCCAAAAAATAATGAATAGAGAAAAATGATAAAGAATAGAGAATAATGGGTGCAAAGGAATAAAGAATAACTGTGAAAGTTAAAGAATTTTTAAAGAGTTTTTGGCAGGGTTGTTTGTTATTTAGTATAAACTAATTTTCTGAATGCTATATATATATATAAAAAAAAATTATGAAGAGAAATCCTTTAATTAGATAATAATCTATTTTAATTAAAAACTGATTACACAAATGAATCATGTACAGAATAATGAAATCATGTAATAACAAATAAATTTGATGGTAAAATGATTTTCATTTGAATTTTACAGAATAAGCATTATTTTGAAAGATAAAATAAAATTACCCAAAAAATTAAAGAATACAGAAATGAAGGACCCCCATCCAGACCCTTTCACATAAAAAAGCTAATCTTAGTTAAGAATTGAGTTTTTAATATTTTTAATATAAGCATGTTATTTATATAAAACTTAGAACAGGAGCTGTGTAATATTTGCATTGTTTTGATGACATAACTTTATTTGACAGATTTACTTGAATGTAAATATCTCTGTGCTTTCTCTGTTAAAGAAATAACATTGCTTTTTTAGTCCCCTATAGCTGAAGTCAAAGGGGACTTTAGGTTTGCACTCCGTCCGTCTGTCCGTCAGTCCGTCTGTCCATCCGTCAGTCCGGCAAATCAGCTTTCCACACTTTTTTTTCTTCTATCTTGAAGATATTGATTTAATATTTGGTATATAGTTTTATCATGACAAGTTATAGATCAAGTTCGACTTTTGTTCCAGTCTGATGATTTAGTCCAGAGTTATGGACCATAACTCTGGACCATATCTAATGTTAGAGTACTATGTTAAACCATATTTCTGTACAAAGGGAGATAACTCATTTTTTAAAAGACATTCTTTGTTAAATTATTTGAAGAATTTTTTGGCAGGGTTGTTTGTTATTTAGTATAAACTAATTTTCTGAATGCTATATATATATATATAAAAAAAAATTATGAAGAGAAATCCTTTAATTAGATAATAATCTATTTTTATTAATGTATATGTTTCAATACATTACATTGTGTAGATAAAAGTTGTTGACATTTTATAGATAAGTTACAAATCTATATTAGTTTGTGACAAATGAAAGAAAAAATATTTGGAACTATTGATTATATTTGATTATAATTTGAAAATAGATATACACTGACTGTATTGCATCATATCTTATTTTAGAGAACTATTAATCATATCTGATGTTTTTTTCATCATGCTTATAAGATATTGATTGATAATTGGTATATATATAGTTTTATCATGACAAGTTACAGATCAAGTTCAAATTTTTGTTTTGGTCAAATAATTTTGTGCAGAGTTATGGTCCTTGGACTTGAAAAATTCACGCATATAATCAGTTTTCCACACTGATTTTAGTCATGCTAGAAGATATTGACATGATATTTACTTTTTGTTTACACCATGACAAGTTATAGAACAAGTTAGCATTTTTTCCAGTATAATGAATTTTTATCCGAGAGGGGACTATGTATTGCCATGCAATACTCTCAGAATGCTTGTTTTTTTAAATTTTTTGCCAAAAACATATTTTTAATTGAAAAAAAAAGAAATTAACAAATAGTGACTATTTAATGATCTAGTAGCCTTTTGTCTGTGGGGACATAATTGACACTTGTATGTGTATTTACAGGTGTTAATCAATACTTCAAATTTTATGACAAACAATAGGTGAGCTGGGGTAATTAAAATGATTTATTTTGATTGGAATAATCTATGAATTTGTATGCAGTTTATTTTTTATTATATGCATGATTGTAAAATTTATATTTCTATACAAAAATATTAAGAAAACACACGATTAAACAATTATGGCTTTTTTTTAAATTAAAATTTAAAAAAAAAATTGTTGGTTCTAAATTCCATTATCATTTCAAGTTGACCATCAAAGTCAATATAAAGAGCAATAACCTTAACAGCTACCCAAGGGAACAACAAAGTATTTAAAAAGCAGACATCTTATATCGCAAAGACTCAATCTTAAAACTTTTGGAAAGGTAAATTCATGTGGTAAACTGTTAAAAAAGCCATACATCTACTCTCTACATCCCCTTAAGCAAGAGTATACTGAAACTAAAATTATTAAATAGTAAATAGGATCAATCATAGTGAACAATAGTTTGATGATTTTTATAATTTTTGTTTGTATATAAAAAAACAATTTTAATATATATAAAATTTGTAATCAGCAAGTAATTATATGAATGTAATCGAAAAGTAATCATGATTACAGCTGTTTTTGGCATTGTAATCAATTACATAATAATTATTTGTAATCAGAAAATGGATGATTACTGATTACATGTGATTGCTCTGCAAAATGTAATCGATTACAGCTGATAACGATTACTGATTACGATTACCCCATGCCTATGTCATCATATTGGAATCTGTAAAATGAGCAAAATGGAATGTTATACTAGTAATCTGCTGAAAACAACGTCATTGAGATTTCATGTCACAATCCAATTACGTTTGCTAATGAACAAAGGCCTTTAAGTGACCAACATGATGGATGACATGAGACTCCTGTTTGATGAATACCAGACCTCTTACAAGTTACTTTGATCCAGACAAAAACTGAATTATTTTTGTTATGAAATTTTCATGCTGATCCAAGTAAATAAATTTTGTTGAATGAAATTTAAAAATTTACAAAACGCACATTACAAACAGAACAGAATAAGGAGAAATCTTTAATTTTTTACATGTTATTAATTTATCAAGTTACTGACAGGGGAATTTTATTTCCTCATGTTTGCTTTTAATATAATGTAGCATACTGTAATACATGGACGTGTATTTATTACAGGGTCCACCAGGAGAAACTGGCGTACCAGGAAATACTGGAGAAAGAGGAGAGCAAGTAAGTTTGTTAGTTCCTCTATGGTAACACGAAACGTTGTTTTATCACTCCAGGAAAATCTTTTGAGCCATAAACAATATCTTTACCAAACCTGCTGTTATACTGTCCCATGGGGTGAGGAAAATTCTATGTATTTTGGGGTCAGGTTATTAGTTCAAAGGTCAAGGTCACAGCAGCTATTTATAGTTTGAAATTGAGGCAAATTTTGGTTTTATGGTGTTATCTTTTGAACCATATGTCCAACTTTTACCAAATTTGGTTCAATAGTACTCCATGATATGAAGAAGACCCTTTGATTTTTCGTTTAAAGGTCAAGGACACAGTAGAATATGAGAAAATTTTGGATTCAGGGTTATATCTTTTGAGCCATATGTCCAACATTCACCAAACTGAGAATGTTCTTTGGATTGAACAACAAACCTGCATTTTTTTGGTCCGTAGTTAAAAGGTCAATGTCATAATACCAATGGTAGAATTTTAGGTTTTATTTGTACCTCTGGCTAACAAATGTTATTACATTTTCCTAGAACAGACCAAAAAATTACTAAAAGAATATGTTGATTGTATATGAATGGAAGGCAAAATTAATTTAGTCCTACACTTGTGTACAAGGAATAAACAAGTAATGACTAGTAAAAAGTCAAATATGAACATACAAACTTGAAATGATTAAGAGAAATGTGTCTTGATTTCTCCTTGTATAGCTAGTCAGTTCCATTTCAATGGTGAAAATTAGTATCTCTGGTCTCTATATTGATGTTTTTCAAGATACATATACTGTACCATAAACTCATTAAGAAGGCTTCTTTTTTATACAAAAATTATAAGTGTGTATGCTTGGATCTTCATGACTTTATGTTTACATGTTGATGCTGACATTTGTTAGAGTACCACAAAAGTTCATGATCTGCAAAAATGTCTTGTTTATTTCTCTAATCATTCAAAAACAAAACTTCTGAAAAATAAATAAAGGAACAAATATTTAACTTTTCCAAACCATATGTTTGTTTTGTAGGGAAACTCTGGAGCACAAGGAGAAACTGGAGTGATGGGTCCTCCAGGCCCACCTGGTTTTCAAGGACCCAGAGGATATCCTGGACCACAGGTAAGTAAAGACATACTGTGAAAGTACTTTTATTCGTGGGGTACTAATTTTAGTGGTTTTCATGTAAAAAAATTGTTGTCCAAACCAAGACATGGAAAGATCTCCTGTAGGTTTGACTATATGGATACAGGCATATAATCTAGAGAAAACATCAAATATCAGCAAACGCACTATGAACTATATGCAGTGTCGTAACACCAGTGTAGCATGTACAACTTCAAATTTTTTATGCAACCTTTTTCTTTAAATGACATGTTTATGGCCCAATTAACACCTTTGAAGATCGTTAATCTGTTGATCATAACGATCTCGGGTTAATTAGTATCACCACTTCTGATTACACGTGTGCAACAATTAAAATGTTTACTTTGCAATTTCCTTCAATGAGACAATTTGTATTCAGAGATGAATCAGCTTATTTCTGAAAGCAACTATTTTATTAAAAATTTGATGAATGTTGTCAGAAATGAAAGACGATCATTCATTTAAGTGAAAATGAACACCATATGATTATTTTCATGAATCTTCGTTTCTGATGGGTTCAAATTCTTCACCCGAATGTTTTCTTTAGAAAACTAAAATCCTCGAATTTAAGAACCCACAAACAAGTAACTTTTGCTCAATCCACGAAAATTGATATCCACGAATAAAAGTAATTTCACGGTATATTATAGTCTCTATTAAAAGGAATCTCCTGGCATTACCTGCTAATATACCCTTGACCACAACCTAATATGGAAGTACAACGCAGTTCCTTCCCTGTCCACCTGGTATCAGGGGACACATTGAACTGCTATAAAAATGAAAAAAATCAGGTCTCTTTTCTTTATGGTCTTGAAAAGAAAGTTGTACTGAAGATGAGTTATCCTAACATTTTGGTATAAAATATTTCAGACACAGTTATTGATCAGGTTTGTTACTCTGTTTTTGACAAGAAAGTACCCTGATATTTTGAATAGGAAATAAATTTATATTCATAAATCTATACTGTCATTTAGATGGGGAAGTTCTTGCAAATTTTACTAAGATTATGTTTTAACTTTTAAAAAGGTTGAAGTCATAGTTACAGACATTACATTCTACATTATATACAATTTTCTATCATATGGTTATAAGTTAATGCTGAATTGAAATAAGTTTCTCCATTTTTCAGGGAAAAGATGGACCCCAAGGACCAACAGGACAAAGAGGAATAGTAGGGTCACCCGTAAGTAATTTAATGTCATTTTTTTATATTTATGTTTGCATTTATAAAAGCAAATTCTATGCTACCAACAAATAGGTTGAACAATTGGGTTTTAAATGACTACCAGTGTCATTGGGAAGTTTTGGTTATAGCTGGAAATAAAAAACATTCTATAAATAATATTTTGTTACTTGATGCATTTTTATACGACCGCAAAAATTAAAAATTTTTTGGTCGTATATTGGTATGACGTTGGCGTCGTCGTCGTCGTCGTCGTCGTCGTCCGGCGTCGTCCGGCGTCGTCCGAAGACACATTGGTTTTCGCACTCTAACTTTAGTTTAAGTGAATGGATCTCCATGAAATTTCACCATAAGGTTCAATACCACGAAAGGAAGGTTGGGATTGATTTTGGGGGTTATGGTACCAACAGTTAAGGAATTAGGGGCCAAAAAGGGGCCAAAAATAAGCATTTTTGTAACTTTCAGACAATAACTTGTGTGTAAGTGTATGAATCTCTCTGACATTGTACCACAAGGTTCCATATCACAAAGGGAAGGCTGTAATTGATTTTGGGGGTAATTGCCTCAAAATTTTAGGAATTAGGGGCCAAAAAAGGGGCAAAAAACAAGCATTTTTCTAGTTTCCAGACAATAACTTGTGTTCAAGTGTACGGATCTCTCTGAAATTGTACTGCAAGGTACCATACCACAAAGGGAAGGCTGGGATTGAGTTTGGGGGTGATGAATCATAAGGGGGGTTCAAAAAATTTGGGGGGGGGGGGATTTTTTTTTTTTTTTTTTTCTTTTTTTCCTTTTTTTTTTCTTTTAAAATTTTCCATTTTAAGTTGGTTATTTCTGATTTATATTTAAAAGCAAATAATAATGATATGGTAGGAGATACACACCAAACAGGATGTGTAAATTATTATATAATAAGTATTGTGCAATAGCAAGAAATTTTCAATTGCACAGTATTGCACAATAGCAAGAAATCTTCAATTGCGTAGTATTGCGCAATAGCAAGAAATCTTCAATTGCACAGTATTGCGCAATAGCAAGAAATATCCAATAGCACAATATTGCGCAATAGCAAGAAATTGTCAATTGTACAGTATTGCGCAATAGCAAGAAATATTCAATTGCACAGTATTATGCAAAAGAAGATACTTCGTATAAATTGCTTATTTCTTGATCAATTTCAATGGGGTTTTATTCTTGATTTCTTGGGGTTCTTTAATATGCTGAATCTAACCGTGTATTAAGTTTTTGGATTTTGGGCCCCGTTTTTAAATTGGTCCACATTGAGGTCCAAAGGGTCCAAAATTTAACTTTGTTTGATTTCATCAAAAATTGAATTATTGGGGTTCTTTGATATGCCGAATCTAACCGTGTATTTAGATTTTTAATTTTGGGTCCCGTTTTTTAAATTGGTCTACATTAAGGTCCAAAGGGTCCAAAATTAAACTTAGTTTGATTTTAACAAAAAATGAATTCTTGGGGTTCTTTGATATGCTGAATCTAAACATGTGTTTAGATTTTTGATTATGGGCCCAGTTTTCAAGTTGGTCCAAGTTGGGGTCCAAAATTAAACTTTGTTTGATTTCAACAAAAATTGAATATATGGGTTTTTTTGATATGCTGAATCTAAACATGTATTTAGATTTTAGATTTTTGGCCCAGTTTTCAAGTTGGTCCAAATTGGGGTCCAAAATTAAACTTTGTTTGATTTCAACAAAAATTGAATATATGGGGTTCTTTGATATGCTGAATCTTACCATGTATTTAGATTTTTTATTTGTGAGCCTGCTATCAAATTGGTTCATATTGAGGTCAAAAGGGTTCAAAATGAAACTTTGTTTGATTTCATCAAAAATTGAATTATTGGGGTTCTTTGATATGCCAAATCTAACCGTGTATTTAGATTTTTAATTTTGGGGCCTATTTTTTAAATTGGTCTACATTAAGGTCCAAAGGGTCCAAAATTAAACTTAGTTTGATTTTAACAAAAATTGATTTTTTGGGGTTCTTTGATATGCTGAATCTAAACATGTGTTTAGATTTTTATTTATGGGACCAGTTTTCAAGTTGGTCCAAGATGGGGTCCAAAATTAAACTTTGTTTGATTTCAACAAAAATTGAATATATGGGGTTCTTTGATATGCTGAATCTAAACATGTATTTAGATTTTAGATTTTTGGCCCAGTTTTCAAGTTGGTCCAAATTGGGGTCCAAAATTAAACTTTGTTTGATTTCAACAAAAATTGAATATATGGGGTTCTTTGATATGCTGAATCTTACCATGTATTTAGATTTTTTATTTGTGGGCCCGCTATCAAATTGGTTCATATTGAGGTCAAAAGGGTCCAAAATTAAACTTTGTTTGATTTCATCAAAAATTGAATAATTGGGGTTCTTTGATATGCCAAATCTAACCGTGTTTTTAGATTTTTAATTTTGGGTCCCGTTTTTTAAATTTGTCTACATTAAGGTCCAAAGGGTCCAAAATTAAACTTAGTTTGATTTTAACAAAAATTGAATTCTTCGGGTACTTTGATATGCTGAATCTAAACATGTGTTTAGATTTTTGATTATGGGACCAGTTTTCAAGTTTGTCCAAGTTGGGGTCCAAAATTAAACTTTGTTTGATTTCAACAAAAATTGAATATATGGGGTTCTTTGATATGCTGAATCTAACCATGTATTTTGATTTTGGACATTGGACCATAATAGGTAAATTAAAAAAATTGAAGTTCTTAGACCACATTCTTTCTGTGTCAGAAACCTATGCTGTGTCAAATATTTAATCACAATCCAAATTCAGAGCTGTATCAAGCTTGAATGTTGTGTCCATACTTGCCCCAACTGTTCAGGGTTCGACCTCTGCGGTCGTATCAAGCTGCGCCCAGCGAAGCATTTTATTATTGTTTTTATTTCTCATTTTCTGATAATTCAGGCTAAACTCATGCTTCGGCAGTTTTGAGATTTAAACATTTATTTGGTTATTTTGTTTATATTTTTCTTATAGTTTCCAGAAAATACTATTTAATGATATTAAGGGTTCTTTTACGATGTAAATCATTAAAAATCCGATCATCAGGATATGAAAGTGATTCATTTTTCTTTAGATTATCTGTGTGATGTCAAATATCTCATACAATATTTAAGGAATGACTGTAATATTTTTTCTGTCTATGAAGAAATAACATAAAAAAAGTGGTGCTCACTGAATAACCCGTGTAGCGGTTTATTTTAAAGTGTGCACCACATTTTTATGTTATTTCGAATAGACAGAATAAATATTACAGTCATTTCTTATAATTTAATCCTAAATTCCATTTTAAACCGGAGTAAACCATGAAAAAACGTTGATGACATCACGGTCACATGACAAAATTATGTCTCTGAGCTGATAAACAAAACCACGTCAGCCAATCAGAAGACGTGTTACATCCAAAATTAAACTATTAGGAAATAATCATAACAATTTGATTATAAATAGAGAAATACATTTTTTGTCTCGCCTTGACAAGAGTCAAAAAGCGAGACATAGGTATGCTCTTTCCGGTGGCGGCTGCAGCATCAACAACAATGTATTAGTTTTATGATTAGGTCTAGTTTATGGGGAACACCTAGTGGTAGGTCAATGATAATTGGTATGCAGTTGTATTAGCATTGGAACATATCATTACCATGGATATTATTTGACCCTGCCCCCTCAGTCATGGTCTATTGACTTTGAAACTTTGCTTAGTTTACATGTATTAGTTTGTGATTAGGTCAGTTTATTGGGAACCACTAGTGGTAGGTCAATGATATTTGGTATGCAGTTGTATAAGCATTGGCATATCTCATTTCCATGGAGATTATTTGCCCCCCTCCTCAGTCATGGTCTATTGACTTTGAAACTTTTGCATAGTTTACATATATTAGTTTGTGATTAGGTCAGTTTTAGGAGAACCGTGGTAGGTCCATGATAATTGGTATGCAGTTGTATAAGCATTAGCACATCTCATTTCCATGGAGAATATTTGGTCCTTACTCCTCAGTCATGGTCTATTGACTTTGAAACTTTTGCTTAGTTTACATGTATTACTGTAAATTCAGAAATTATTGCGTGCATTTATTATTGCGATTTTGTCATTTTAGACTAAAATGCGATTTTAATTTTTGCGATATTCAGAAAAATCCTGTTTGGATTCATATAACAAATTTCAAAATGCGAGTTTTAATTATTGCGATTATAACCCTGTCCCATTTTTCGCAATAATAAAAACATCGCAATAATTTCTGAATTTACAGTAGTTAGTGATTAGGTCAGTTTAAGATGAATCACTAATGGTCAATGATATTTGGTATGCAAATGTATTGCCATACATTTGCAAGTTTCATTTCCATGGAGATTATTTTGCCCCACCCCCTCATCATGGTTCATTAACTTTGAAATTTTTACATAGTTTACAAGTTAATGTTTGTGTTTAGATATAAGAAGATGTGGTACGAGTGGCAATGAGACAACTCTCCATCCAAGTCACAATTTGTAAAAGTAAACCATTATAGGTCATTTTAGGAAGGGAATGACTTATGAAAAGTCAATGGTAGTTGGTATGCAGTTGTATTAACATGGGCACGCACATCTCATTTCTATGGAGATTGTTTAGCCCTGTACCTTCAGTCATGGTTTATTCACTGAATATTTGCATAACTTACACGTTAAATCATTGCTATTTTAATTTCAACATTTGGATTATGAAAATAACATATAGGCGAGACATATCTCTGTGTTAACAGTTTATTTTTAATGTCATTCTTCTTTGCATGTTGAATTATCTTATTAAGAAAGTTGTAGAAACAATTGTAAGATATTGACCTCATTATAGGTAAACATAATAGACCTAATCCATTGAACTGAACTTTTCTTCCAAGAAAGCAAGATGTTTTTTTTTCTGGGCACATGATGAATTATTTGTACTTTGTCAAATATGATAAATAACTTTTAACATAGGATTTTAAATGTGAACATTTTATAACCCTATGTATTACCATAATTAATTTAAATACTGAATTTATGTTGTTAATTTTTCAGGGAGAGAAAGGATCAGTAGGCTTGCCAGGATCTGCAGGAACACATGGACCTCCAGTAAGATTTGTGATGATCTTAAGCCATTTAATTAGTCTGGAATTTTGTACCAGACAAGGGAAAGGAATAATGCATTACAGATGGAGATCTTAACTTTACATTAGTAAAACAAATGTATCAGATTGATTGTTTCTTATTTATTGTCCCATGGCAATTATTTCATGCATATTCAAGATGATCTCATGTATCAGAAAACTAAAGTGAATTTATTTATATTATATAAGAAAGATGACAAAGTTTAGAAGAGCAAGCTTTAGTTAAGTTTTATAAACGAAGAATACAATTAACTTAATTTGTTGTACAAATATATCTGCTGTGCTCATTGATTATTCTTTTCAATTGATCTCTCGATAGATCTAGCCCATGTAAAAATTGAATTTAGAATTTCAGATAATGCAAATACAAAAAATATCATTGCCCAAAAGACTGTTACTTTAACACAATATATATATTGTTATGTTTATAATTTTAGGGTCAACCAGGAGCCCCAGGACAAGAGGGACAGATGGGAACTAAAGGAGACATGGTAATTATATTTAAACATGTCATGTAAACATTATGGTTTTAAATGATATCTAGTACCATTTGTTAAACATGTGGGTAAAAACTGCTTTATATGAAATTTTCATGTGAAGTACAACATGTATATGTAACAGGCATTTTCTAAATTTAGGCATTTTGTAAAATGCCTGAAAACTTTAGGCATTTTCTAAAATGCCTGTAAGGTTCAGGCATTTTATATATTCGCTAATTTTCAGGCATTTTACAAAATGCCTAGAAAAATCGAAAGATATTTTACAAAATGCCTGAAATTATTGTATAGAATGAAACAGCCACAAAAACTGAGCAATTGAAAGTATGGAACAACAGAGCAGTTTTATCTATGATATTACCAATGTTTTTTTCAACTGATTGGGCGGAGCTTACATTTTAATTTGCATAAGGACAGTCTATTTAAAGATAAGGATAATTCCCATTATAATTATTATTACTGATTTCTAATGACCTATTAGTGTCACCAAGCGGATATATACAAAAGAGCTGAGTGTATGACATGGGACAAATATAATAGTTTTAGAATTTATAAATTTATAAAAAATAAAGGAAATAAGTAAGGTTGAAGTACCATTTGCATCTTATCCAGGTGCAAAAATGCCTAAATTTAGAAAAAGCCTGTAACATAACTATATCATCTTTAAAAATAATGTAGAAGGTAGATAGTGACTAAATCAGGAATTTAATTTTGTTTTGAAATAGCAGTTTTTGTTAGACGCTGCCAGAGACATATAATACAAGAGATTCGCAACTCGGCGAAATCCCGTAAAAACACACGGCCACTAGTTAAACCTCGCGAGATCTCCTTAGGTAATAAAGTCATGAATAAAAGTATTAAAATTACTCGAAGTAAGGACGAATGTTTAAGCATAACATAAACTGTTTCAGTGTTAAATTTATCATAATTAATTAAATAATTTGAGTTCATATATAAATATTTATTTTAATGTAATTTTGATTTTAGAATTGTATTATTGAAAAAGAGACCTAATTTGATATTGTTTTAAAAAAAAAAACTGATACTAAATAAGTAACACTTGATAAATTGTATCAGAGTTCATTTTATTTGATAGTTTCATGATGGGTTTCTATTGAATATACACCTGTCTTGGAGACATAATTTCACAGTGTGACATGTATATTAGGTTTGAATTATTCGATGACCAGGTAAATCACGAACATGTTATAAATAATGAGTTTTAATTGACACCTTGTAAACAAGAAGTTGTTACACCACAGGTGTCCACACACAATTTCCAAAAATACAATTCACAAAATGTAAAATTAATTAATGTGGAAAAAAACTTAATTTATTGGTAATTTAATTGTTAATCATGAAAGGCTTTGTTTTTTATTCTTGATATTTATTATTTATTAAAATTTTATTTATTTTTATATTCATCATTAACTGGGCTTGCATTGAGTTTTTTCTGTGGGATTGTCGGTAAATGTTTGATTTCTAAGTGTTGTTTGACAGTTTCATCATAGGCTTGCATTGAGTTGTTTTTTAATTGATTGTCGGTAAATTTATGGTTTCTTCATGTTCGAAGTGTGTATTGAGAATTAATATTTAAGAAAATTATAATTAATTTCTCATTTGAATAAAGCTTCATTCATGTGCTCGCAATATGGAAAATTCCGATTTTATTTCGTGGGATGACAATCTTAATAGTTACGACTTAGATATTCTCCTAGTTGAATAAACTGATAACGAACTCTTTGTTGATAGTGAAAGTGACGAAGACATAAGCGAGAGACCCACCAACAAAAACAATTGACAATACTGCATACATAGATGGATATGTGTGTCCTCGAAGCAACAAAAAATCTATAAAAAAACACAACATTAAAGTGGGAGCCGAGGTCATACATCAAAGCAACATGGAAGACACTATTTAAAAAGTTTTTTATAACCTTATTTCCACGAGACAATCATTTGTAGTGGTTTTTGTCTTTTAATCATTTGTAGTGGTTTTTGTCTTTTAATCATTTGTAGTGGTTTTTGTCTTTTAATCATTTTTAGTGGTTTTTGTCTTTTTTATTCTGGGGTAAAGAGATGGCAGTTTAAAAGTAAGATTGTTTATGTGTATACATATACAAATCCTTGGTGTAAATAAAATCTTTTATTATCAAATATATATATATATATATATATATATATAAGTCTAGAGATTTGCACAACGATACTAATATAAGATGGTATTATACGAAGATGTTGTTAATAAATCGTGTTGACAAATATTTCGGCTTAACAAATAGCCTTCTTCGGTGTCAATTATTTTAACAATACTGATAATATGTATAAAAATAGCTCAATAATACAGGTAAGTTTTGGTCTATTGATTTAATCCAAAATCCTGAACATCATAATATAAAACAAAACTCAATACTCAAATATACGTGACTGTGTATATTTACAACCCAAAATGAGTGAAAAATAAAACTTAGTATTTTTTATTGATGCCGTTTGGATGATGTACATTTAGTTCCTTTATCCAAAAGCTTTCCCGAACCTGTCGCTGGGCATCACTCCAGTGAATGTTCTGTTCAATCACTAGGATCTTCATGCGGTTAAAGTCATCAAGTGTGTGACCAGACTGTCTGAAATGCTGAGAAACTGGGAGAAGTGGCTTCTTAGAGATATCACTCCTATGGCCATTGAGGCGTTTGTGGAAAGGCTGCTTTGACTCACCAACATATTGGAGGCCACAAACCGAACATTCTAGAATGTAAATAACATTCATACTTTTGCAGTTAACATTGCAAAATATCTTATAGTTATTTTCGGTTGCCTTACTGTGAAAAGTTGATGAGTGATGCATCTGTAGGCAGCATTTGCAGCGTTTTTCATCACACGAACGACATTCTCCAGAAGTACTTCTATTATCAGACACTTCAGCCCGCACTAGCAGGTTACGCAGACTATTGGGTTGCCTAAAAGCTATCATGGGAGGCTCGGGAAAAATCTTGGATAGTTTGGAATTCTTTTCAACTGTTTTCCAATGCTCACGAATGACACCGAAGCTGTTTTTGAGAGATGGGTGGTAAGTAAGAACACATGGAGTCCTTTTATTTTTCTTTTTATATTTGTATTCTAACAGTTTACTCCTTGGAATAGTTTCCGCTTTCTGAAAGCCTTTTTGGATAGTTTTGTGTTTGTAGCCCCTTCTCTTCAAGCGGGTTTCGAGTTGACGTAGTTGTTTTTTAGTTGTTTCTGAGTTGGAACATATTCGCTTGACTCTGAGTGCCTGACTGTACGGGATGCTCTTAGTACAATGAGCAGGATGGCAACTTTTAGGGGACAGATATTGGTGAGTGTCAGTAGGCTTAGAATATAGATCAGTGGATATGATGCCATCTGTGAGCAAGCTGGAGGCATCGAGGAAGGTGATTTTGGATTTAGATTTCTCATGAGTAAATTTGATACTGGGGTGTATGTTGTTGGCATGAGTGATGAATGTATCTAAATCCTCGTCACTTTTATTCCATTTCATATCCACATCATCTATAAATCTAAACCAGGAAAGCGGTTTTTCGATGGAAGATTCAAGGAGTTGTTTTTCTAATTTGCCCATAAATATGTTGGCATATGATGGAGCCATTTTGGTGCCCATAGCAGTTCCATTAACTTGCAGATAATGGTCTCCATCAAAAGTGAAGTTGTTGTTTTTGAGTACCAGCGTGAGCATTTTGACCAGGCATTCAGTAGGTGGATATTTCACTGGTCGGGAATTCCAAACTTCTTTACATGCATCAATGCCATCTGCATGTGGAATATTCGTGTAGAGGGAGGTGACGTCCATAGAGACAAGTGTCGTGTCGGAGGGGAGTGGATTTAAGGCCTGCAATTTTCTAAGATAATCGGTAGTATCTTTGATGTGAGATGGTAAGTCCTCAACATGTTGACGAAGATGGAAGTCAACGAATTCCGATATTTTTTCCGTCGGATGACCGTTCGCTGAAACTATAGGTCTTCCTGGGTTGTTGGCCTTATGAATTTTAGGTAAAAGATAAAATCTGCCCGGTTTTGGATTTTCTGGTTTCAAATATTCTAGAGTCTTTTCATCGATGAAACCATCGTTGTGCATTTCTACCAAACTATCAGTTATTTCTCTGCTAAAAGATGTTGTAGGATCAGAGTCTAGTTTTTGGTAGAACCTTGCATCGCCAAGTTGTCGTTCAGCCTCTTGAATATAGGCAGATTTATCCATGACAACCACTGCACTGCCTTTGTCTGCAGGTTTAATGACGATATTGTCGTTAGATCGTAAGTTTTTCAGTGCAGTTCGTTCTTCATTGGTAAGATTGTCAAAAGGTTTATTGTTATTTCTAGTATTTCTAATAATGTCTGACTTAAAATTGTCAATAAATGATTCCAAGGTGGCATTTTTGCTCGGTTTAGGGATCCAAGTACTCTTTTTTATAAATTTGTAGTTGTTTTCGTCTTCTGAAATTTCTGAGTCGCTATCCGAGCCTCTGTTGTTGTTCTCCTTCGACGCGAAATATTCCTTAATGCGTAGACTTCTGGCAAAATTGTCAAGGTCTTCCGACAATTTAGTTTCATTTACAGGGGCAGGTAAAGGACAGAAATTTAAGCCTCTCGAGAGAAGAGATGTTTCAGCTTCCGTTAACTGGTGTTTGGAAAGATTGACCACAATGTTGGAGGGCGAATCAGTCTCTAGTGACCTACGTTTAAAGCGCCTTACTCGTTTTCTCTTTTTTTCAGATGGTAAAGAAGGATTGATATGTTCGATGCCATCCCTACGGAATTTTCTTTTCTGCCTTTCACTCAAATTTTGAGATTGTATGGTTGTTATGTCTTTAAGGCGAGCACTGATAGCATCACAATTGTCAGATGTGAGATCTTTTTTGCAGCTATTTGAAAGGGTGTTAAATTCGCCAGTAAGAGTTTTCAGATATTCTTCGCAGTGTTGTTTGAGGAGGACCATTAACCGCTTGGAACAATGGTAGAGGGTTTGATCCCATTTGCTGGTTGGTCCTTTTTATAGACTTCTATATATATATATATATACACATCTTTTGCAGTCACCATTGAAATGTCCTTAATACGATTTTAATTTAAAAATGAATTAGGTTCATGTTTTGAATGAGAAGCTTAGTCTGAAACGACAACAGATGCATGAAGCTCATTCATAATATTACGACCAGCAGAAAATTTTACTCCTTTTGTAAATTTACTGCATTCGTTCATCTTTGGCACGCCACCCTAAAAAGAAGAAAAAACAATGACTTCAGAATAGGAGAAAATAAACAACTTTGCCATAAACAGAATGAAAAATGAATAAATTGCCAAACAAAATGCAGGCTATAAATTTCATAGTGCACAAAAATAAAGAACTGATTTAAGGAAATTTGTCCATGAACAATTTCAATATTTAGCCAGTTTAATAAAAAAAAAAAAAAAAAGAAATTGGGAGTAATATATATCCCCATCATATGACATATTTATTTGTAAATTTCTAGTTTTGACGAAACAGATTGATAAAATTAGCATAGCTGGCTTTGTGTATAAATAACAAAATAATAGTCACCTTTGTTGATATTTTTAGAAATAACTGTTGGATCAAATTTTACGAAACTGGTCTTATTTTCACGACATAACATCTGAGAGTAATATAGCCCATACAATTGAATATTTATTCGCACATTTCCAAGTTTTACGAGATAAAATGATAGTACCAGCACAGCTGGCTTCGGGTATCAATAAGAAAAAATCGCCACATTTGTTGATAATTTTGGAAAAAAAAAACCATTGGATCAAATTTTACGAAAATAGTCTTATTTTCACGAAACAACATTTGGGAGTATTATTGCCCCATAAAATTATATATTTATTAGCATATTTCCAAGTTTTAAGATCAAATGGTTTCTTCGGCAATAGGAGGTGAAGTAAAATGGGCTAAGTTTTAACTTGGTTTGTATTTGATTAATCTCATCATTAGAACACATTTTATCAATAACAAATTATTAGAATTAGTTTTTTGTAACTTTTAAATATACTTGCATGCTTTAGCTGGGAAAGGTATCGGCATTATCCATTAGAAAAATCATGAGGCGTAGAACCTTTTTCACAACAATAGCGATTTTTACCCATAAATCCATCGGAATAATCGGCTTTCTGGTGGCCACGTCATTTCATTGGCTGTTATATAGACTCTACTAGAGTTGCGAATCTCTTGTATTATATGTCTCTGACCAAGCTGTCCACACGCATTACCCTGGTGCTATCCAAAAACCCCAGAGTTCGCGAAAACTTATTTTGACCCGTTGGTCATGGGACCGACAAAGCATGATTATTTGTCAGTCCTACAAAATCTGTCAATTTTATCCTGAGAAAAAATTGATAACATATTTTATCGAAAAATAACTTTATTAATATTAGTTTTATTCTTCGCACCCACAGGCAAATTAACAATGAAGGACCAGTTCAGGTCTTCTGATTGTTCTTATTTAAAGTCATCTTCACTATCCATTTCATCATCTGAATCACTTTCTCGGCTGTTACAGTATTTGTTTGCTTTATTGTAGGGTTCAATCGCCGATTATTTGCCAGTGATGGCTCTATGGACAAATTAAGTAGGCCACGTGTAGATCGCCGCTTTGGTTTGTTTATAATAAATCCGTAAACCAGTACCAGAAATTGGCAGCGGATACATCTGATAACCGATGTAAACACTTGTTGGAAACAGTTGCGGTACATCTAATAACCGATGTAAAAAAGTGCCGAAATATGCACTACAACGGTCGTTTTTACATCGGTCATCGGGACCGGCAATAGCCTTCAAAATACTGGTCCGAGCCTCATTTTGACCGACAGGACCGACAGGACCGACCATTTTCGTGAACTCTGAAACCCTGGGGAGAACACTGCCTCATGCAAATTTTATGAAGCTCATACACAATGCTACATACCTGTCAACCTCTGAAACTGAAAATGCAGGTCATGACCTGCATTGAAGAAGAAAATGTCAGGTCATAACTTGTACGAACTTTTTCGGTCCAATTTTAGTATCGAGTTTTTTTTTTTATATACTATTATATAAACATATACATGTATCACTTTTGTATTTGATAAGTATATTAATATTTATCATTAATTAAATATCTTTCTAAAGCAATGCCCTTTTATTGTTTTATTCACACTAGTTTACTTCTTTTTATTAATGAATGTCATAAACCCCAGCTAATCAATTATAGCTAATGTGGTCCTATACACAGGAGGAAGATAAATAGAAAGAAGTTAGTATGTTTCCTTTCAGTGTAATATCTATAGCATATGGATTTGATTTAAAGCATTTACATTTAAGTGATAACAAAATTATTCTCTCCAACAGAAATGTATTAAAAGGTTCAAATTGTTTTGAAATTATTTTTATAGGATATTTGATATTTGCAAATGGCAAATCTTTTAATCAGGACATAGAATTGTATGTCAAGCTTGACTGGCTTCAACTTTCTGTGGTACAAATAACTAACAATCCTCGAATTGTTACTTTTCAATCAAATGTAATGTTTTGATAGCTGTCATTGGCACGGTAAATAAGCAAATTCTAATTTTAATTGTTTACCTTTTCAAAGGAAAAACACAGAGAAAACCGAAGTATACTTGACTTCTAAATACCGGAAACAATACCGGTCAGAAATACGGGTGAAAACAGGTCATTTTCTGAAATCCCAGGGTTATTTTTGAATACCCGATGGGTATTTAAAAAATCCAGTGTGAAGGGGGAAATTCTCTGGTATAACCCACAGAATACAGGTCAGTTGACAGCTATGAATGCTAAGAACCAAAACTCGCAGTCAAAGTTTGATTTTGGGCAGTGAGACACTTACTGTTCTAGAGTTATGCTCTTTAAAACTCGGTAAATTGCAATTTTTTTCATTTCTGCCTTCAAAGTAAAGTTTTCCTCATCCAAATTTTATGAAACTCTTACAAAATGGTTAGAACCAAAACTAACCGATGGAGTTCGAATTTGGGCAGTGAGTCGTTTACTATTACTAGAGTTATACCCCTTTTTACTTGGAAAAGCGCAAAGCTTGATCGGGGGCGTTCGTGTCCTCAGACACATTCTTCTTTTATTTTGAAAATCTTATTTTCATTTTTAGATACATAGTTTTTTAAGACTAGAAAGGTTAATAGTTATTGTTTAAGATGGTCAGCTAGCATGCTAATTTTGTTTTTATAAAATGGTTATGCAAATGATTTCTGCATAAATGTGTTTATTGTTGGTTTAGCAGAATGTTATTTTTTTTTTTGTTATATTTTTTTTTATCTTACAATATTATGATAGTTATAAGAGTACAAAGAAGTAATCCCATATTTATTTTATTTACACACATATTTCCAAAATGATATTTTTCAGGGTGTTGAAGGCCAGGCAGGCTTACCAGGACCAACAGGACCTGACGGACAAAGAGTAAGTAATTATTTTGGGGGGCTTTTTTTATTGCTCACAGAGCCCAAGAGTCCACATGTGTTCTCTTCATCATTAAAATCCATAGTCTACAGTGGAGGTCTATCATTGTTCATGATTAAAAAAATAATCTTCAAATGAAATCATTGAAGTAATTGCAAATAATCTTGTAGTTTCCATATTATGACCGAGCCTTGTATTTTAATACATGTACCCTTTTAGGGGGTAAATAGATATAGGAATTACCCTGTCTGTTTGTTCATTTATGTACCTTGTCAGCACAACTAATTATAGAAAGTTACCGCTGCATACTTTACACAGTCATAGAAGAAACAAGGAATGATGACCAGAGTTCATCAACATGTTAGGGTCAGAAGAGACATGTTTGATAGAATAACAAAGTACACAACAATCATGGTCAAGGGGAGACAATTCTTATATATTAAAATAAGCTTGATTTAGTTTTTTTGTCGAGCCTGCGACTTTTGTCGCAGAAAGCTCGACATTGGGATAGTGATCTGGCGGCGGCGGCAGCTACGGCGGCGTTAGATAACTTCTTAAAAGCTTTATATTTTAGAAGGTGGAAGATCTGGATGCTTCATACTTTGTATATGGATGCCTCATGTTACGAAGTTTCCGTCAGTCACATGTCCAATGTCCTTGACCTCATTTTCATGGTTCAGTGACTACTTGAAAAAAAAGTTAAGATTTTTTGTAATGTTAAATTCTCTCTTATTATAAGTAATAGGATAACTATATTTGGTATGTGCGTACCTTGCAAGGTCCTCATGCCCGTCAGACAGTTTTCACTTGACCTCGACCTCATTTCATGGATCAGTGAACAAGGTTAAGTTTTGGGGGTCAAGTCCATATCTCAGATACTATAAGCAATAGGTCTAGTATATTTGGTGTATGGAAGGACTGTAAGGTGTACATGTCAAACTGGCAGGTGTCATCTGACCTTGACCTCATTTTCATGGTTCAGTGGTTATAGTTAAGTTTTTGTGTTTTGGTCTGTTTTTCTTATACTGTATGCAATAGGTCTACTATATTTGGTGTATGGAAGGACTGTAAGGTGTACATGTCCAGCTGGCAGGTGTCATCTGACCTTGACCTCATTTTCATGGTTCAGTGGTTAGTGTTAAGTTTTTGTGTTTTGGTCTGTTTTTCTTATACTGTATGCAATAGGTCTACTATATTTGGTGTATGGAAGGATTGTAAGGTGTACATGTCTAGCTGGCAGGTGTCATCTGACCTTGACCTCATTTTCATGGTTCAGTGGTTATAGTTAAGTTTTTGTGTTTTGGTCTGTTTTTCTTATACTGTATGCAATAGGTCTACTATATTTGGTGTATGGAAGGATTGTAAGGTGTACATGTCTAGCTGGCAGGTGTCATCTGACCTTGACCTCAATTTCATGGTTCAGTGGTCAAAGTTAAGTTTTTGAGTTTTGGTCTTTTTTTCTAATACTGTATGCAATAGGTCTACTATATTTGGTGTATGGAATGATTGTAAGGTGTACATGTCTAGCTGGCAGGTGTCATCTGACCTTGACCTCATTTTCATGGTTCAGTGGTCAAAGTTAAGTTTTTGAGTTTTGGTCTTTTTTTCTAATACTAAATGCAATAGTTCAACTATATTTGGTGTATGGAAATATTTTATGATCTAAATGTCAGTCTCGCAGGTTTTATTTGACCTTTGACGTCATGTTCAAGGTTCATTGCTCAGAGTTAAGTTTTTATATTTGTTGTATGGAAGAATTGTTAGCTGTACATGCCTGCCTAGCATGGTTCATCTGACCTTGACCTCATTTTCATGGTTCATTGGTCAATGTTTAGTTTACTTGGTTAATGTTAAGTTAATGTGACAGCTGTAATAAAGCTTTATATTTAGGACTATCAACATAATATCAATGATTAGTAAAGAAGGCGAGACATTTCAGCGTGTGCACTCTTGTTTTAAATTTCTAATATGATATTGAGGAGTTATGGAACTTTATTTGTTGAAAAAGTGACAGGTATATCATGGCGCAGTTCTTTATTGCCTATTATCTTGAAAACTGTAACAGATAGATAGAAAATTAAAAAAGCACAAATGATCAGCAAGACAAGATCCACAAATAAGCCATAATGGCTGAATTCTTCAGTCAAAACGTTATTTGAGTTATTGCCCTTTAATGATAATTTTTAACATTTTTTGCATTTTGTATCTTGTAAACTATAATAGATAAATTGAAAATTTAAAAAGGAAAAATTATCAGCAGGATAACATCTACAAAAAATATGTCAACATGACTTAAATTGTCAGTTAACTCCTGATAGAGTTTTTCCCCTTTAATGTTGATTTTTACTAAATAGTGGCCATTGTTGAAGATGCAGGTGAGCGACAGAGCCTCTAGTTATTGTCCCCCATGTGACGTGTTGCGGGGGACATAGAAATACTTGGTGTCAGGTCTGTCTGTCTGGTCTTGTTAGCGATCTTAATTCTTGCCAGATTTTTTATAAAACTTTTATCATAGGATTATATCAACATTGTCTCAGACAAGTTTGAAAATCAGTGCCGATTAACAATTTTTAAAAGAGTTATGCCCCTTGGAAAAATGCATTGTTAGCACTCTTATGTGAACAATTCTTCCCAATTTTTATGAAACTTATATCATAGGTTTATATCAGCAATGTCTCAGACAAGTTTGAAAATCAGTGCCGATCAATCATCTTTAAAAGAGTTATGACCCTTGGAATATCAATTTTATGTAAAATTGCATTATAAGTGCTCTCACTTGTACAATTTTTCCAGATCAAATTCATATCAAAGATTTATATCAGCATTGTCTTCAAAAAAAATTTCGAAAAGCAGTGCAGATCAAATATTTATATATGACTGCCAAATTTTTACTTTCGTATTATGTTGTGGTAATGTCTGCATCGTCGTTTGAAGACATTTTGGTTCACAGACAATAACTTGAGTATAAGTGTATGGATCTCTATGAAATTTTAGCACAAGGTTCCATGCCATAATAGGAAGGTTGGGATGTATTTTGGGGGTTATTGTCATATCTGTTTAGTAATTAGGGGCAAAAAACAAGCATTTTTCTGGTTTTGCAGACAAATACTTGAGTATAAGTGCATGGCTCTCTATAAAATTGTAGCACAAGATTCCATACCATAATAGGAAGGTTGGGATTGATTTTGGGGGTTATTGTCATAGCTGTTGAGTAATTAGGGGCCAAAAACAAGCATTTTTTTTTGTTTAGACAATAACTTGTGTATTAGTGCATGCATCTCTATGAAATTGTACCACAAGGTTCCATACCTCAAAAGGAAGGTTGGGATTGATTTTGGGGGTTATGGCCCAAACAGTTTAGGAATTAGGGGCCTAAAAACTAGGAATTTCTGGTTACCGGACAATAACTTGAGTATAAGTCTATGAATCTCTATGAAATTGTACCACAAGGTTTCATATCATTAAAGGAATGTTGGAATTGATTTTGGATGTTAAGGCCTTAATCGTTTAGGAAAAAAGGGGCCAAAACAGGGTCCAAAATCCAAATTCTAAGTACACGGTTAGATGTGGCATATTAAAGAACACTAAGAATTCAAGATTTTTGTAGTTTCCATATTATGAATTCAAGACTTTGAATTAAACTCCATTGAAATTGGTCAAGAAATAAGTAATTTATTCAAAGTATTACCAAAGTATTGTTTTTGGCCCTTTTTTCCTTAGGGTCATAACCCCAAAAATCAATCCCAACCTTCCTCTTATGGTATGGAACATTGAATTATTGGTGTTCTTTGATGTGCAGAATTTAACAGTGTATTCAGATTTCTAATTTTGGGGCCTGTTTTCAAATTGGTCTAAATTAAAGTCAATGAATCCAAAATTAAACTTTGTTTGATTTTAACAAAAATTGATTTCAAAGGGTTATTTGATATGCTGAATCTAAACATATTTAAGACTTTTTTTTTGGGGCCCAGTTTTTAAGTTGGTCCCAAATTAAACTTTTGTCTGATTTCAACAAAAATTGAATATATGAGGTTCTTTGATATGCTGAATCTAACCATGTATTCAGATTTTTGATTTTGGGCCCAGCTTTCAAGTTGGTCCAAAATCTAACTTTGTTCGAATTCAACAAAAATTGAATATATGGGGTTCTTTGATATGCTGAATCTAACTGTATTTAGATTTTGGGCCCCATTATCAAATTGGGCCACATTGAAGCCCAAAGGGTCCAAAATTAAACTTTGTTTGATTTCATAAAAAATTGAATTCTTGGGGTTCTGAATGCGGATTCTAACCATGTATTTCAATTTTAGATATTGGACCATAATAAGTAAATGTCAAATTTCAAATTTTTAAGTTCTAAGACCACATTCATTCTGTGTCAGAAACTATGCTATGTCAAATATATATTCACAATCCAAATTCAAAGCTGTATTGCACAATAAATAGAAATTTAAGTAGAGTCGTAGTTAAAAATAAAAAGCATTAAATCTAATGTTGTATAGATATAGTTTGAAAGTCACTCTTCAGTATTAGATATTTTGAATATAATTTAAGGTAAGTTTTATAGATTTTTTAAAGACTTTGTATTCAGTCTTGCATCTAAACCCTTCAGAATGAAAGTTTCATATCTTCTCTCAATTAAAAAATGGTTAAGTAGAGCTGTAAATATGTCACCTCATGCTGATAAAGGGACAGATAATATTACTTAACACACAGATGTTTAAAACAAAAAACTGAGCTTGTTAACATGTAGAGATGATTGTGTCCAGTTTCTAGTATTACCACTCCAGGACAGGAACAATGAAGTTAATTGAAATTTTGTTTATTTTAACATTTTTAAAACTAATCATGAAAATTAAATATTTAAATGAATGAAGGAAAGTTTGTGAAGTATTAATTCCCTACACACTAGCTTATGTGTGTATTTGTTTGATTATTTTGTAATTCTTTGTTTGATATATTTGAACGTATTTTATGAGGGCCTCAGTGATGATTAGTTTTACAGTTAACTGTGTAACCCTCTTTAAATTTAGTATTATTATTACATGTATTATTATTATACTTATTATTATTCTTATTATTTAAAAAAAAATTGAAATTTTTATTTTTCTTCCCATGAAAACTACACACAATTTGTATTACATATTTACATTTGTAATGAACTAAATATTCACATTTATGAATATGGATAAATGTTGTGTATTTACTATTAATTCATTAACACACTTATAATTGGAGTGACAAATTTATTTGAAAATTTTGTGTTTTCTCAGTGCCTGAGTGGTGTGGCTCATAAGCTGATTTTCAATCCATCATCATTTGATGTGATTTTGTAGGACTTTATATATTAATGAAGAATGATATTTTGGATTTTTAAAAATTTTTATACGACCGCATGTAGTCGTCAGCGTCGTCCGAAGACAGATGGTTTCCAGATAATAACTTTAGTATAAGTAAATAGAAATCAATAAAATTTTAACACAAGGTTTATAACCACTAAAGGAAGGTTGGGATTGATTTTGGGGGTTATGGTCCCAACTGTTTAGGAATTAGGGGCCAAAAAAGGGGCCCAAATAAGCATTTTTGTGGTTTCCAGACAATAACTTGTGTTAAAGTGTATGAATCCCTCTGAAATTATACCACAAACTTTCATACAACAAAGGGATGGTTAGGATTGACTTTGGGTGGTTATGGCTCAAACCATTTAGTAATTAGGGGCAAAAAAAGGGGGAAAACAAGGGTTTTTCTGGTTAAAGGACAATTGAGACAATTTAAAAGCAGTGTAAGGGTGGTAATCCAATTCAAATTAAAGAACACTGTTTGATTACCTCCCTTACACTGCTTGTAAATTATGTATTAAGAAATGATGATTGTCTTCAGGTGATTAGCTGTCAATTTATTTTTAGCAGTTACTATTAATTAATATTAATTTTAGCCATGACTATGTATGTCATTTTATATTTTAAAACTTTTATGATGTATTTAAATGGGTAATTTTGGTTGCAAACTGCATTAGAAATTTGAATTGAGATACTGACCATATCTTGAGGGAAAGAATTATTTTGGGGAATAAGGGAAAGGGGGGAGGTGAAAAAAATTGGAGGGGAGGGGGGACAATTTTTCTCATTTCAGATTTCAGAAATTAAAATAAAATTTCTTCAAACATTTTTTTTGGGGGGTTAATATTCAACAGCATAGTGTATTGCACAAAAGCAAAAAAACCGGGTTAGAATAAAAAATTTTGGTAGGGGGGGGGGGGGGGGGGGGGGTCAATTCACAACAGCATAGTGTATTGCACAAAAGCAATAAATTGAATATAAATTCAAATCATATAACCAATTTGAAGTTCTTTGACTACAGTTATTCTGTGTCAGAAACCTATTATGTGTCAAAAATTTAGTTACAATCCAAATTTAGACCTGTATCAAGCGTGAATATTGTGTCCATTTTGGCCCAACTTTTCAGGGTTGGACATCTGCGGTCGTATCCAGCTGTGGTCAGCGAAGCAATTTATTTTTTTTGGTAAATTTTTTTTGGTGGTAGGTTTGTTTGTTATTCTGTATAAATTAATTTTCAGAATGCTATATTGAACAGATATATCATGTTAAGGAGGGGTATTTGTGAAAAATACCAGTCGAGAGAATGTTAAATTTCGCGAGCCGTAAGGCGAGGGAAATTCATTCTCGAGACTGGTATTTTTCGCAAATACCCCTCAAGAACATGCTATATCTGTTTAATTACACCGAATGTTAACGTACAAAACGCATTGATGATCGTGACATAAAACGCATTGATGATCGTGACATAAAATGCATTGATGATCGTGACATTACAAGCGTCCAGTCGGATAGAGTATTTTTTGGCAAATACCACGGCAGAGAGGGTAAAAAAGGCATATCCTTTTTGCATATACCCCGGCGCTGTTTAAAAATGAACGATATTTATTTGATAAAAGTAAATTGGTGAAAAATACACTGGCTATCAACCAATCAAAACCCAGGATTCTTACATAAGGTGTAATTAACATATATATATATATACTGAAGAGACATTAATCGTCGAAATCTGGATATGGTGTACAAATTTTTGCACCTCATGTTTGCGGTATACCATCTTTTCCACAAGTTTATTGTTTTCTGTTTTGTATTAAATTAATAATAAAGATCCATTTTGTTACATTTTGTGATCTGTTTATTTGGCAATCGCCAATGGCAATCAGCAGGGTTTAAGAACATCCGTTGTTTGACCTGTTAGTCAAATGCGTTTTGTTTAAATATACTTTTTCACCTTTTTTGTTTTTTTTGGAAAATGTCGTTTGTGCTGTATTTAGACCCCTCTACCAAGAAATTTGTTTTGCATGCACAAGTATAAAAATTGCGGTTTTTATACGCCCGTTTACGGGACGTATTATGGTATACCGTTGACCGTCTGTCCGTCCGTCATCAACATGTCCGACATTTACTCAAAAAAGCTTTAACCAATATGCATGAAACTTTGGTGAATTGTTTATATCTATTGATGTGAGCTCCCTTTCATTTTTTATAAATTTCAGATTTACCGTTTCCGAGTTTTGGGGTTTTATTCATTAAAAAAGGGGGGATTTTCCAGTTTTCCGACAATAACTCAAGAATGCTTTCACCAACTTGCAAGAAATTTTGGTGAATTGTTTATATCTGTTCATGTAAGCTCCCTTTAGAATTTTATAAATTTTAGATTTTACATTTCTGAGTTATGGGGTTTTATTCATTAAAAAAGGGGGGATTTTCCAGTTTTTGGACAATAACTCAAAAATGCTTTCAGCAGTTCTCATGAAACTTTGGTGAATTATTTATAGCTATTGATGTAATCTCCCTATTGATTTTCATAAATTTCAAATATGACATTGAGAAGAAATTGAACTTTATTTGTTTATAGTCTGACAACAGATTTACTAAGTATTGCGCAACAGCACAGTGTATTGCACAACAGCAAGAAATCTTTAATTGAATATAAATTCAATTCATATAACCAATTCCAAGTTCTTTGACTACATTTATTCAGAAACCTATAATATGTCAAATATTTAATTACAATCCAAATTCAGACCTGTATCAAGCTTGAATATTGTGTCCATTTTTTCCCCAACTGTTCAGGGTTGGACCTCTGAGGGCGTATCCAGCTGCGCTCAGCAAAGCAGTTGATTATCCAACGCAATCATAGTTTTTCAATTTAGACTTATATATATATATATATATATATATATATATATACAACTCGTCTAAGCATCAGCCCAACAATGTTAGATCTGTAAATTTGCTTTCGCAAATTTTTAGTTCTTCCCTCGCCAGGATTCGAACTCATGCTACTGAGATATCGTGACACCAAATCGCCTGCACTGTATCCGACGCAATAGACCACATGACCACCTAGGCTTCATAATAAAGCTTTCAGTGGCCGGGTATTACCTTTCCTCCTCAGTTTTAATCTAGCGTCGTAATACAGTACATGATATATAAGGCATGAAGATGGAATTGTTACAGATCAGCTGAAATATATATTATAAAGGATCCTACAAATTAATGCAAGATACAGTCACAGAAATAATTATATTTATAAGTAGGTCTGAACCAGTGACAACTCTACAACAGATTTATCCATCGGATCACCAGCAGTGATGGTGATACATGGCTGTGTACATTCTGTATATACAACTCGTCTAAACATCAGCCCAACAATGTTAGATCTGTAAATTTGCTTTCGCAAATTTTTAGTTCTTCCCTCGCCGGGATTTGAACTTATGCTACTGAGATATTGTGACACCAAATCGCGTGCACTGTATCCGATGCGCTAGACCACACGACCACCTAGGCTTCATAATAAAGCTTATATATATATATATATATAATTACTCTAAATATCAGCACAACAATGTTAAAAACAATGTTAAATATATATATATATTTATTGAAAACCCCTTAGCTTATATTGTCCATTAATAAATAAATTGATTAAATTCTTGTTGTACTTAGATATGCTGAATCTGTCCAAATTGGGGTCCAAAATTAACCTTTGTTTGATTTTAACAAAAATTGTATATATGGGGTCCTTTGATATGCTGAATCTAACTTTGTATTTAGATTTTGGATATTTGGGCCCTGTTATCAAATTGGTCCACATTGAGGTTCAAAGGGTCCAAAATTAAACTTTGTTTGATTTCATCAAAAATTGAAAACTTGGGGTTCTGTGATATGCTGAATCTAACCGTGTATCTAGATTTTGGATATTGGACCATAAAAAGGTTCTGTGTCAAAAACCTATGATGTGTCAAATATTTACTCACAATCCAAATTCAGAGCTGTATCAAGCTTGAATGTAGTGTCCATACTTGTCCCAACTGTTCAGGGTTCGACCTCTGTGGTTGTATCAATCTGTGCCCTGTGCAGCATTTTATTAAAAGAGTTATGCCCCTTAGAAATATTCATTATATTGGAAGTTGCATTGCATATGCTCTCAAGTATTCATTTCTCTATGAAAAATATTTATAGAAAATTTAAAGAACAAAAAAAAATTTTGTTTATTTAGTTTTTGCCATTGGACAGATAAAATATGTGCCATGTGGGGGACATTGGAACTCTGTTCTTTTATTGATATGGAGTATTTTAAAAGTTTGACATATAATGTTAAATTTTAGAGATATTAGACATTGATCACTGTAAATTTAGCATTAATAAATCATTTGTTTTTATTATCTAGGGATACGCTGGACCACCAGGACCAATCGGCTCACCTGGACAAGATGGAGATAAGGTGCATTTATAAAATGATGACAAATTCTTTACAATTTTTCACTAGAATAATATTTTAAATATCATTATTTAAAAAGTTTTAAAATCCAGTAGAAAATTCACAGTTTTGAATACAGAATTTATGTATTAGAATGGTATTGATATATTTTTTTATTTCTTCTCTGTTGTTATCTTCATGACAAGAAGTGATAACAGTTGATAATACTGATAATAAACTTGATTGAAAGTCTTAAGGACTAACATAGATGCCAACTGTTACGATTTGAGCCTTAACAGTTACAAATTTTGGATCAAAATTACAGTCTTGTGATTAACAGCTGTCTACTTGATACAGATTTTCGTTCATTTCCGGCCAGAACAGTTCTCTGTTAAGATATCATTTTGATCATTGTAACGCTTCATTTTTGGTTATAATTTTGTAACAATAAGTGCTTGAGTGATTAGGATTATTTAATTCTTTTGGGTTTGTCCGGACTATGTATAGTAGAAAGGGATTCATCCATTTCTTGTTCAATTCCAAGGAATTGATGAAAGCAGCAAGTCGAAACAAAATTTCTGCAATAAGGAAAGAAAACTCAGACATTGAAATTGGAAACTAGAACATTATGCCTTTTGCCAATATTGTGAACAAGACTTCAATTCAGTGTGATGGTCGGTGTTCCTTTTTTGAATACTTTGAATTGTAGTTGTCATAATCAAGGGAAGTCATTTATTTGTCTCTGTGTGCCTATTTGTTAGTATTATTATTATTAAATTTGATGAAAAAAATCACACAAATTACGGAAATATAAATACTTTTTTACTGATTGCAACAAAAGGAGATTGGCATCTATGGACTAATTAATTCCAGTACTATTCTGCTTTTACCCAGGTTAGTTGAAATATATATTTGTTCTTTATTTAAGTTTCACTTTTATATTGATTATTTCTTACTTTTTCAAAGACAACTGTGAATACCTATGGGTATCCACTCGTTTATTATCCTACTGCACAATCACTACTCCAGGTGTTGGTTCAACATATAAATTACAGTTTATTTAAATTTATTAAAAGGGAGAACTTGGACCACCAGGACAAAGGGGACAGAAAGGAGAACATGGTGATATGGTACGTATTTATATTCTGCTATAGAATGCTAAAAAGTATTTCTATAATATATGAATTTGTTAATGATTATCACGTATGTGATGTAAATTGCAAGTACAGTCTTTATGGAAACAATTTATCATTTCTTCCCTTTTTATTTTATTGCTATAGTTTGAAAAGAGTTACTGAGCTCTATATTTGTTTTATTTTTAATATCAGATGTAACATTGAACATAAACGAGACTGACAATGGTATTGGAACATGTGTCACAAGCTGACTTTAATAGGCTTTAATAGACTGTGAACAGTATATGGTTAACATAGGATACTGCAATCATTTTTATGGATATGGAATATGATAAAATATAAAAATTGATACACAATGTTGAAATTTATGGCAATTAGATATTGGTCACTCTTAATATAGCTTAAGTCTTTGATGTATTTTAGATATGTATTGAAACATGAATATTTAGGTAACCATATGATTGGTAATTGTAAATTTCAGGGCCCACCTGGACCTCAAGGACCCCAGGGAATAGTTGGTGCACTTGGACCACCAGTAAGTTGTCACAAATGTTATTAACAGTGGTTTGTATTTGCACCATTTGACTTTTCATATGTGCCACAAATCACATATCATTTGTGTCAATAATACACATTAAGAAAATAATAATAGTAACATGTTTTTAGCTCACCTGGCCAATAGGTCCAAGTGAGCTTTTCTCATCACTTGGCGTCCTGCGTCCGTCGTCATTTACTTTTACAAAAATTTTCTCTGAAACTACTGGGCCGAATTTAACCAAACTTGGCCATAATCATCATTAGGGTATCTAGTTAAAAAAATTCTGATGACCCTTCCTGCCAACCAACATGGCCGACATGGCTAAAAATAGAACATAGGTGTAAAATGCAGTTTTTGGCTTATATCTCTGAAACTAAAGCATTTAGAGCAAATCTGACAGAATTAAAATGTATATTAGGTTGAGATCTATCTGCCCTGAAATTTTCAGACAAATTAGACAACCTGTTGTTGGGTTGCTGCCCCTGAATTGGTAATTTTAAGGAAATTTTGCAGTTTTTGGTTATTAGCTTAAATATTATTATAGATAGAGATAAACTGTAAACAGCAAAAATGTTCAGCAAAGTACGATCTACAAATAAGTCAAATGACCAAAATTGTCAATTGACCCCTTAAGGAGTTATTACCCTGTATAGTCAATTTTTCGTAAATTTTAAAAATCTTCTCCACTTAATCTGCTGGGCAAAATAGAATTAAACTTAACCACAATTTTCAATAGGGTATCTTGATTGAAAAATGTATCGAATGACCCTGTCATCCAACCAACATTGCTGCCATGGCTAAAAATAGAACATAGGGGTTTACTATAGAAGTCTAAGGGAAAATTGTAAAAAAAACAATTTCCAATGGTCACAACTTGAAAACTAATTTAAATAATGATAAGGGGTCTTCAGTAACTATTGTAAGACTAAAATAGGATAACCTGCTTTTAATTTAACTACTGGGCCAAATTAAACCAAACTTAGCCTCAATCATTATTAGGGTATCTAATACTATTTATTATGATTTTAACCTTATTTTACATTATTTCCAAAACCACAGTAGATACAGGTGAGCGACACAGGCTCTTGAGAGCCTTTAGTTGCTAATCAGTATATATTAAATACTCATATTAATCTCTTCTGTTTGCCAGCATTACATGTTACCCCATATCACCACAGCGAAGTGGATCCTGGATATTGAGTAGGATAAGATTAAAATATTTAAATAGTAGGGTAAAAACACAATATCTCCAGCTTCTGTTTTTATCAAAAAAAGGATCTATGTCCCCATGAGTTGCCACACATACTCTTCTTTGCATCTATAACACTTGTTTCTATTCTTCAATACACTGGATAATATTGTTGAATTTTATACCCAAGTGACTTTCAGTACTGTATGAAAATGAGTATAAACCAATTGGAATCTTTGGAAGTACTGTACAAATTTCTTATACAAAACCTTCGGATACAGCTTACAATGAAAGAAACTCCAATTGTCATTTATGTTACCTGTAAAATGGTGCAAAGTAATTAGTTTTTTTTTGGCACAAATGAAATACTACATATTTCAAAATTTTGCACAAATGCAATGTACCTGCTATTTTATGTGGTAGTACATGTAGTTTCTGTAAGTAGCTTATCAGATTGTAATTTATACTGATCAATAGTTCTTTGTGATGATGGTGATTATTTTAGAGAATGTTACAGAAAAATAAAATCACACAGATAGATTTATGATATGAGATTTGTATGCTGCATTTAAAATGTATAATGTATGTATCATTTTATTCTGGTAAATGAAGTCTATTATTTATTTTAGGGACCAATTGGTGAGCCAGGAATTCAAGGAATCCAAGGGCCAGTTGGAATGAAGGTAAATTTTATTATAAGGTGCTTTATAATGTAAAGACAAGGACATTGTAATTTGATATTAACTTTTCATACTTTTACAAGAGTGATTTCTTATCGAAAGCATAAGGATAATACATTTCTTTGTCCCATTGGAAATAGTTATATCTCATTTGGAATTTGGAGAAGGTTTAAGTTCATTTTGAGTACCATGGTACGAAATGAGTTAAAGGCAAAAACTCCCATGCTTGGGTTAGTAGACCATTTTTATCATTTTTCAACTTGTATTTTTTATGGTTTAATTGAATCGATTATAGGGTGCTGAGGGACCAAGAGGAGTAGTTGGACCTCCAGGATTAGAGGGACTGCAAGGGTTGCCTGGAGTAGAAGGATCTAAGGGAGAGCATGGAGATCTTGGAAAAGTTGGACCACCTGGCCCACCTGGACCTGTTGGAAAACCAGGAACATCTGGACCACCAGTAGGTTACACAAATTAGTACTTAAAATAATAGTTTCAAGAATATCAATATGTTCTTTGGTTTTGTTAATTACATCAGTATATTCCATAAACTTTAAAGCTTCCCGAACATATCAGAGTATGTTCCTTGATAATTACCCCTTTTCTAAAAGCATTAGCATCCACCCTGTCATTTTTCTATTGTCTCTGAACTTTCTTTCATGTAATGATGTTATAACTTTATTTAATTTAAATTCTTTAAAATTGTTTTTTTTGCATATACACTTTGTCAGAATATCAAATTAGAACAGTAAGGCACACCTTTAGTCGGCTGATCAAATAAAGGGAGATAACTCCCATGACAGGTTTTTATATGCCCGTTTACGGGACATATTATGGTATACCGCTGGTCTGTCTATCTGTCTGTCTGTCTGTCTGTCTGTCTGTCTGTCTGTCTGTCTGTCTGTCTGTCCGTCTGTCCGTTCGTTGTCAACATGTCGGACATTAATTCAAAAATGCTTTAGCCAATATGCATGAAACTTTGGTGAATTGTTTATATCTATTGATGTGAGCTCCCTTTCGTTTTTTTATAAATTTCAGATTTACCATTTCCGAGTTTTGGGGTTTTATTCATTAAAAAAGGGGGGATTTTCCAGTTTTCGGACAATAACTCAAAAACAATTTCACCAATTTGCATGAAACTTTTGTGAATTGTTCATATCTATTGATGTGAGCTCCCTTTTGTTTAAATAAATTACAGATTTACCGTTTCCAAGTTTTGGGGTTTTATTCATTAAAAAAAGGGGGGATTTTCCAGTTTTCAGACAATAACTCAAAAAAAATTTCACCAATTTGCATGAAACTTTAGTGAATTGTTCCTATCTATTGACGTGAGCCTCCTTTCGTTTTTTATAAATTTCGGATTTACAGTTTCAGAGTTTTGGTGTTTTATTCAGGGGATTTTCCAGTTTTCAGACAATAACTCAAAAACAATTTCACCAATATGCAAGAAACTTTGGTGAATTGTTTATTCTATTGACATGAGCTCCCTTTTGATTTTTATAAATTTCAGAATATATATTTATGGGGTTTTATTCATTACAAAAAGGGGGATTTTCCAGTTTTCGGACAATAACTCAAAAATGCTTTCAGCATTTTTTATGAGACTTTGGTAAATTGTTTATATCTATTTTTGTAAGCTCCCTTTTGATTTTTATAAATTTTTCGATTTTACATTTCAGAGTTATAAGATTTTATTTGTTTATAGTCTGACAACAGATTTACTAAGTATTGCGCAACAGCACAGTGTATTGCACAACAGCAAGAAATCTTTCATATAACCAATTTCAAGTTCTTTGTCTACATTTATTCAGAAACCTATAATATATCAAATATTTAATTACAATCCAAATTCACACCTATATCAAGCTTGAATATTGTGTCCATTTTTGCCCCAACTGTTCAGGGTTGGACCTCTATGGGCGTATCCATCTGCGCTCAGCGAAGCAGTTTATTAATGGGTATTGTAATCTTGTTCTGCATCAACAGTGCTAAAATTGTTTAAAAGTTCTAGAAGGAATTTTTCATCTGTATCTGTATTTGGTTATGCTGTTGTGCAAAAATGGTACATAAATAAATTTTCTTTAACTTGAGATATGACGAGAGTAAAACCTAATTGATGTATGAGGTCAAGAGGTCAAAGGTCCACTTCATAAGCTTGTCACATGATACAAACTATTATGCTTGGTTGGCCCTAATCAAATTATTTCCATTTTAACCATGAGACGAGAATATCCCCTGCAGATTGTTTTTTCACGGTGTAAGGTAAAACAGGTTTCAGACCTTTTCAGTAATACAACTTTATCTGTTCAGACTTACCCCAACTTGGTTTTTGTGATTACGAAGAGAAGATGACCTCTGCTGATTTTTATCCCTGGTGCATTGTGCTGCTGGAGATATGGAAATGGTCTCTGTACTTATGTGCATCTATCTGAAACATATCAATGCTTACAGACCGTTTGACATACAGCTTCCATACTTAAAGATAATTTTTCGTCATATTCTATTGACCATGCAATATCGTCATATTGATTTGACAGGAGTTATTGGACATTCTTTTTTTTGTATTCTAACATTGATACCTTGAGAATACAACTCCTCTGAGACCATACGACAGAAAGCAATCATACTTGGTAGGATTGTTTGTCATCATGTGTAGTTACCATATTGTACTGCCATCATGATTTGACTATTTTTATAGGATTTATGGGATTTTGACTATTTTTTGAAGTATTGTAACAATAACACCATGTGAATGCATTTTCTCTGAGATTATTTGACAGAAAGCTTTCATACTTGGTACTCGTGTTTGCTATCATGTGTAGTTGGCCACATTATATTATCATTTAAATTTGTCTATATTTATGGGAGTTATAGGTCTTTTACCCAATTTTGACTATCATACCACAACGACACATTTTTTTTAACAATTTGTTACCTCATTTATACATGTACAGTGTTGGGGATCTTTCCCTACTGTGTAGCAATCTTGTAGATTAAGGTTAAGCTTTGGTCGACTTTGTCACTACTTCTTTACTCAGTTACTTATAATCAGATTAAGGGAAAACATTTGTTTGATAACAAGAAAACAGTATTTCAAGCTTAAGAGTTTGCAAGGATTCTCAAAATGGGGTGTATTGTGATTTGATGCCTGTTTGTCTGTCAGCACTTTGTATACGTAAATTATCTGAACTGAAGACTGGATATAATAAAACTTTCAGAGAATCATTGTGCAACTCCTATTTTATTTTTTTTATTCCTATAATTATTTGTTTTCTCTGAGCAAAATATGTACTTTGTCATATATCTAAAAAAAGAAGAAAAAGACATCTTGTATTGCAGCTCTTAAACAACTAGTGTGTCAATGACACTTTGACTGAATCTTGTTTTGTATCATGCCATTGTTATTTTATTTGTTAGTCATAATAGTTTTGTATTTCAGAAATATATGGACTTGTTAAAATTTACATATCTGCAAAAGGAATAGGCATCATGTATTCATAACTTTCCAAACTATTAAATGGATTTCAGTGAAACTTTCAGATTATATTTCTTTCCCATTAATATTGCCAGTGTGGACCAGCCAATTTAGTTTCTGATATAAATAATTTTTGGACATTTGTCCATTGCAAAGCATCTCTACAACTTACTGGTCCGGTAAGTTGTAGAGATGCTTTGCAATGGACAAATGCCCAAAAAGCGGTACTAAATATTTTGTGTGCATTAATCAAGTACAATCTGAAATACATTTATACTTATTTCTTTGGTGTGCAGGCTCAGTCAGTAGCATTCAATTTCAGATGAGAAAAACTATATTGTTTAATTTTTGATAGGGTGTTCCTGGAAACGAAGGCCAATTAGGACCTGAAGGAAAGCAAGGACAGAAAGGAGAGCAGGGAACTCCAGGTGAACCAGGATACAGAGGATTAGATGGACCGAATGTAAGCTAACCAATTGCAAACTGTACTGTTTCTCCTTTGAACAAAGGTTATAAATCTTTAGCTTGTCCAAAAAAAGTGTCACAAACTGGATTAAGATGAACATTGATACATAGTAATGTAAGAATGTTACACACATGGGTTAGATACTTTTGTATTAAAGAAAGCTTTTCAAACTAGTTTATCCCCCGCCACATTCTGTATTTGCCTGTCCCAAGTCAGGAGCCTGTAACTCAGTGGTCGTCGTTTGTTGCTGTATATCCTATTTGTTTTTCTTTCATTATTTTGTACATAAATCAGGCCACTAGTTTTTTTCTTTGAATTGTTTTACATTTGTAAGCGTGGGAAATTTTGTAGCGGAGGGGGCATTAAGTTTTACCCTTGTCAGTTTGTACGTACGTCCGTACGTCCCAAAATTTGTTTCCGATCTCTTACTTGAGTTTGCCTCAACCAAATGTTATGAAACTTATACACAATGCTAATTACCACAAAACACATATCATGTTTGAATTTTGGTGGGGTAACTTTAACCATTCTCGAGTTATGCCCCTTTATAAATGAAAAAAAATGCAAAATTTTTAGTTTCCGTTCTCTAACTTAAGTTTGCCTCAACCAAATGATATGAAACTTATACACAATGCTTTTTACCACAAAACACAGATCAAGTTGAATTTTGGTAGCATCACTTTAATCATTATCGAGTTATGCCCTTTTATAAATCGAAAAATTGCAAAATTTTTAGTTTCCGTTCTGTAACTTAAGTTTTTATTATGAAACCTATACACAATACTTATTACCTTAAAACTCAGATCAAGTACAAATTTGGGTAGCATCCCTTTTATCGTTCTTTATTAGTTTGTTACAAATGTAAGAAAAAATATTGGGAACTATTAACTATATATTTATATAAAGTTTGATTACACTAAGTGTTTTTAAATGATTTTCACCTTTTATCAAGATAACACACCATCTGGTAATCTAGTAATTGTCAATCACCCAATTATAATTGTAGTGACAGATTTATTTGAAAACTATTGATTATATCAGATTATAATTTGAAAATAAATATAACATCATATCTAATTACATCATATCTAATTTTAGAGAACTATAGTTAAATCATATCTAATTTACATTAGTGGTTCATGGAAATAAAGTTATTTCCCTTTGAACAGAAATGGTTTAACTAAGAAGTATTTCATCAAAAATTGAATTCTTGGGGTACCTTGATATGCTGATTCTAGCAATGTACATAGATTTTGGATATTGGACCATAATATGTAAATGTCCAATTTCAAATTTTTCAGTTCTTTGACCACATTTATTTTGTGTCACAAACCTATGCTGTATTAAATATTCAATCACAATCCAAATTCAGAGCTGTTTTAAGTTTAAATGTTGTGTCCATACTTGCTCAACTGTTCAGGGTTCGACCTCTGCAGGAAAATCCGGTTTGCTGTCTCTCTGATGGTCTCTTGTTCGTTTCTGTTCTGTATCATAAGTTTGCCTCAACCAAATGTTATGTATCTTATACACAATGCTTATTACCACAAATCAAATTTGAATTTTGGTGGGGTCACTTTTACCTTTCTAGAATTATGCCCTTTACAAATGGAAAAATTGCTGAAATTTTCATTTCCGTTCTGTATCTTAGGTTTGCCTCAGCCAAATGTTATGAATCCCAGACACAATGCTTATTACCACAAATCAAATTTGAATTTTGGTGGCGTCACTTTTACCTTTCTAGAATTATGCCCTTTACAAATGGAATTCGTTTCCGTTCTGTATCTTAGGTTTGCCTCAGCCAAATGTTATGAATCTCATACACAATGCTTATTACCACAAATCAAATTTGAATTTTGGTGGCGTCACTTTTACCTTTCTAGAGTTATGTCCCTTTACAAATGGAAAAATTGCTGAATTTTTCGTTTCCGTTCTCTAACTAAAGTTTGCCTCTAACAAATTTTATAAAACTTATACACAATGCTTATTACCATAAAACTCAGATCAAGTACGAATTTGGGTAGTGTCACTTTTACCTTTCTTGAGTTATGTCCCTTTGTAACGTTATGTGCAAGCAGGGGCATCATCTGTGTCCCATGGACACATTCCCTATTTATCTTGAAAATAAAACAAGAAACAGTAAAATCTAGAATGATCAGCAATACAGACAGAATTGCCAATAAAATAAAAACCATCATTTGAATTTTGAGTAATTGCCAATTTACAGTGATTTTTATCCAGGTTTTCTAGTTAAAAAATGGGGAAGTAAGGCGGGTGGGGAGGCAGCCGTAAACAGTTTCTGTGCAGTAACTTATGAACTGTTCAACCAATTCTTTTCAAATTTTAAGAAGTTGTTAATGCTGACAAAATAAGTTCAATATTGATGATTTTTCACTTATACCCTTCAGGACATATGATTCTTGTTTGATGGAAAAATAGGCACAGAATGTGGCAGGTCAAACAAACCTGAAAGCCCCATACAGTAGAATACATAAGTTTAAATTGTACTATCTGTCCTATAAAGTTCAACAATGGTTACCTTCAATATGCTAAAAAAAAAAACCTTTGTCCATTTGATAGCTCATTTCTTAATTGCTATTTTTTGTGTTTATGTCTTTAACCTTAAAATTTATTCATTTACAATTGCATGCATTTGGTAGTTTTTATACGTTCGTTTACGGGACGTATTATGGTATACCGTTGTTCGTCCGTCCATCGTCAACATGTCGGACATTAACTCAAAAATGCTTGAACCAATTTGCATAAAACTTTGGTGAATTGTTAATATTTATTGACGTAAGCTCCCTTTCGTTTTTTATAAATTTCAGATTTTACTTTTCCGAGTTATGAGGATTTATTCATTAAAAAAAGGGGGATTTTCCAGTTTTCGGACAATATCTCCAAAATGCTTTCACCAATTTGCAAGAAATTTTGGTGAATTGTTTATATCTATTGACATGAGCTCCCTTTCCATTTTCATAAATTTTAGATTTTACGTTTCTGAGTTATGGGGTTTTATTCATAAAAAAAAAGGGGCAGTTTACAGTTTTCAGACAATAACTCCAAAATGCATTTAGCAGTTCTCATGAAACTTTGGTGAATTGTTTATATCTTTTGTTGTAAGCTCCCTTTCGAATTTTATCAATTTTAGATTTTACGTTTCCGAGTTATGGTGTTTTATTCATTAAAAAAGGGATGATTTTCCAGTTTTCAGACAATACCTCAAAAATGCTTTCAGCAGTTCTCAATAAACTTTAGTGAATTGTTTAAATCTATTGACAAAAGCTCCCTTTTGATTTTCATAAATTTCTGATATGACATTGAGAAGTGATTGACCTTTATTCTTTGAAAATGCGACGGGCGTTTCATGCGCTCATGGCGCAGCTGTTTATGTCAGTTAGCAAAACCATCAGACAGGCATTAGAAATGGTCTTTTTTTACTCAATATCAAAAAATGTTCATTTGCATAATGACCCAACAATTTGATCTTACTTGTTGGGTCATAACCAATCAGAGTATTTCCAAGGATTTACTAGTTTGTATCTTACTACTTTTAAAGAATTGCTAGTTTGTAAAAAGATATGCATTCATAAAAAGTCTCTATTGTAATGGTAATGTTATTGCTTCTGTTTGGTTTTAACCATTTCAACAAAACTTATATCTCTGGGAAATTTATAACAGTATGTGTTACAGAGAGGCTTCTGTAACGAACTTTTTTTTATGTTCAGCACATTTAGATATTAACAAATGTTAAAGTTACATACTGTGGATTCATTTATTTTCGTGGGTATCAATTTTCATGGATTGTGGAAAACTTGCATTTACGTGGATATTTGATTTCGTGGTTTTGCCAGTCTCTACCCATGAAACCCACGAAAATTGGTATCCAACGAATAATAATGAATCCACAGTACATGTATTGCTATTAGGTTGGGAAATATAATTATGCTTTGTTTATGTATCATTAATAGGGACCTCAAGGACCAACAGGAGACAAGGGTGATAGTGGAAGACAAGGTAATCAAGGACCAGCTGGTGAAAGAGGGGAAGTTGGACAATTTGGACCTAAAGGCCATGCTGTAAGTTTATGATCAGTAACAGCCTTATGTTGTCAACTGTTATTTCTTGGTCTTATTTACTTCTGACAGTTACTTCAGGTTATTTATAGTACATATTATAATTTTGTCTCGTATAAGAATAGAAACACAAAAACTCAAAATGGTCAAGAAATTACTAATAATTATTCTCACAAATTGCAATGTAATGTTTTGTATGGTAAGGTGAAAAGTAACTGTAATAAAATAAGTTATTATACATTTGTTTTTTCCTGATGGATGCATTTAGTTGACAATATTAGCTATAATATTTTGTATGCCCCCGCCGTAGCCGAGGGGGCATTAAGTTTTACCCTTGTCCGTCTGTCCGTACGTACGTCCCAAAACTGGTTTCTATTCTCTAACTTGAGTTTGCCTCAACCAAATGTTATGAAACTTATACACAATGCTTATTATCTCAAAATACAGATCAAGTTTGAATTTTGGTAGCATCACCCTCTAACCGCTCTAGAGTTATGCCCCTTTATAAATGGAAAAATTGCAAAATTTTTAGTTCTGTACTGTAACTTAAGTTTTCCTCAACCAAATGTTATGAAACTTATACACAATGCTTATAACCACAAAATACAGATCGAGTTTGAATTTTGGTGGGGTCACTTTAACCATTCTAGAGTCATGCCCCTTTATAAATTTTTGACATATTTGAATATTTTTTTTCCCTTAACTCTTTCAGCACTATGACCCGGTTTAGCGGGAAATCAATTTTACTCTTGTAAACACTATAGCCCGCTATACTGGGCTGCACATGCTCCTTTTTTTAATTTGAGATTTCCATTGGTCAGTCGTTGGGAAAACCCCTCTAAAGTAACATACTAGCATCATATACATTCATTCAAGTTTCTTTGGCTTTTCCCGTACTTTTAACGGAAAATAAAGTAAATATTGGTGTATTATTAGCGATGAAAATTTTTGGAAATTTTGTACACAAAATGGCGGTTATCTATAGTGAAAACGAACTGTCAGGAGACGAAATATTCAAATTTTGAAGTAAATTTGGATTTTATTACATAAATACTTACCATCATAAATTCTGAGTGTAACCCCAATTGCGTCATAGGTCAGATGGAAAATCCCGACTTAAAATAAACGTACTCTCACTGGTCAGGACATATACCCCTGTTTGCCCATATTCTCCCATTCAATTTCCTCAAGACAGAAACGTAAGGAAAGGGGATGAAGGGGAGGTGGGTGGGACCTATAATTTATGATGGTAAGTATTTATCTAATAAAATCCAAATTTACTTTAAAATTTGAATATTTTATAGCTATAAATACGTTACCATCATAAATTCTGAGTAACAGAATCTAACGTAAAGCTGAATCCCCTGTAACAGAAGAAACAGGAGGAAAGTTCAATCTTTGTGCTGAAACTATAGGTCCAAGAGAGTATAAACTCTCGGCAAAAGTAGCCATAGATTGGAGGTAATGAGATATAAAAGAGTTCTCATTTCTCCAGAAACCTGCAGACAGTACCTCTTCTAAAGATGCACTGTTAAACAGAGCCCAGGATGTAGAGATACCCCTAACATCATGAGCTTTAACATTAAAACTATTTAAAAGTTCTGCCTTAGAAGAACCATAAGCTAAAGATATGCATTTGCATATCCAAGTAGAAATAGTTTTAACAGAAAGATCTGAGATTCCTTTTTTAATAGGAATAAAGAGTCTTGAGTTAGAAACAGAACGTAAACTACTCGTTCTATCCAGATAAATAGAAAGGATTCTTACTGGACATAAAAGTACAGAAATAGAATCTCTAGGGAGTGCAGGAATCACGACTGGTTCTGCACCCTTATCTGGAATCTGATTCTTTGCCATAAAAGCAGGATCAGTTAAAAGAGTAAAAGAAGATTTATCCCTGTTAAATCGAAGGCAAGCATCAGAAATAGAGAAGGCATGGATTTCACTCCTTCTCCGTCCAGAAGCCAAAGCTAAAAGGAAACAGCATTTATAGGAAAGAAACTTTAAATCTATTGTTTCTGCTGGTTCAAAAGGAGGAAGTTTTAAAAAGGATAAAACTAGTCCAAGATCCCACCTAGGAACTAAAGTTTTTTGTCTTGGTCTTTTAAAGACTAAAACTACAAACCAAAAGAGAAATATGCTCATTGTTTCCAAAATCTGGGCCACCAGAAATATGAATAGTTCTTGAAATAGCTGATCTATATCCCTTAATAGAAGAGGGACATAATCCTTTGGATTCAAAAAGAAAAACTAGAAAGTCTGCTAATTGTTGTACAGTGACTTGGAAAGGATCAATTTCCCTCTCACTACACCAATCTGAGAAGATTGACCATTTTGCATCATAGACAATGCTAGTGGAGTCTCTGACAGACTTTGTGAGATGCTTGGTTGCTCCTTCAGAAAAACCTCTCTTTCTGAGGCTAACCCTGAGAGAAGCCAGGCATGTAGATGAAGTTTTTCTGGATTTTGATAAAGAAACTTGCCCTTGATTTGAGACAGAAGGTCTGGCCTCAGAGGTAGAACTAGAGGACAAGCACATGATAGGCGCAGAAGGTCTGGAAACCAAGACTGTTTCGGCCATGCTGGAGCAATAACTATGATCTTGCAATTTTCCCCTGCTATTTTCTGAAGTACTGGGGAGAGAAACCTGAAAGGAGGGAAGGCGTACCCGAACATTCCTTTCCAAGATAGGCTCATTGCTTCTACCGCAAAAGATTTTGTGATTGAGACTGGTCGCAAACAGATCTATCTGAGGTGACCCCCAATGAAGAGTCACAGCTTTGAAAACTACTTGAAGTAGTTCCCACTCCGTGTTTACTGGAGCAAGGGATCTGGATAGAATGTCGGCTAGAATATTGAGGTGCCCCGCAATATGTCTCACCATTAGATGAACCTGGATTTGAAAATACAAAAGGAGAATGTCTCTGGCTATCTGATAAAGAGAAGGTGAATGAGTTCCTCCCTGATTCTTGAAATAAGCTACAACTGTTGTGTTGTCCGTGGCCAGAATGACAGACTGATTCTTTAGAGACATTTGGAAATGATTCAGTGCAAACAGAACTGCTTTCATTTCCAATACATTGATATGCTCTTCCAAAAGATCTGGATTCCAGACTCCCGAGATTGTAAGCCCCTCCAGATATGCTCCCCAACCGAGGGTGGAGGCATCTGTGAATAATGTTAGACTGGGAACCTGAGGGGACAGACATAGGCCCCTCATTACATTTTCCAGTACTAACCACCATAGAAGGTTTGGAAATAAAGGCTGAGTGATTGGAATCAATGCTTCCCATTCTTGTGAAGCTGGAATCCATAACTTGTGCAGATAAAACTGAAGCGGACGAATGTGAAGTCGTCCCAATGGAATTACATCTGCCAGAGAGTTCAATAGACCCAGAAATTGCAAGAATTGACGTGCTGTGACTGATTGAACCGTCAGGAATAAATGTATTTTCTGACATAGTTTTGTAAATTTTTCCTCTGGTGGGAGGACTAGGCCTACACTGGTTAGGAAATGTTCTCCCAGGAAAACAAAGTCTTGAGAAGGAATTATCACTGACTTTTTCCAAGAGATTAGGAAGCCTAGGGACAGAAAACAATTGATGACCAAATCTGTCTGAACCCTCAATTTGATTGGGCAAAATTCCTTGAGAAGGGAATCGTCCAGGTAGGAATGAATCTGAATAGACGGGGAATGTAGGTGAGCTATAGCTGCCTGCATGATTTTGGTTACTGGCTTTTTTCCCAATAAAGATGACATAGATTTGTCACAACTGGGAACAAGTCTACCCAGTGAAGAATCAAAGATATCAAAATCCTTGTACTTAACCTGATCAGAAAAGGATGACATTCCAAATCCAGAGATATTGTTATTAGCAACCTTTTCACTAGCAGAATTAGCGATACCTTCATTAATAAATTGTAAAGCAAATGCCATATGGCCAGATTCAGGAAAAGAATTGTGAGAAGTCACAGTATCCTGAGAAATACCACAGGAAGCTTCAAAAGTTGAAGAAGGTTTCTTCGGCTTGGAAGGAGAGGCAAAAGGGATATGTGCTTCATCCCTCATCAAGGTATACACCTTATCCCTAAGATCCTTCAAGGATGGAGGATCCTCAGTCTCCTTGGTGGGAGGTTGTTGAGCTGACTTAGAAGAAGGCTCAGGGGCCGTCTTCGATACCTTGGGAGAAGAAGAACTTTCAACATCCTCACCAGTGAGGAAAGCCCTTTCATGACTCCCAGGGGAAACAGAAAGCTCATCATCCTCCCTCTCATCATATTCTACAGACTTAGCTGGAGAAGGTTGATGAGAAGAAACTCTATTCTCCAGTAGAGACATACGACTGGATAGAGTACTAAATTCAGCCTTGAAAGACTCACCAAAGTCCAAAAGTAACTTCTGAAAACCATCCAAAGATGATGCATGATCAGAACCCTGAGTACCACGAGAAGAGCTAGAAGATTGAGCTCAAGAGTCAGGTACAGTGGTAGAAGGAGCTACTGCAGGAGTCAAAGATACTGCTACGGGTGGAGCAGGAGCTAAAGGTGGTGCAGTAGCTACCCCAGAAGGGGGACCATAGAAATTGTCCCTATAAGGCCAAAAACCAGGTTGGTTTGGCATAAACCCACCATAAGGGTAAGACTGTGGCCAAGGTGGCTGAGACCATGAGAGTAAAGGTTGTGTGCCCGAGTTGGGAAGCATATACCCACATTAGGATAATGGGGCTCTAGAACCTGGCAAGTTCAAGCCCATAGCTGTACCTGGGACAGAACTAATAGTACCCGATGAATTAACAGGCCTAGATAAAGTATGTCACCGAAGCTGACGTAGGTACCCCCCCCAAAATGCATGGCCGAACCTTGTGAAAGGGTCGGATAGGTAGCATTACCAGACACCATTGTCGAAACTCCGGTCAATGTACTGGTAGTTTGGGGGGGACTTAAAGGTAGGGACCCATCTAGGAGATAGTCCGAACCAGGAATATTTACGTAAGGACTATTCA